CAAGTCTAATACAATCTTTGACAGGCTCCCCTGAGCCTAAACCCTATACAAAACCCCTATATAAACCCTGTGTATAAACCCTACTAATCCGAAACCCTAAACCTAAACCCTAAACCCTAAACCCTATAACCCTATAACCCTATAACCCTAAACCCTAAACCCTAAACCCTAAACCCTTATAAACCCTATATGCCCTAAACCCTAAACCCTAAACCCTATAACCCTATAACCCTATAACCCTAAACCCTAAACCCTAAACCCTTATAAACACTATATGCCCTAAACCCTAAACCCTTGAACCCTATAACCCTAAACCCTTATAAACCCTATATGCCCTAAACCCTAAACCCTATAACCCTATAATTAACCCTATAACCCTAAACCCTAAACCCTAAACCCTAAACCCTACCGCTCAGGTCGGACATCAAGGACATCGTGGAGTACACCAAAACAAGGCCACAATTGCGCAGGCCTGCATGGTTCTTCTTTGAGTGGATTGCTGAGTTCAGACTAAGTTTGCTACCCATAAGGAAGTACAAGTACAACACCAAGAAGCTTCAGCATTGGGTGGAAAATGAATGGACCGGAACGGACACTTCCAAGACAACGCAGGGCTCGAGGAAACAAGTGGACCAGGATGCCATAGATCTTGACAAGGAAGCAGCGGAGTTAATCAGCGACATGGAAGATGATGCTGAGCAAGCCCTGGCTGGTGAAGAGGAAGAGGGGGGTGGTGAAGCGCAGCCTTTCCGGCCAGAGGCACTAAGTGCGCGCACGCATTTGTGTGGAGACCCGAAGCACCACCCCCCACCCCAAACTCCCTCCAAAACTGTCAATCATGCTTTTCAGGAAACTGTCGAGGCTGTGGAGAAGGCCATGAGCGATCTTCTTGCCCGAACGTCCAAGATGCACGACTTGGCCGGCAAGCTTAGGGCGCCCTACAACCCGGACCCTTCCAGCACCCACACCAGGCAACTCATTTGAGGCATATGTGTATGCACGATGCTTTGTGTGGTCGGAAATGACCCACTTTTTGTTCAGGTATGCAACCGAGCTGGACCGCCTGGCCACAAGCATGGAGAACCAGTGGGATGGGTTGGCTGAGTTGCTGGCCGAGCACACGGCGCACGGTATGTCTGGTGATCTTAAGCGCCTTGCTTGTACTGTTGCTGTGGGTCAGCCCATCGTTTTTTTGGGTAGGACTCTGCCTGCGATAAGGAAGAAGATGCAGGGACTCATCAAGCAAGCCTGCTTCCAGCTCCTTGATCCTGACTCATACATGTAAACCTCATCGAACCATGGTTTTTGCAAGGTTAGATTGCACCTAAGGGCGTCGAAGGCCACAGCTCAGGAGAACCAAGTCATGTCTGCCTCTTAAACTCTATATACTCATTGAGAGAATTGCAAACGTAGGTATGGGTGTTGCTTCTAGTTGCTCTTGCGAGGCCCCAAATCCGCGACATCGACAAGCTGAAGCGCACGAACCCTGCAAACCCAAGGCCCAAGGCCAAGCCTGCCAAAGCGCCAAAGGCGAAGGCAAAAGCAAAGAATGGGTCCAAGTGATAGCACATGTGCGAAAGCTATGTATAGGGGGCCTTCATGCCCGGACCCTGCCCTTAGCCCGAGTCGAGCTGCTTTGTACTTCTAACCACACACACTCAGCGGGGGAATGCAGCGGATTCGTGGGCGGGTGGCATGCGTGCTCTAAACCGGCCAGCTTGGGGACACTTCGCGCTCGTGCAAGAAAAACATGTTCAGAGTACTTGCGCCGGCCTACTGTGGGCTTTTTTGGGTTTGCAAGGGTCTTTAGAGGGGGGGTTGTGTGGTGAGCTTGCAAAACATGACAGGTGACAACCATCAGCAGCGCCTTCAAGTGGCGCGACAGCTGGTGAAGGGCGCCCCACGGCCAGCGGCATAAGCGTGGGTTGCAAATACTTACATAGGGTGGTAGCTTAAGGGTGGGGGGTGTTGGTTAGCTTTCGGAGTTTCTGACTTTCGCCCCTGTCCCACTTAGAAAACCCCTATCGGATCCCCCTGCAAAGGTCCTGACGCCTGCTTTTGTGAGGTTTGGAGAGTGGGGGCTTGCCTGCGGGTGAGAGTTGACGGGGTTCGCAGGGTTTACAATAGTTTGCAAAGTAGGCCAGGCTTCGGGGCCTATAGGCTTGCTGTCGGGGCTCTAGGGTTGCTTTAGAGGTTTCAGGGCCTGTCGGGTTGCTTTGGAGGGGTTGGGGTTGCTTTGGAGGTGCTTCGGAGAGGTAAGGGCTTGTTTTGAGGGCTTTAGGGTTGCTTTGGAGGGTATTGCGGGTTGCTTTGGAGGGCTTTAGGGTTGGAGGGGCTTTCGGGTTGCGGCTTTAGGTTGCTTTGGAGGGGGTTAAAGGTTTCTCTGAAAGGTTTTCGGATTTCTTTAGGGTTCGGCTGTGAAGGCACTTGAACTGCTTCAAGCCAAAAATGCACTCCCTTTCAAACTTTACACCCAACACTCGAACGCCCAATCCCCTGTCCTGGGTTTAGGGTTTATACGCAGAGTTTATATAGGGTTGATAGGGTTTTTGTAGGGTTTGTAGGGCTTATAATACAGGGTTCGTATAGGGTTGATCTAGGGTTTATATGTAGGGTTTCTCGTTTTTTTCTCATCCAAGGCATCTGGTGCCCAAGTTTGGGACAACGCGGTCTCACGTCGGGCGGAGTCGACGCCTCCTTCGGCTAAATCGATTCATGGCCGGCTGGCTAGAGGAAGCAAGCATCGTGCGGAGCACAATGCCTGGAACGAGCTTTTTGACAGCATTCTTTCAGATTTTTCTAAGTGACTTGTAGGGGTTGGTCGGTTATCATTCGTATCCATCGGCATTCTAAGGCTTCAATCTGCAGGAGTTTCTTTTCCTGTGGACATCGATAGACTAAGAGTTGGTCCTTCTGAAATTAAAGTGCCGTGGCTGGATCCCTACAAGATGATGTCTGCTCTGGCTGCACGAGACCAACTTCACCTTTTGCATGGTTCCTGCGACTTGCTGGAATGGTGGCGGCGCTTCGCAAAGGCGTGTCCAAACCATTGGGCTTTTCAGCAGGCTATGGCTGGCAAATTAAATCTTGCGCGGACTATACCTATTTTTTCGCATGGCGATGAAGGCCGGTCGAAGAGGAAGAAGGGCATCCTTATATGGTCCATGAGGGGCTGTGTAGGCGAGGGCACACAGCTTTTTTTTGACACCCATGACGCCAACGCCAGAACGCAGCGAATGGGACTAAACATGGGTGGCAGTCTTCGGTCACGCTTTCTTCATGTTGCTGTGCCGAAATCCGTGTACGGTAAAGTCGCTGAGCCTGTTTGGGATGACATTGGCTTTGCTATTGCCACTTCCTACAGAAGGCTTTCCTCAGAAGGCTTTTGGTGCAATGGCCAGCAGTGGCACGCCGTATGTGTGGGCTTAACTGGGGACACTTAGTAGCTGAGTGAGTACACATTTTCAGTTTTTGGGATATTATACTGTCTACAAAACTAAAGCTGTGTACACTTTTTAGGTGGCTTATGAACTCAGCAACTAAGGACAACCCTTTCCTTGCTAAAGCTGGGCACCTTTTGCGATCCTACGCAAGGGTCGCCAAAAAGACTGGCGAGAGTACGAGCAATGGCATATGTTGGCTTTGCTTGGCAGGGACTGACGGTGTGGTGTTCGAAAACTTCAACCTTCACCCCGAATGGTCTCACACAATGTATGATTCTTTGCCGTGGCGAGAGCTTCCACCGTTTTTTCGGGCTCTTGGGTGTTCTGATGAGGACACTACGCTTCCACAGTGTCTTTTCTTCGATTGTTGGCACAACTTTCACGGAGGACTTGGCAAACACATGGTCGCTTCCACTGCAGTGGAAGTGTTGCAAAACATGGGGCAAGGAAATCTTCAGACGAGGGTGCAGCAGCTCAACGATGCATATGAGGCCTGGCGCGAGGTCTCCAAGCTCAAGCTGCACTGTGGACGGCTGGATAAAGAATTGTTTGGCATTGAATCCGGCACCATGGCCTGCCCGACTGGAACCTGGTCCAAGTTCAACGACACGAGGATTCTCATGTCGTTCTTGGAGCATTTCTTGTCCAACAACGGGCAGCAGTACGTAGCCACTAGGATCACCCGAGAAGCTTTGGCTGGCATCCGAGCCGCAAACGTGTGCTTCCGGACCTGCTATTCCTCGGGCTTTTGGATGACTGCTGCGGAGGCTGAGAGAGCTGGCGCAGCAGGACTCCATTTTCTGGCATCGTACAGCCGTGTAGCAATGTGGGAACTGGAGGAGGGGCGCATTCGATACCCGATGATGCCAAAGGCACATTACCTCCACCACAGCTTTCGAGACATGTTTCTCGCGGGCCGGAGTGGCAGCACATGGTGCCAAAATGCCCTATCCAGCTCCGTCCAAATGGACGAGGATTTCATCGGCCAGATCGCCCGTTTGAGTAGGCGTGTGGGAAGTCAGCTGCTCATGCAAAGAACAGTGCAGCGCTATCTCCTGGCCTTACACTTGGAGCTTTACGATGAAGACTCAGCTCCGTCGTCAAGTCGAAAACCATGCGTGCAAATGCCATAGCAAGCCTTCTTACCCACCAGCAACTACCTCCCCAATCCCTTTCAGGGAGTTCCGGAAGAATTGTGGGGGTGTCTGGTTTCCACCAGGAAATAGGTTTCTGACCATCATCAAAGCGGACGGATTTTTTGCGCGGCTGGATTTTTCCGGCCTCTTCAATAGGACAGTTTTTTCTGGAACGGGGGATTAACAGGTAGGGTTTAGGGGGGGCGGGGGGGCATCAGGGTTGTAGGATGTTATAAGCCCAACAATAGTAGTTCGGGGATTCAGGCTTTGGGCAATACACCCAAAGCCTCAGAAACCTTGCAGCGTTTAGGGGTTTCGGGGTCGATAACACCTTTAAAAAAAAAACATACAGTATGAGCCCTGGACCCCCTAACTCCCTGAAACACCGACCGCTTTGCCCATGTTGCACTGAGCTTCGCGCTGATCTGCATGGCCAAATGCCTGGACATCGGATCGGACTGGAGAGTTGCGTTGGCGAAGGGTCAAATATTCAGGTTGGAGGCTTGGGGTCCCCATAACCAACCCTATAGAAGCCTATAAGCCTTGCGGGGTCCTCAAGCAGCCGCGAAAAACCCTGAACATCCCTGAAGCCACAGCGAACATCCCTGAATTCCGGAGACAGCGCAAGCTGCTCCCCACCTTCCTGGAGCAAAAGTCCAACCAGTGCCTGACAGGACGGTGAGGACAGGTAAGGTTGAGGCAACTCGGAAATTGCCACAGCCGAAGAAGGATGCAAAGAGTCTCAAACCCTTTGCAGCGCAACCGCGATGCTTGCCTGTAGAAGGCTGACACGTCGGCCCATTCAGTGTCGGAACGCCCAAACGGAGGCATGGCCATATGATCTTCATCAGCATCCTTCCATGAGAATGTCAGCGAGGTTGCGGAGAAAGGTCTCTCGCCATTTACCTCTCTTTTTACCGCTTACTGCCATTGAGGCCTTGCCTCCCACTGCTCCTCTTCAGCATCGATGGCCTGCCACTGTACATAGAATCGTGAATAGCTTGATCCTAGGACTGCAGGAGCTGAAGTTCCTCCTGTTTCTACTGTGACATAGGGGCAGTGTGGGTGAATCGGTCAGAACAGCGGGAGCTTCTGCAGTGACCCACCATCCCACCCCTGGCTGCAGCTTGGCTTTTGCTTTTTAGCCCTCTGCCGTTGTCATGAATGATAAGCCTCGAACAGCTCGGCATACACCGCGTAAAAGCCGCGAGCATCATTCCCGAAGCCATCGAAGCAGGACACGCCTCAGAATTCAACATCGACGGAGGATGAAAAAGGGACAGAATACAGCCAGACGGGCAAGTGGTCGTTGCACCAGTCTGGGGAGGATGCTGAAATACTTGTATAGGTTGATCTTGGTCTTGAAAGGGTCCTGGCATTGCAATTTGGGGGAAGGGGGGGGGGGGGGCTTTGTGGGTGGCCTGTTTGTAAGGCAGTCCCCATTTTGAACATATATCGCTATACTGAACAAACTATTTGAGTCTTCCTAGTCAGCCTCCATTGGCGGTTGTCCCACCCCACTCCACCCCGCCCCACATGAAAGCTCTGTGCCTGGTAGCCGCACCTCCGAGGCCCAGGCCTGGGACCCCCTCCACACGGCGCCACCGAAACGCTCCGTGTCTCCCTGACCCCCTCCACGCACCTCTTTTTTCATCTTTATGCAGGTTCAGAACACATGTCACCACACCCACATCCTCGATCCATCTGAGCCTTCTAGAATGCTATTGCGAACATTCCAGGTCCGATTAGTTGCCGGCCGACCGGCCGACTCTCTACAGGATCGTCGGCAGCGGCGTCGGCCCTTAAATGAATGGTATCGGTATAAGGAGACCCAGACGACCACTGTAATTTAGAAGAATCCCTCCATGCAAGCATCACGCAACACCGCTTCCAGACACTCCTCGCCGGGCCCATCATCGCCTCTGAGGATTTGCTCTCGGTGGGCGTCGTACCAGGCCCTCTCCTGAAGAGAAGAGCTTTGCAACTCGAGGGAGGACCCCCAAAGATCCCGAAGACCGCCCCACGATCGTGGCGAGAGCTCCTGCGCATCTGACAGGACCTAAGTCGTAGTGAGCAAATGTGAAAAAAGGAGTGCGTGCAAAAGAGTACGGATCACGCATCTCACGTGTTGCAGATCGAGGCACGGAGTAGGCCTCTTGAATCTGCTGAAAGCGCTTCGTTGCTTCTTCGGGGCCTGGGGTGCTGAGACCGTCAAGAATGGACAGGGCTTGAAAAAGAGGGGTAACAGTATGCTAGCCATAACCTAGCCCAACGAGATAGTCAAGTCCGGCTTCTTGAGACCGCGCTGCTGTTCTAGGGCTGTGTCACTGTGTCACCCGCCTGGCTGTTAGGAGTCTGGCACATTCCATTTTGGTGCGCCTTGTCGGGATGCATGCGAAGCGCAAGCCTTGGCTGGGAGCTATGGAGACAAGAATCCAGGTGCAGAGTCTGCGGAGTGCCCGGGACTCCTTGGGGCAGCCGGGGCAGGCGAGGAAGCTGAGCAAGCCTACTTGCGGTAGGTGGCTTTGATCTCCGCAGCTTCACATTTTCGATCCAAACCTGGCCATCCGAGGCAATGAGCCCACACCCGGGACGGCAGAGAACTCTGCGAGACTCTTCGGGCATCGAAGGCATCTAAGGACCCAGGAGGGCGGCACTTGCCGGCCTAGGAGCTCGTAGTAACAGGTCCTGGTTTGCGCGGGTACATTCGGGTGTGAGCAGGGTCAACAGCGAAAGGCCGTGTTCAGGGCACGCGACCTAGGGACTTGTGTCCGTTCGACGCATTGAGGGCTTGACTTCTTGGCCCCTGCACTGACCATGGTTGCAGACAGATCGGCCGAGGCGAAAGGCGTCGAAGGAGGAATCCACTAACACAGAACTCTAAACCTGCTAATATTCCTATACTGAGCTTTTCTGTGGGAGCTTGTGCGAGCACTGGGCTATACTAGACTCTGCCATCTAGGAGCGCGTATGTGCAATTCCAAGGTCAGGTGGGACATGGATATGGGTGCGTTATTTGTATAGTGGGTTACCATATTTCCTATATAACTATTCAGTGAACATATACCTGTATCTGTATGCACCTATTATATCTGCGCGTATGTATGTTTAAAGATACACCCTTGAGCCAGGGCCGGTTCGCAGGAGTGCATCACACTAGTGGACGCTGCCCAAAGTGCACATGAGCCGCCGCTCACAAGCTCCCCCTAGCTGATCCAAGTTGCACGTGGCTTTGGGCACCTACTTACCGGCAACGCCAAAAGCCTCCGCAAGTGCTGCAAGTGTGTTGAGCTGGCAGCAAATAAGATTTTTCCGTCCGCCGGCAAGAGCTTGAAGGAGGCAACCCTAAAGCCCAAACCCCAAACCCCTTTTACCCGATTTTACCCTGAACACAGCTGAAGCCAAACCCCCAAAACCCCTCTAAACCGCCCTAAACTCCCAGCCCAAAACATCCTAAAACCTCAAACCACTTCGGCCCGCGGCCTTGAAGACGATTAAACAATATGCGGTTGCCACTGGAACAAGGATCTCCCACCGGCGCCACGGGGGTTACAGGACATGGAGCTTGCGGTGCTTGGGGCAGTCACATGCAAGCTTTCTAATATTCTAACTTTGCAAAACGATCGTGGGGCACCCGGCTGGTGAGGGGGGGAGCCTTCTTGTCAAAGGCTGCCGCCAAGGCTCCATTCACTGTATCACACGGCGGCAGGGAATGCAAAGATTTCCTTCTACGGAGGCTTCGGGAAGAACTTGCTCAATTGTGGTTCTTGCCAGAGAAGCTGTGGGGATGTAGCAATTACTGCTTTACGTGGGTTGCCTTTACGTGCACCAGCAGGGTTTGAAACTCGAAACCTCTCACTCATCACGGTGGCGAAGTGCCTGGACCAAGGGCGCGAACTTGGCCTGAGTTCAAGTTGCAGCGCCTAGTGAAAGTCACTGGCGTGCGGTTGCGCTCAAGCCACGCACTTGCCCTCACGATCTCGCAGACAACCCGCCCACCCTAAGAATGCCCTCAGAGTGCCCTAAAAATGCCCTAAGAATGCCCCAAGATGCCCTAAAACCCCTGAAGCCCCCCAGCAAAGAGATTCAAGGAGACGACGGTGGGCGCTCCGAGTACTGGTCTCGGTCTGCTCGAGGCCTCCGCTGTCCAACAAATTGCTACTGTTGTAAGTGTGGCCAGTGTGTGTGTGTTCTGTGAGACGACTGTCAAGTAGGCACTGCACGTCCATGGAAACCAGCTCGGAGTGAACCATCGCGCCACCTTTCTGCTCCTCACACCTGCCGAATCAGGAGCAGTCCAAAAAGCCAGTGGCATCAAAGCTGAACCCTTTGAAACAAAAAGCGCCGCAAACAAAAAATCTTCCTGCACTCGAAGCCCTGTGTGATTAAACCTGTGGGTTCAAGAATCAAAAGGGCGATGAGCAGTGTTGCTCCAGGCTTGAAGGTTTCAGCGGCCACTCTGTGCAGGTTCAAGCGCACGCAGCCGGACATGCATCATTAGCAACTTGGCCTGATGATCATGCCGCAGCCCAGGAAGAAACCGAAGCTGACGGCACCTCCGATGACAGAGACCGGAAGCACCTGGAGACAAGGCTGTGACGCATTCAGTTGCTGGACACCTAGGATATTCGGACAACCCATGGTTCCCCATCCACAGCCAGAAGTTGCCCTTAGTGGCACACACCCGTTCACCTTACAAATCCTTCACCGATGAGAGCCCCAAAGCATTCCAAGTGTGCACCAGGAGGTTCCTCTGCGTGACCGCCACCCAGGCCCCTGTGAGGAGACCGAAGCAGCCACCGACCGAGGCACCTGGGTGCTAGCACTTTTGTGCGAAACGCAACCTTACCGGCCTCCTGTCATGTCACTCTAAACTTCTGCTGACAGGTCTATATGCCATCTCACAAGCAAACTAACGTGCATGTGCGGATGTGCGGGCGCGGCATTGGCATGGCTTGCATGTATCGCATGTAACTGATATGCATATCCATCTCCACAGAAAATCCCCCAGAACTCATCCGTTGCCAGACTCCTCGCATGTCCAGCAAGTAAACAACCCTGAAAAGACGAAACATCCCTCTGCGATTGTGCTTCCAGTCAAAGTTCCGAGCATCCGGCCCATCTTGGCGCCGAGCTGAATGTTGTTGAAACATTGCCGGAGGCGTGGGTTGTGGATCCACTGTCCGTCCAAGCTACCTAAACATGCAGCAGGTCTCATTGAAATCTTGGGTTCAAAGGTTCAAAATTTTAGGCGGCGGCTTTTTTCACGCCTGGCCAGCTGTGCGTCCTGCAGACCATCAGTTTCGTGAACATTGGAGGTGTACCTGCTGGCGATGACATCAGAAGAAATCAAGACAACACGACGGCAGGCATCAAGTCACACAGTGTCACATGCGCAGCACACTTCAACATTTTGTAAGTGCAAGGCTTCTGCTTTGTGAACCACCATCTGGGCACTTGGAGAAGTCCATGCTGTCGTAGTTTGTTGGGCGAGACACCTTCGTGGCCAGGCCAGAGAGCACGCAAAGACTGCCGCAAGCATGCTCGTTTGGGCCTGGCCTGTTTTTTTCAAACTTGTACCAAAACACTACATGATAGCAACCGTCAATGGTAATCAGAAGCTGTGCTTGAGTAGCCCAGAAAAGTCCATTGCAGCGTTGCTCCGTGTCGAGGCACCGGAGGGACAGGTGCAGCAGGTGGGGCTGAGAACTTTCTCGCCACAGGCGCAGCCTCAGAGCATGAATTGAAAGCTTGGGCGTGGGAACCTTTTCCCTACCAGCGAAGCGACAATATGCCTTCCCGGATCTTCCCGGCAATCATAGTTCTGAGTCGCTGGCATCTGCTGCTGGCGGTGCGGAAAACTTGCGAGTTACTGGCGCAGCCTAAGTTTGTGGGGCGAAACTGAGGGCTTAAGGCAAAGAATGCATGTCGCAGGTCTAAGGCCCCAGCATCAGCAGGAGCTCCTGGCATTCATTACAGGAAGTCCCCAAAGCTGAGTCCGAACTCTGTCCGATTCAAAAAAGGACAAGCAAAATTTGCAGCAGCCTGATGCTTCAGGAGGGGTCTCTTCTGGTGAAGGCTTCCTCGATGGCCTGGAGCTAGAGTCAGCTCGAAGTTCCCTAGGGCCAGACAAACTCCTCGAACAACCAAGCCAGGGCATGTGCCAGTGCATGGACGTGCTACACCTCAGAACAGCCACGAGCACCGCTGAGCATATGGCAAGGACACGATCCGGAATCCGGAGTATGGGCAGCATGCATTCCTGGGGACTCTGCGGGTGGGGCGTACGGCCTCCTGCGGCCAACCATTGCCACAAAACTTGCCCTTGAGGTAAGCGCGGCGGCGCGTTTCGAGGCAAGTCAAGAGTTGTGCAACGCGCTCAGCGGACCAATGTGATCTGTTGGTGGCTCAACAAGACGCCCTGTGACTCCGAACATGTCTCCCTCCGCATGTCTCTTTTTGCCGCTGTTTCGTTTGTGCGTGTCGCCCGTCTTAAAAAAGTGTTTGAAGGAATGAAGAAAGGAAAAATGACTGTGGCAGACAGATTACCTACTCATGCACGGCTGACCTGTAGCAAAGTCCAGCGCGATGCATCGTTACCATAGCGTTGCCAAGCAATCGTGCTTTTGCGAAAGAGTAGTCTTGTCAAAGGCTCCCCTGAAACTACGAGCAGAGAAGGGACATCAATACCACACTGGGGTAAGGCACCCTGACACCTCACCTAAAGCCTGGGAACAACCAGGGCTTTCCGGGTATCCTTGGCTGCAAGTCTGCAGTGTGTTTCCACGCAGAGGTCACTCACAGGTCCCTGGACGAGGGGCAATGCTCAACAAGAATACACTGAATACACTCCCTCATACTCCGATCCTTCATGCCTGGTGGCCGCTGCCTCTCCAGCGCCCGTGCCTCCCGGGCGAACGAAGAGAATTCGAGACGGCTCGGAAGTCATCAAGTTAAGCGTGGCGGATTGGGGGGTTGGGGGAGGAGGCTGGCCCCTCCACAACGTGCTTTGGTCTCATGAAGAATGCAATAAGGTGGGTGCCAGAAGACTTTTGCATGACAGTAACAAAGTGCAGCAGCTGGCAGTCATGAGCAATCATGGTCCTTGCACATGAACCGTCGGCTGGCTGTGCACCAAGCCAGCCCTTTCAAAGGGTTTGCCTGGTCCGCACCTCGATGCGCAGCGCTACCAGGCACGCATACCTGCACGGGCCGCAGGGTCCGGGCTCAGTGGCCCCACGCTTGTGCAAATACGAGGACTGTGGAGACTCCGAGACACTCTCATTCTAGCGTACCTGTACTGCACATACAGCACCTGCAAAGCTGCCAGGGTTCTGAGAGGCCTCGGTGATAGAAAGGCCAAAAATGCTTTACCTCAATCCTCCCAAGAAGACTTCAAAGGAATATGAAATGCAAGCCGAGGGGGCAAGTCCATGCTGCTGTTGATGTGGTGACTTTCGCGCTGCGTTAGCCTCGGCAAGCCAGGGATGTTTGATCGAACCAATGGCACTGGAAAGATCAGCTCACGAGGCTCCCAGAAAATCCACGGTTAAAGTTTCGATTGCGCCGTAAGCAGCCATGTACTATCGAATCCGGATTATCACCATGAGCTTCTGACACCACAACGAGAACTCGAGCATCAGCTCTGCAAAATTGGGTGGCAAGAGACAAGGTGGGCTTCATCAACCGCCAACACAACAAACTGAGTTCGCGAACCGAGGGTGAGGTCGCAGTTCCACTAGACCTGGGCATGCGCAGCCGGGTGCCCGAGCCGGACAGTGGACAATTCTTGATAATCCGGATCAGATACGAGCCTTCAACTCTTCCAGTCGGAACCCCACAGGGCCCAAAACCCATTTGATTGGCCGTTGCTTTGAGACAGTGACCGGGCCAGCGCTGAGTCTCGGAGAAGACGTTCTTCAGACAAGGCAGAACCTGAGCTGAGCAGACAGGGTAAAGAGGCTTTCTGAGGGTGCCTTACGATTTGCTTCTCGGGTTTATGTCATGGCGGCGGGAACTGCAATTGAGGACTGCCTCGGCCATGTCTGCGCGGCTGGAAAACCTACAAGATACAGCAGTACAGTATTTCATGCACGCAGTCATTACAGCTAGTTATATCCGAGCCCATCGGATCTCCGTGTTGTGCCACATGAGGCCATCAAGTGTTGCACTGCCATGTTGCCACATCAAGATGTAAGAGGTGCCTGGCATCCCTTTGAAAGCTGCCCTTTAGTGCTTCGGTGCCCCCCGTCGGTGCTGCAGATGAAAGCAGTGAGTGACCATCCCAATCGGAAGTTCACTACATTTCCTGAGCCGGGCTGTTTATGGCACACGGCAAAAGAATTAAGGTGCAGCAAGAAGCCAAGAGCAACCGCCACCCTTCTGTGCAATGGGCGTCATGTCAGCCCTCTCCTCACGCCATCCGATTTGATGGCCCGGGAGCGTTTGCTGAGCAGTGACAGGTAGCAGTGCCCTAGCGCCCCATGGAGGGCCTGCCACCAGTGGATGTAGGGGTGGCAACCTCCCTCCACTGCGTCTCGAACGTGTTCGACAGCCTCCGCCAGCGCGCCCTCACGGCGTCCCAGTCCAAGTAGCCGCCGACAAAGAATCTTGAGCCGAGGAAGGAGCTGCGAGAGTGCATCACGCGCCAGTTGTCTGTGCAGACCATCTCTCCCGGCATGAGGCGAAGTGACACATAGCGAGAGTGCTCCTCCACAAGACGCTCGTACTTCAGCAATGCCTCGTAGACTCTTTCTGCCTGCTTGAGCGACGCAGGATTCCAGTGTCGCCAAGAGTCCCTGGCCCGTTCGTTGAAGTTCACCCGCTGCAGCCTTGGTACTGCCGACCCTGTTGCCGGCGCCGGTTCCAACTCGAAGGTGGGATGTTGCGCAGATAGGAACCAGTCACTTGTGACATCCTGGAAGCCTATGAGATGCTCGCAAAGCGTCTGGAAGGCCTCTGGATCCTGTTGACGCAGGGACTCTGCCGCAGCAAAGCCGTCCATCGCAATAGACTCCCCACCCTCTTCTGCCTGCTGCAAGCAGTTGAAGAGCTGAATTCCAGGCGGTTGCTCATTGAACGGCAAGTCCGTGTGCATCTGCAAGCCGAGATTCGAATATGCCAAATTGTTGGGACTTGTGACGGACTTGATCTGGAATGTCTGTCCATAGACACTCGGCGCCAAGAATGTGCCCAGAGTCTCCGCAAATCGATGCAGGCCATCAGAAGGAGCATCCATCGAAACTGGCATTCCGGTGACCAGAGTCAGACCATGAGTGTGCATTGCTTCGATCCATCGTCTGGCTGCAGACGAGTTTCGATCTTCAAGATCCTTCCACTCGAAGCGCAGGTGTCCACCACTGTCAGTGAGCTCACCTCGAATCGTGGAAGCTTCCTCGCTGCCCCAAAGTACCTTGTTTTGGTGCCGGAGTTCGCGTGACCACATTGCGTCTGTCGGAGGCGGCGGCGGGAAGTGGCCCACGTGACCATCAGAAAACTGCAGTCGGAAAGCCGGGCCTGAGTACTCCGGCGATGTGAACTCCACTGGTGCCATCTCCTGGACTTGCAAGTCAAGAGGGACGCAGAAGTCCAGTCGTTGCTTGGAGCTGCTGTCCCACGCTTCGATCGTGTTCTCTCGCAGGAACTTGGGAAGAAAGGCACCCGCTTCTCGACCATCAGGCCAACGGAGGGTCACGGTCCGTTCATGCTCCACACCGCCCCCGAGGAAGCGCCGCAGGCCATGTGCCGGGTGCAGACGACGTGCAAGCCGCGAGCTTGCCGCACTAAGCATCCTTCGTACAGTCGAGAACTGAAGCCTGAACCTGCTTTTCTTGAGCCACGCTGCTGCACGCTTCTAGACAAGTCGGTTCTATAAACTCGTCTGTGCACATCCATTACCAGCTCATACTAGACCCACTTGAAATGATGTGACTATGTCATTCCATGTCTCTGAAGATTTCTTGCCACGGGAAATAGCAGCTTGGCTCCCAGCTCAGTTTACCATCAACCCGGCCAGGTGCCCATCAGCAATGGCGAACGTCGAGCATCTCGTGGACTTTCTGTTGTCAACGGCTTCCGTTCCGATGTCCTGCAATGAAAGCACAACCCTCTCACATGAGCATGAAGATCATGCAGGCTTTCTTCGAACCATGCGCAACAGTGAAATCTGTGTTGATAGTATGAGCGTTTGCACTGAACACTACTGAATGCTCCTGCAAGGCAGCTGACGTTATGAGGTTGGCTATGACTGAACGGCTGTCAAGCGCAGCACTTGATACCTGCGTGCCCTTTAACGTTAAGCCCAAACCAATAGTCTGCGCCCACGGAAGAATGGCATTTCGAACAGCTTGCGAGGTTCCGGCCTCGCTCAAGGCAGGTAGGATCCAAGCGGCCTGACCGCACAAAATGCACCAAAGCTCGGACAAAATCAAACATTCGATGAAAACCCCATCGCACAAGGCTTTAAGGAAAGTGAAAGACAGGACGGCTCGGCACAGCTGTCGTACCAAACTGCACATGGCTCGCAGTTGCTGCAACTTCAGGTGCCCAGTCCTTCGGACAGCAGCCAAAGGCAAACAACGCAACCTCACCAAAGACAGCGAAACTTAGGGAAACAGTTCGTTCAACACTGTTTAGCTTGGTCACTCCACTGGCCGCGGAGTAGAATCCTGGCATCGCGGGAAGCTTCTGCACGAAGCAACTGAACAATCCAAGGATTCGTGCTCTGATGCAATTGGGGCAGGGCAAGATCAATCGAGGTACTCTGAAGACTAAATACTGCATGGTCTTCTTGCTCGGACTTGATGCTTTACGACTGGGAGCAAAGTTTCGCGAACGTGTCTGCCTATTCAGTCAGGCATTTGCGGGACTTGGGTTTCCTCGTGATGCAATTCGTGGTTACCACCGTGACGCAACTGGCGCAGTGTGCATTTGCCAAAAGGGAGAGCTGCACATACGGCACGTAGCCAACTGGCCAGTTTAAGTCTGAATTGAACCAGCACTTTTGTCACAGGCACTGCTGCCCAACCCCATTTGCCCAAGAACCAGGAAAGTCTCGAACACCCAATCTTGCGAACAGGATTGGACCCAATTGTGGACTGAATCTGGAGCTGCAGGCCTGGCAGTCCCCAATGCCGGGAGCCACCACAAAGCCGTAGAGGTCACTGCGGCCAAGAATGGGCAACATCCCAGGCCTCATGACAGCAGACACCAAAGACATGCATGGCCGCATCACGTATTGCGCATGTGAAGCGTGCAGATGCCCAACAGCTAGAAAGTCGTATGTAGAACAAACAGCTCGTCATTTTGGAGCAACTCAAGCATCCAACTTCTCGGCGCGCGGCACTAAGCTACTCAGCTCCGATGCTTCTGCCGACGCCAGCAGTCTTGCAGTCCTGGTCTTTACCAAGATTTAGCGGAGAGGTCGGTGCGGAGAGGCCCTATAGGGTCACACGGAAGAGTTCAAAGAGTGTGTGAATCTAAATGAGTAGCTGGCTAGGCGATCACTGCCGAGGGAGAAACTCGCCTTAAGCTTTATCCCTCCCGGGTTGTCAAAGGCCTCCAAATCTAATCCGAGCACCTGTTTAATTGGGAGGGGTCCCCCCCCCCCCCCCAAAATAAGGAAGGCAGGGTTCCGCAATAATTGGACCATGGCCCTGCATTGATTCTCTATTAAAAACAATCGGCTGCAGATCCCTGAGGTGCTGTAGCTCCGCATCTCCGCAAGCAAAACAAGAAGCCTGCCGACAGATTTTTGAACCCCCCCAAAAAAAATTTCTTTAAATGTGGGGGGTTATGGCCATACGAAATCCACCGCAATGGAAAGTAGTCTTCCGGCGGGCTTCCGGAGAAAAGATATTTCTTTAAATATGGGGGGTTTAATTAAACAGGTGCTCGGATTACTTGGAAGTTATGATAAACTCGAGAGTCAACTGGCCTACCGAGGTGAAGGTGTGAAGTGCTTGCACGTGGTCGAGTATGATGCCCGATCCCCCTATAGTACCGAAAAACCTTGGCAGCAGTGCACTCCTTCCCGAGCTTCTCCCGAGAGTTCCTGCATGCATGGACCCTCAACCTAAAGCAGCCTGGTGGGATAGGGTGATACAACGAATGATAGAACTGGTGCCCGGTGCAGCTGCACGGTAAAAGTCCGGGGCACCTGTGGCCCCGCGACATCCGAGAAGATTTCCAATGAACGCCTGTGAGATTGACATCTTGTGGAACACTCCGATGCCTGATAGGGCCTACTAATACCACCACTGCCGCTGGCCTCCACCACCTCCAGCAAGGAAGCCTGGGAACATTCGGCAGATTGTCCCCCTTGTTCTTAGTAGGGAATGGGGGAATTAGGTACCCCACATTATCCCATAAAGGGCATGTATATAGGGGGATAAAGGGTACCTCCTTCCCTCGACTCAATCCCTACTAAGAACCAGCAGGTTGTCTGCGACATTCCATAGCCACGCGTCTGGTGTGCACGAGGGCCGAAGAATGTGATGCCAGGCCTCCAGCAGCAACCAGGAAAGCCTCTCAAGATGTGCCACCTGCCATTCACAAGCTCTGCAGGAATCTGCAACATCATCGTGCATCGTTGCGCTTGCGCAAATAGAGGAGATGGTCTCAATCCGAGAATGAAGTCATGACGTCAGACGCTTGCCTTTGCTGGGTCTTCCAATCCAAAGACCTGAGGCAAGTTGGGACAATATGGACAACATCCCATCCTTGTGGCGGAACGACTACCCCGTGTCGCAACTCGAGCCATCTGAGCACTTCTGAGGCAGAGGCCTCTGCTGCCAGGTTGCTAGGCCTCCAAGGAGGGACGTCTGGATGTCAGTTGCAGTGGTGGTCTCAGGCTTTCTCCGCCCAATGGTGGTCCTGGATCCTGGTCCATGGGACTGAGCCTTAACTTGGGTGAACTCCACAAGCTTCGGGCTGCGGGGCTACATCCAGAACTTCCAAGGGCAGCTTTCAGAGCGCTGGGCCTTGGACCCTTCGGCGCGCCAAGCGGAGCAAGCCCACTTCGAAGGCCAGGCCTTGACAGCAATAGCAAAGAGGAAACCACCTCTCGAGGCTCAAAGGGGTCCAGGGATGGATGTACATTTTGTTTTGCACTTGGATTGCAAAACCCGGCCTCCAGCAATGATGTCAGATGGTTCCTAAAGCACAAAAACAAAAGCGTGCCCAACTACAGGTTCGATCGCAGTGAATCGACACCGCAGCTCAGTCGGAAGTCCTGAAAACCGGGAAGGACGACGAGCAAGAGGCGAAGGATCGACAGGCGATGCTCGATGGCTAAACCTGGCGGAAGAGATGCACCGAACCTTCAAAAACGAAAACAAGGGGCAGGACTTCGGACTGTGCCTGTTGACAGCAAGATGCCCATGGCTTGGGATGTTCCCCCTTACACGAACAGTCCTTAAGAAGAATGTATCATAGGGGGTACCAGAATAATCCCGAAAATGGAGCTGTTAGTATAGCGGGGGAACATCCCAACCGGTGGCCATGCCAAGTTCCGAGCTGCTGGAGCTTGCCTGCAGCAGCAAACAGCCTGGCAACGTAGCACCAGGCCCTCAGCTCCCTCGCACTCTCTTATAGCCACGGTGCACCTTGACAGGCGCACCATGAGTTAGCCTGTACTAGTGGCAACTAGTGGCTGGCTTCGCGCAAATCTGCCAGGGGAGCTGGCAGGATGGTTCTCTCGGCTCAAGGTGAGGAGCCAGTAAGCCTTGGACTCATCGACCACGCCTTTGCACAGCTTCCCAGAGCGTGCTGTGAGCACCAAGCCCGAGATCCCGCAACTTCCGAGGACTTCTGCAATGGCCTTGGCTGGGCTCATCTATGAGTTCACAGATGATAGGGTTTAGGGTTTGGGGTTTTTGGGGTTTGTGGGTTTGGGGTTTGGGGTTTGGGGTTTAGGGTTTAGGGTTTAGGGCGCTAGAGGACCTGGACCGCTCTTTGTGACCAGACCGGAGCAGAAGCGCAGGCCGGGCCTGAAAGACTCGACGTCAAACGCGGCGGTCTTCAGTGAGGCCCCGTCCTTGGAACCCCAAAGTCTTTTCTGCCACTTCTGAATTTGGGCCCCCCTTGTATCTGGACTGTTACTGACAACAAAAGCCCCCCCAAAAAGGGAGCCTAAATTGGAACAACCTCGGGCTGCGGCGGCACTGCCTAGGCGAATCCTCCGAGTGCTGCCGCACTGCGCCTCCAGCGCAGCCAATTCCTGTGGGCATAAGAGCTTTATTTCAAGGTGCAGAGAAAGCAATCGCAACCAGCAACCAGCAACCAGGCCTCCTCATCAACCATGTGCAGCACTGCAATTCCGCGCTGAGATAAGGAGCCAGTCCACTCCTGACTGACGGACGAGCTACTGCAGCTACTGCTTCCCTGCCGTGCTCCCATGCGCTCCAGCCTCGTGGACGTGTGCCGCACACAGAACGAGCCGGACACCTGCCTCAGAGGCCGCACCACATGCAAGTTCCGAATATACAGTGTGTGAACCGACCTGCCAAAGCTGCTCGGTGGCCAGAAGCAGGCGTTGCCCTAGCCTTTGAGACTCTTGCTCTTTCAAGATCCAAACTGAGACTGTGCAGAATAGAATAGAGGAGAACTGATCCGGGTCAAAACCAGCCTGTCCAGGGCAACAGCCGGCATTACAACGCGAACCTTGCCCGCAGCTCAGCTTGGGCTTCACTTTGAGAGTCTTGCTATGTCTTTGTTGACAGGGAGAGCGCTGCAATTTGCGGTCTGAGCTTGTCGCTGGCAGGGGCGCAATGTCGTCATCCAGGATGACGACCCTGCCCTGACAAGCCCTTGGCATGGTGGAGGCCAACCTGAGCACATCTCAGCACGAAGCCTTGATGGACCAAAGTGACCCAGAGGCCGAAAACCGTGAAGGTGTGGCACCCCCATGGTACTGGGAGACTATATGCTCTCAGGAGCATGCACGCCAGAGAGAGCCACTGCTCTCTCAACCGTCGCAGAACAGGCACTGCCTTGAAGCAGCTGTGTGTGTGTGTGTCCATGGTTTACAATGTGCAGATGCACACAACGCACACAGATGTGTGCCGTCATGTGGGCAGTCGCGCCTGCGGCTTCTTGCATCGAAGGCGAAGCGCTGGGCACCTGGGGAGCGGCACTGGCGCAGCGCAGTTGCTCAGCTCGAGCTGTTGGGTCCCCGTTCTGCCGAGGCTGCCGAGGCACCTTCACAAGCCCTCCGCTTCGAAGAGTCAGGGCGGCCGAGGCAAATTGCTTTGGTTGCCTGGCCTGGGCCTGGACATCGGGTTGCACTGCACAGTGTACAGTTTCTCACCTCGCCTGCGGCCTTGTTGCTGTCAGGCTGTGGCGGGCAGTTGTCACACAGCCAGCGCCAGCCTCACAAGCCAGACGCAGCGCTGAGAGTAACAAGCAGAGACGCCAGGACCCAAGTTCGTAGACAAGCCACATGCTTTCGACAGAATCCCACAGACCTCACTTGCTCTGGCAATGAAAGTGCTACGCACCATGCCAGTGGCTTGCGCGGGACTTCACTGCAACTGGAAAGAAGGTCCCGCCATTCAGATCAGTCACCTCTGGGGGGAAATTCGAACCGAAGAAGGTGCGTGCCAAGTCAAAGAAGAGCTTCTCTGTAGAATTACCTTGAGGCCGTGTCCCGTCTGTACCAACTGGTCTGCGCAGGACTATGACTATGAGCAGACTGCACCACCTACCTGCCGGGCACCGAAGGTCTCCCAGCAACTCCACAGCATCTTCTCGCAGCACAACAGCCTCCAGCAGGCCGCACAAACAGACAACCCTAAGAGTACCATCACACTTCCACGCCCTCGCCTCGATGTAAGCCACACAGCGCTGCAAGTCCTCGGAGCTGTACCAACCAAAAAAGCCCCCTTCGATTCACCCGGAGCCATCCAGAGCAGAGCGCTCCTGTCGCCGGGCTTTGCCCTCTCGAAGCCAGGAGCTGCAGAGGCGGAGGGCGCCATGAAGAAGCAGTGCCTGAGACAACGCTGTAGGCACTAGATAGGATAGGTAAAGGCAAGGCGCTGCAAGGGTCGGAGCTTCTCAAGTCTGAGGTATTCACAAGGGTTCCTGTGCCGTCCCCCATGTCCTCTTCGCAGCAAGACGGACAGAAGCTGCAAGCATGAGCATCTACGATGACCCCACAGAGGCTGATTACTTTTTGTTTCTATCCAACACTGCCAAAACTTGATTCGTGGGATGATGGGATGGCCTGCGCAAACTTGCAGATGTGGCCCAGAACAACCTCCCCAGTGATATTCCGGTGCCGCACAGACCGTTTTACCCCTGTCAAACCACGCAAACCACCAGGAGCCTTGGCGATCGGGGAGCCGGGCCGGGCCAGTTCCAGAATCCGCGCTGCCTGGAATGTCAAGACCAAATAGAAGGGGGAAGCAAAGCTTTGCTGACTGGGGGTCACGTGCCTTGTCACATTCCTCTGGAAGCTGTGTCGGTCTCTTGGGCCCACACCGAATTGGTCACCAGCTTCTGCCTCTCTGTAACGACCAGCTGATCCTTGCCACATGGCCCATACCTGCGTTGACCCAACTTTATCATGAAGGAGGTTGATCTAAACTATGGGCCACGAAGCTCCGTACAAGCTTATCAAACCCCCCACATGCGCGTGGTTCAACAGCCAGCGACAGGCGCACGAGATCCTCACCGCTCTGGCGATGGCCTGCTCGGCTTGCACTGCTTGACTTGCAGCTTTGCTGACTTACAAAGCCATTAACCCCATAGGTTGGTGGAGTCAAGCTTCGAGGCCTCCACACTTGCCTCGATGGAATCCATTGAAGGCGTCTGTGAGCCCAAAGCCGAAGCAGTAAATTGCATTTGTTGGGGAAGTCTTGAACTGCAACAGCCGGAGGGAGAATGAAGCCCCACGTCTCAATGCCTTTTCTTATACATGAGGGTCACCTCAAAATTGCGCAGGTCGCGCTGTTCCGATGCAGCCTTGACATACCATCTGGCAGCAAGGCCACCGAATTACGAAGAGTTTGCACTGAACAGGTCCTCATAGGTCCTCCATCCCGCAGAGGCTGAAAACAGATTCCCACGCTGCCACGCGCAGCAGGAATCGTGTGAAACGTCGCTGAATTAGTGTGCACCGAATTAAAAAACCACGTGGCCACATGGCTAATGACGTGGCGACGCAGCCAGGAACTGACACAGCATGTCGACACACATCTATCTCTAGAAGTTCTCATAAGTTTTATACTAAGGTTACTGAAGAGTCCATAGTAACGTATAGTACAAAGACCACGTGCTTCAGAGCGGGTTCATTTCCCGGTCTAGGACCCAGCCTGCGCAGGCAAAGAAGCCGGGGCCCTTCTGACAAGAGTGCACCACTGACAAAGCAGTTTTCCCGAAAAAACCACTGCAAACCCTGGCCACTCAGTGGCGACTCCTTCGCCACATGCACTCTCCATGCAGCTTCTCTTTGACATAAAAGGCGGCCTTGCGCTTCTTGCCCGCTTGTCTTTCTGCCTGCTCTGAACTTGGCAGGAAGCTTCAACTCCCCCCACGCGAACACGCGAAAAACCTCAAGCACATCTTCTGCGGGTGCCTGCTTCGTTGGCTTCTCGGCCTTTTCGCGCTTCTTGTCGGGCTTCTCGGGCTTCTCTGGCTTCTCAGGCTTCTCGGGCTCGTGCTTGTCTTTCTCCAGCCGCTCGGCCTTCTCAGCCTTTGCGGGCTTCTCCTCCTTGGGCTCCGGTTTTGGCTCCGGCTTCTCCTCCGGCTCCTCCTCGACTACCTCTGCGCTGCTCTTGGGGGCAGGCCTGTCTTTCAGTGATGCCACTTGCACGAGGAGGTCCTCATCGCAGGCGACTACAGACTACGAACATCTGGAAGATGACGAAGCTGTATATTCTTGTACATTCGGAATAGACTAAACATCCAATCTGGAAGGGTTACGAAAGCCCATGATGACCCTTACTTCACTTGCTCCGAGCCTTACTCAACACTAGGAGCTGATCTGCCCCCCTGACCAGCTACACTGCTACCAGTGGATGCGCTGACATGTGAACGAAAACGACTAAAAAGACTCGCGCCGCTCCTGCAAGATCCGCGGGTGCTTGGTGATCTCCGGGCTGCTGCACACCAACATCATCTCAGCGGGCTTCAGAGCGAGCCTGCTGCGAGTCTCCGATGTTTGCGAGGAGGCCGTGTCTTTGAGGCTTCTTTGCGGATTTTGACAACCCACGCCCCTCGAGTAGGTAACTGAAGTATGAGAACCACCCAACACGACACAAGCATGGACGACCACCTGCGAATACAACCTGTTGTATTGAAATCATGGACCCGCTCACGCTGGTGTCCCAGCTGTCGTGTCCGCCTTTCTGTGATCTTCTCTCGCAGCAGGCCGAGTCCAAACTCCTCACACCTCCAATTTCGTGACGACACATCGCCAGCGGCGACTGCATGGTGCACTCAAGTATCATAAGGAGCTGACGTAACCAGGCGGTCCACAACGTTCTCGGTGGTCAGGCCCCTTGCAAGCCACCTCGCCTTCATCAGCCGCATGAGCCCTACCCAATTGGACCATTTAAAGCCAGCAATGTGAAGCCACTTTAAACTGCAAGAGAAGAATGGGACCGCAAAGTGAGGTCAGGACCGCGTGCTCGTGGAGCTGTGAGAATCCGAAGTGTCTTGCCAGGCGTAGAACCTCCTTGTTGACCTCCACAAAAAGTCACACCAAAATAAGTGATACTACTTACTACGAGCTGTTTAACAAAGGCAACACCAAGCGGCCGCACGCCAGCCTGCGCATTGCTGGCCTTGTACTCCCAGCCGGCCTGGGCGCATTCCCACTGCAAGATGCTACAAAAATGGAAACATGTAGGGCCATGTGCTACAGTATACACTGTGGAAGCCTTGCAACCCGAAATCTGAAATCGCACGTCGGCATGTCTGGCGCCCGCGCAGCACAGCTCCCTTTGTAGATGTAGTCAAGGAGGATGCGCATCGCCTGCCGAACATCGTGCTGGCAGGATGCAGCTAGCCCAGCAGACCCTTTGCAAGCTTCCACCTCCGAGGAAGAAAGACCTTTGACCTGAACACGGATCTTGTCTGCCTGCAGCCAAAAGGCGCCAACGGAAGCCCCTCATATATGAACAGTCCAAAGATGTCCATAAGTTGCTGTTTTCTGGCTATCGGTTCCATGTGCACAGAATGTGTAGAGAAAGCGGTGGCCTTCTCACTCGAGGCACTCAGGGTCGCAGGGGCTGCTGCCGCTCCGGCCTCCTCCAACCTCAGCTTCGCTCAGCTTCTCCGACTCGCGGGCTGCGCAGCTCCGCACGATTTCTGTATGGGCATGACTTGGAAGCATCCACCTCCATCGCATCGACATGTGCTTGGACCTCCGGGAGGACATTTGGGGGACCTCCGAAATCCTCCGATACATTCCGACTTACGATCACAACATATCACAACAGGGCACTCGGCCTCGGGGCCTGTGCTGGTGCCGCTTCCGGGCTCCTCAACAACTGAGGGTAGCGGCTATTCAACTGCTGAAGTTTTTTGGGCTTTGGGCTACTGTGCGCAGTGTCCTTTATTTGCACTGTGCACAGCAACCACGTCCCGGCTCACTCGCTCACGGACTCACGGGTGCCTCCTTCGGCTCTGCAGGCTGGGCGGGCTCCGCGGGCTGGGCGGGCTCCGCGGGATCCATGGGCTCTCTCGCTGAGGTGCCCTCCGTGGCATCACCTGGCGGCTGGCCGACCGTGGGCAATGAGCTTCGTCGCTGCCGGATCGGGCCTGCGGAGCTCTCGGCCGTTTCAGGAGCACCCGCTTTCGGCTCCTGAGATCCCGCACCCGACCATTCCCAGAATTTGGCCCACATCACAGCACAGCATGGTCCTCAGCCGCGGTGGGAGCAGGCGAGATGGTCGTGAACAACTCCTTCGAAGGACAAATCGCTCGCAGCTTCAGGCAGCGCAACCCCAACAACGGCAAACTCAGCTACGAGGTAGCAGGCGCCCATGAAGAGAGATGCCTCCATGTCTTGGTCGGCCACGGAATCTTTAGAGGGTCCATGCCTCCACCATGTTCGTCAAGCCCGGCACGCCAACGTTTTACCGAACTGAGGCTGTGGCATGGAAGTCTGACGCAAGTACTTGCAGAAGCTTGGGCTGCTTGCAGCCAAGACCACCTTCGGCTTTCGACTCAGACGATTCTCATCTACAGATTCGAGCGTTGACTCATTAGCCCCTGGCAGCATGAGCTTCAATCTGCTCTTCGCAAGTGACAAACACAATGTCGCAGCCTGTCAATGGTCTCGGTGACATGACGACATGGCAGGCAGCAAGGCTGAAGGCTAGTCCAGGGCGACGGCATTCATTGCTGGCGAGCAGACTCTGCAATCCTGCAGGCGCGCCGGACCCACTCTCAATGCGCAGTTGAACCTACGAGTACATGCTCTTCGTCCTTCATGAAGCATGGTAACACGACTTGTTCGGCTCGCTCTGACATCCAAATCCATGGCTGTTAGGCCTTTGCTCTCTTCCATGCGCACAGAACAAGAGCCTGTGGTTGACTCTATATATATATATATGAGAGAGAGAGAGGGAGTCTAGTGCTGCTTTGATGCCAAGAGATGGCACAGCGGAAGCCATTTTCTCCGCCTGACAGGCAAGGATCTGCCATGCTCGAAGCATCAAGAGCAGCCTTTTTTACGTGGGGGGGGCCGCTCCTCGGCAGCCTCGGCCCGGCCCTTGTGCACGTGCTGTGGAGTTCCCCACCTCGGCCATGAACAGTCACCCAAAATCATCCCGGAGCCTCTACGGAAGTCGCTCTCCAGACATGTAAAACATGTGTCTGTGTGTGTGTATTCATGTATTTATATGTATGTAAATTCACCATATCTACACTTACACGCCTTTACATGTCTTTGCACGTACGTACGTGTACTTACACTCGGTGCCAGCATGCAGTGGCGCTGAGGCCAGGTACCACATTTGTCGGCTGCGATTGGACCTCTGAATCGAAGACAAAGTTTACGAGCAGAGATCAGGAGCATGCGCTACTGCTGGCGCGATCGGTGCGTTCATTGCAGTCATACAATAGTTACACCCAACAGACCGTGTAATTATCATGCAAAAGCCTGAGGCAAAGACCGGGAAGAAGCGAGATACTTGGCCAACAAGCCTACTTTCAGCTGCGATGCTGCAGCACTGGAGGTGCGGCTCTGCGTCATCGAGAGATTCAGCTTGATTAGACTTGACCGCCGTGGCCGGTGAATGGCAGTTCTCTTTAAAGCCGGCTGGGCTCCACACCGTGCTCTCGGTGAGACAGGTGCTGGTTTCTGTATTTCCATAGATCGGCTTATCAGAACTCAGCACCATTCAGCCATTCCTACTACGCTACAGTGCCACCGTCAACTACGCTTCGCGAACTTTCACTTCAAGCTTTCTTGCGGCAGCCTGCACGGTCAGCGCGGTCTGTGCAGCTTGATGCAGAGCCCTGGAAACTGGCTGAAGCACAGGCCTTCACAAAATCTGTTGCGGTGTCCCTGGCCCAAAGCTGGATCCCGATCACCTTGCAGGAACGCTCGAGTGCCAGAGCACGTTGCAGTTCACAGTTCACACGCCCTACCTGGTCCAGTCCAGCAGCCGTGACAGCATCAGTCACCAGGTCCTGCAGCCGTCGAAGTAACTGTCCGAATACCCTAAATGCGTCTACAGCTAGTCGTACTGGCAACAGGATGAAGCATGGCACGTCACAGCGTCAAAGCGTTCTCGGCCCTAGTCACTTCTTGGCTTGATGTTTATACTGTGCAGTGGTACAGCCCGCAACGCCGGTCCATGGCAAGCTCTCGAAGTTCCTGCCAAGGCTACATCAACAGCTGGGGAAAGTGCCGCTTAAGGCATCCACAAGACACTTTTGCACGCCGCTTGCTGAACGATGCCTGACCCTGGACGTTGAATCACGACAGACATGTTCTCTGTTGGATCTTAGAATCTTAGATCGTGGTTGTCGTGGGAACACGTGGTGTCCCTGTTCGCCTTCTCCTCCAAGGTCTCGCCTGCCTTGAGGATCACCCTGCGCTCGATCGATGTCCTACACACTCCAGGCCAGGTCAAAGGCTGAGTAGGAATTTGGATACCCTAAACCCAGGTCAGACAGCACATACAGCACATGCAGCACACACCTGAGGTTGCCGATCATCTCAGCGGCTTGCTGGGCATCCGAGAGCCTGTGCTCAGTTGAGATCATGAGCTGCCCAAGCAGGAGATGTAGTCAGCCTGCTCGGGATGTTGGAGGGCACGGCGTCCCCGCTGAGCCTCAACACTTGTGTGGCAATGCCGAAGCGCTCCAGATGGGTCAGCACAAGGACTTAGTCCTCAAACGTTTCCCCCCCCAATGCAGTAACATGCCGAAAGGCCTCTTTGATGCGTTGCTGACCAGCTCCTAGTCCGGGAGTCTACAATGAGCTGATTTTCACAACTCCGCGACAACTCCCACAGTGTCCAACAAGTACCGTGCGCAGAGGCGTCTCCCTTGCTTCGTTGAATACTCTTGATTGGCCGTCCTCGCCGCGCCGCAGGTTGTCAGCCTCGCTGTCGTCTGCCTGCGGTGCAGTCAGTGAAGTCTAATAGAGTCTAGAAGCAGTCTTGAACTTGGAAGTTCTAAGCTCTCCCAGCTCGCACTGCCTCTGGCCGTGCTGGGATCCGAGAGCTGCTCTCCTAGAGCTGGAGTGCTGAGAGGGATGTTTACATATGACATAGCCGACTGAGAGCCAGGCTGACCGCATCCACTCCCCATCTGGGATGGCTGCTTCCACTGCCTGGCACTCGCATCATGCCCCCAACACCCCATCTGCCATCTGCATGCTGACAGGCTGACAGGGAGGTTTTGCATGGCTTCGCCTTCTTCCCGTAGGTGTTGGACATCTTGTGTGTAAAGCGGTGCACGCACAGCTTGCTCTGCAAGGCAGCATCCGGCGTGGCTTCCAGGAAGGCCTGAGACACTGAAAGGCAGAGGCATCCGAGGACTGCCCAGGCATTTCATACTGCAAGGCTACTGCACCACACAGTACCTGCAAGATCTTCATCGGAACAGAGTAAGTGAACATGTCGCCGGTTGAAGCCTGGGAACGGCAAACGTTGACAGAAGGAAGTCCATGAGAGCTTCGAAAGAGCACTAAGGTGACCAAGAGCTCGCGGTGATGCCTTTGTCTCTGCATCTGCTGGGACTGCAGCCTGTGAGAGCTCAGCTGTCTTTGCCGCCAGGGCAGACTCCACCTGATGTCAATTCCGTGGCAGTTCATGCAGATCTGTGGCATGGCTCTCTACAGGCTCTGGGGCTCTTTCGCCACTTATAGGGTGTAGACGATCTGGATTTCGGGCACCAGTCCGAGATATGCAGGTTTCATTCAGGCGGTTGCGGCATTGCTAGCTGCTTGCTGAAGAAACACTCAGAAGAAAGAAGTGAATGTTCCTCCTTCTGCAGGACGACTAACGCTGGGCAATGCTGGGAAGTCCCTCTCTCTGTCTCTGCCTCGCTCTCTCTGTCTTAATATGTCTGCAGTGCCTCAGAGCTGCTGGCAGCATCCGGACACCTGCACAAAACAGTGCAAGGTGCTGGACTTAGTAACTTACTGTCCACGAAAATGCAATGCTGATGAATTCTTGCTACTCCTGATGTTTGCGCATTGTGTCGGTCCCACCTTGTGCAGCGACTGCATCGCACTGCCGTCACTCGAGCGTCTGCGGCCGCCCGGCGCAAGGCAGGCAGCAGTGTTGAAGAGTACCTCAGAAGCACAGAGAGGCTCAGAGCACCTCCTAGCTGAGTAGGGCGGAGCCATGAAGAGCATAGCTATGGTTCAGCAAAGCCAGGAGCATAGCCATGAGCATAGCCATGAAATGCCATGAGCCATGGAGGCAACGATGGCAGTGGAGGCAGTGGGGGCGCGCCTCGGGCTCCAGAGCTGCCCTGGTGCCAAGAAGGAGGCCCAGGCCATGGCCTCTCACACTGCGTTTTGCGCTGAGTTTCGGTGAGAGGGAGGGAAAAGCGTCGGAGCACAGCGGAAGCAGCAACACGCGTCACGTCAAAGAGTCCTCCCCGGTAGATGGCACCAGGGCCGCCGCGGCCTTCACCGGATTTCACTGCCCGCAGGGCAGGACATCATCGGGTCACTGGAGCAAGCGGCGGCCTAGTCAGCCTCGCAGCCTGTAGCAGCGGCTGAGCTGTGCAGAGTGGGCCTTGACATGCTCGAAGACGCTGATGTGGTGCTTGGACTGAGTCCAAGAAAGAGGCACCTCTCAACAATCAACCACCAGTGCAGGGCCTAAGAGCTTGGGCATTTCTTTTCCAAGTCGCTCTCGAGCCTTGGAGGGTTCGTCACGAACACGGACCAGCTTGGACGAGACCTGACTGAAACTTTCCGATGAAGGCTGACGGCTGCTCATGAGTGGACTTGGAGGGGTGGGTTGCCAAAAAAGGCCGGGAAAGCGTGGATAATGCAGTTGGCACTGGGTCTGCAGAGTAATGAAACTCTGAAACTCTGGGAGTGGCAAACGGTTTTTGTGAAGTGCCATTTTCACGGCCTCTTTCCGCACGCCGATCCAAGGTGCTGCAAGGCTTCAGTACATTTCTATGAGACATCGGGCTTTAGACAAGGTAACTCCGAAAAATCTACATGCTATGAGCTCCATAGCGTGACTCGTTTCTTCCAGGCCCTGTGAAGCTCAACTGAAACACAGGCATCTGCGCGTTTTCCTGATTCCTGTGCGCGCGCGCGCGCGCGTGTCTTTCAGAGGTGCACCCTCAATCAGTTTGGACCGAAAAAAACACCAGCCAAGACTGATTGGCCATGCTGCTCAGGACCGAAGACTTGCAAAAGTCCATGCGATACAAGACCGGTACAAGAATGTACAAGATTGACGTTTTGACGCCAATGCACCATGACGTATAATCTGTTCTCAGTTAGAGGTGCTCCTCGTGCCTCCGCAGCGACTTCATCCGAGTCAGCGAACCAGCTAACGTACACACCTGCGAGCTGATCCTGCAAAGTGCAAAAGAATTTGGTTGGAACGAGAAACCCTACTCGCAAAAGATTTTTCGTAGGTGCAAGCATGAAACAGCTGGTACATGCACCATTGTTCTGCCCTAGGTTGCAATGATGCTTCCCTATGTTGTCCCTACCGCGGCCTGCTCGCTGGCAGACTCCAGCGTGGCCCAGAACGCCGCCATCTCGCCGTCGACTCCACAAAACTCTGCACAGACCTGTTTGTGGAGCAATCCCGCAATCCCGCAATCCCGCACCCAAACCTAGCTTCGGGCATAGCGTCGTCAGCTTTTTGAGCATCTTTGCGCCCTGTAGACTTTCCGACACACTGCTGTCCCCTGCCTCTTTGGCAGAAGGCTCTCTTCGTTTGCTTGGCAAGATTCCACAAGCAGACATATGTGGGCATTGCATGTTACATCAACAATCGAAGAGATTTTTTTTGCAGTAGCGTCAGTTGGTGAGACAGACTCATGACGTCCACCCGACCCGACAACGACAAGCTGAATACGAGTCAAAACACTGTTAGAAGCTGAAATGATTGCCAGTATTCTAGCGACTCAACCAGTTGTTGCATGCACCAGTTTGCCCGCTTTCACTCACTGGTTGTTCAGCACTGGCAAGCCAAGCAACAGAGCCTAAGAAGTGTTCTGTGGCATCCCAGCAATGCACCATCGTGTTACCCATATGCACACTGCCATTGACCTGAGTCCATCGCCAGCGACATCAGCACTGAAGGAGCACTTGTTCTCCACGCGTGATTGCACTTGACTTTGCACCTGGGTGGCCAAAGGAAGGTATGATAGCAAACGCATGAATTAAGTATGTTCGCCTCGGCTGCAGCCATGGGCGTCAGAGGTCCCATAAAAAACCCGGTCCCTTGCGCACAGGGTCCACAAACAGGACTTGTGCAACCGCGCCCTAAAAGTTGCTTAAGGGTGGGGGGGGGGGGGGGGGGAACCCCTTCCCTACTACACATGTGTTAACGATTTGTGTACTTTGCTGATGTACTTCTAACACCTAGCAACATCATCATCATCAGCAGCAGCACCATCTCACTGTCGTCATCATCATCATCATCATGATCATCGTCATGATCAGCATCCTCATCCTCGTCAGCGTCGGTCTCATCCTCATCATCACCATTACCCTCATCCAGCTGTGATCATATCAGCCGCAAGAGCTCGCGACCAAACTCGGCTCCAGGCTTTGGGTTGGCACGTTTGACCGTCAAGCATCGGGATTCGACCGCGGCATCGAGACCTTGGGACTTGATGTTTCTAAAAATTCGCAGGGGCGGGGAGGGGGGGGGGGAGAATTGGGACTGTTTCGGGGTGACATCTCACTCTCAATGCACACGAGGACCCATGTCTGAAAGCCCATGAACATCATGGATCGCTGGATCGCATTCTGTCGTTCGAGCTACGTATTCTGAATAACATATATCATGTAGTACATACTATTGCTACATTTTAGATTGTATACACACAATGCTCGAGCTGCCCTTCGACCGATCTTGGTTTCCGGGCACTTCAGCTTGTTGGCGCAGTGCACGACGCACATCATGCCATCGCAGTTGGTGTCATCTGGTTCAGTCATTGCTGCCTCGTTGGAATGAGGTCAGCTTATTGACGAAACTCGGTGCCAGAGTCCATACAGCACAGCGTAAACAACTACAATACCACATCAGGGCAGGGCCCGGCCAACGAAAGCTAGCCAGGTGAGCAGGCAAGACTGAACATGACAATGAGTGAATATAATATAGGTAAGGATGGCAACAGCAGCCGGATGTCCAGAAGAGGAAGAAGGCATGTAAAAAAAAAGTCTCAGGCTCATCATTACAAGATGGGGCTGCTGTGCACGAGTCCTTTGCAAACAGGATGGCGGACGGATGCTGATTGAAATGAGGCCTCGGGCCGTCTTTGGCCCCATCGCACCAACCGCCCACCAGCCCCCCGCCCCCTTCCCTCTGCGCCCGCCCCTTCGCCATGCCTGCCCTGGCCCACCTCATCCCACCCCTGCCCCTTCGCCCCTCGGCCCTCGAATTTGTTAGGAGATGTCCTTCAAATAAACTGATCTTAGATGCCTTCAACATCCAACCAACAAGCGAATCTACAATCTGGAGCTGAGCCGAGTGGGGGGTGGCAGCTATGCTAGCTTTTCCAAGCACATCCATGCAGCGGCCGTCACATGCTGAGACGGCCACCCGTACTGCTCTATCGACAGCAGTAAGGTGGTCGACTTCATCACATTCTGAGGCATCCCCTGGCCACGTGAGTACTCATACGCATCCGGCATTCCTAAGCCTTCGTCTCACAGGCCGGGTGGGCCACCGAAAATGTCGCAGCCTGAGACCACAAGAATGTTACAGGGCTCCGGCGTGCATTTCGCAAATTGAAGCCACTGAGTATCCGGCCAAGCAGGCATTCGCAGACTTTTGCCGCCCCACCATCGCACCTGTCCAGACATGAACCACGAAACTGTTCTGTGCGCAAGCTAGATTGCAGTATATTGCAGCGGAGGCACTGCACTTCCTCTGCGTGCACCAGCTGCACTGATGTCGAAGCCAAGAATACCTCAGCCGCGAAGAGTACGTAACGGCACAAAATGTTCTACACATCAATGAAGCGCCCATTTCTTGCAGATCTTGCAGGCTATACTCCCCACTCAAGATTTTCAACCTGGCAACTAGAAACTAAGACCCCGACGGCGAGGCACGGCCAGCATCTCATGCTTGTCATGGTCATCCTCCAAACACAGCCACTCTTGTGGCAACGGCGGCAACGCGCACCCAAGAGAGACTTGCTGGTTGCTCAGCCCTCCACTCCTCGCTAGGGCTGCCGGACCCAAAGGCGGTGTTCTTGAGCCCGAATCAGATTGAAGCATGCATCTTAAAGCGAGCTGCCGATGATTAGGCAACTCCAGGCTCCTTCATAATGATCCCTCTGCACCTCATGCTCGATGTCAAGCCCTGTTGAGGTGCACGGCACACTAGGCAGCGCGCGATGGCTACGAGGGAGGCAGCGCCTTCCTTCGCTACCTCACTCGCCAAGGCCAGGGCTTCGTGACTTTGGGGTCACTATGGGGGCCTTCACATCCTTCACACTGCAAACACGTACGAGCTTGGCTGGCAGCTTTGGGAGCCGGATCTTCACCTCAGGCAAATAAAGAGAAGGCTACGAGAAGCACCTGCGAGGCAAAGCCACGGACCATTGCAAGTCTTCTTGTGGGTCTTCCACTGCTCTGCCTGCAAGGTCAACTCATTTTCTGCAAAGTCTTCGCGCAGTCACGGCGAGCCTGGTGAGCTCGGGAGCAATACCAAACCTTCTGGCAACGGCCTTGGGGCAGACGGATGAACTCCGTAGTACAAGGATGAAGCACAGGTTCCCTTTGCCAAGGCCCAGGCCGCACTTGTAAGTGGCGGGCAGGGCACAGACTGCACAGAGATGTTCCACTGCCTGGCGGTTGACGGGCCAAGAAATTGAAAGCGAGAAGATGTGTTACCAAGATGGTCTCTTGCTGGCCCGAGCACTGGTCGTGTCCAAACAATGTGGCACAGCATGACGCACGCACGCACACACACACACACACAAACACACAAGCACACTCGAATCTCCCAGTCTAGGGGTTCATGGATACATCCTCTGAATTCTGCCAGGATTACTCCTGCCACGGACGGTAAGGTGCTGTCCAGTTGGACCTGCCAAAGGGAAGCCCCCGCAGGTCTGTAGCACCTTGCAGGTCTGATGCACCTTCAGCGCAAAGCGCCGCATTGCATGCCAATACTCTTGGTATTGGCCAATATTGTTGTGGCCAGCATCCTGACGTGAACACCACGGCAGCACATAGCAAGCGAAAAGGGACAAGCAGCATCATGGCAGGTTTGGCAGGGAGGCATCAAGGACATGCAAGGTGGAGAAGAGATGAGAACAGCACGGCTTCACAACATGTTATATCTCTCGCTCTCACTCATTCTCGCTCATTCCGCTCATTCTCGCTCGCTCTTTCGCGCTCTCTGGGTCTCTCAATTCTATCTCTCTCTTCTTCTTCTTCTTCTTCTTCTTCTTCTTCTTCTTCTTCTTCTTCTTCTTCTTCTTCTTCTTCTTCTTCTTCTTCTTCTTCTTCTTCTTCTTCTTCTTCTTCTACCCAGCGTAGGGGCCGCTCAAAGGCGCCCCGGCCCCGCTCTCGCTCTCTCTCTCTCTCTCTCTCTCTCTCTCTCTTGTACTTCTTGAGCAACCTGAGGAACATCCACATGGTCGCCTTGACCAGCACAACCTCCTTCTGGCGCGACGCTGCCGCGGCATGAAGGCTCTCGCTGCTTTCGTAGGGCACCTCACACGGCTTCTATTTGTTGAGTTGCTACCCAAGTAGCACTTCTCAGTGGCACACACGACTTTCTATGAGTCCCCCGGCCAGCTCGTCAGCTAAACCGTGGAGCAGCAGGAGCTGCCCACTGAAGGAGCCTCTGGGCATTTTGAGCAAAGAGCCTCTGAATGAAAAACACATCTGCACCCGAGGCATTTAAAACAAGATAGCACGAAGGGTCACCAAGGGCCACAGAGGATCGCCAAGGGCACTGAATGGGGGTTTACGAAAATGCGGGACCCTAAAATAGAACCCCCAAATACTAGGATTCCCTTGTGATCAGGACCCCTTAATCAGGTACCCCGAATGCCCGAATTTCGGAAACCCGCAAATGGCACTTGAATTACTTAGCCAGGCACGAACTTTGTCCAGTGCACCCAGGGTCCACAGTTCGGCATCCAGCGGTTGCAGCACCTTCAAGGTCGGATCCACGCAGGCCAGGGGTCTGCTACAAGGCATCAAGTCAGACCCGTTCACATGAACGCCAACTGATTAAAGAGGTGAGGCACCATGCAGCAGTCCCCTGTCACTAACTGTCAGGACCAGTGGCCTCAAGGTTCGAGTTCTCGAGCTCCTTCGCACTTTATGCGAACACACGCACACCATCGCAGCAAGACTCAGCAAGACTCTGCAAGACGGCTTGGGTCCTTGTGCCACTGCGTCAGCGCGGCCAACCGAGCTTCGCCGAGCCCTCGGGTGTCAAACCCGGCTTTCTTTCCCAGGATGTGTTCATGAAAAGGCCGCCTTAGTCGGCTATGCAGTTGCTGAAATCGCAGTCGAGCAGCGATCACCAGTGGCGGACGACGCAACGGCAGAGTCCTTATGTTGTATGGTGGTGGCAGTAGCGAGATTCGAGATCATTCTGAAATAACGGAATAACATGCTTCCAGTGTTCGCGCATGTCATGCGCCATTCCTGCCCTGAGGCTTCAGCCAGGATCATGGACCTGAAGAAGCACCGGAAAGCACGGAGACGCACCGGCACAGCAATCGTGTGACCGGACTACATTGCGCAAACTTGCCATCAAATCCCCTGGGCCTGAAGAGCGTTGGAAACATTGCCGCGAGGTGGACCGCAACCTGGCGCCAGAACGTACGCACTCGACAAACGTTCGGCATCAGCTCCACCAAGCTTGCCTGTGCACCAAGTGACCTGCCGGAAAGGATAAGACCACCTGCAACAAGGTCACAGCTGAACCTCCCTTCCTTGTGCCTCGTTTCCTTCTCAACCTGGGGTCGAACCTGGGTAGGGCCAGGAGAGCCCATGCTGCACGAAGAGCTCGGGCCTCAATGTCGAGCCATTGTGAGCACGTGTCCGCTTGGCCACCACATGCCTCCTCTGCCACCTGAAACTATCACATATCCAGGGCCCCATCAGATGTTCTGCCAGAGGTTCTGCCTTGAGGGCAAGCAACTTTGTGAGTTGCGCCGTGTCTGTATCATGCCACAAGTCTCGCACATCCTTGAGGAAGGTTGCAAGTGAAGGCTCCCCGGACGACCAGCCTTGTGAGCACGCTGCACTTGCGATGCCTACCATCTGCAGATCTGGGCTGGCTCACCATAACCACGGTAGTCCGTGACAAGGAGGTGCACCGGAAGATCCTCCACAATCACACGCATCCGGGAATCAACAGCTTGATCGGCTTTGTGCACCCCTTCGCGTCCCTGTACTTCTCCGCAAGCTGTGGCTGCAAGTAGTCTGCAGCCGTCTCACCTTGCTGGGTCAACCGGGCGGCTCGAGGCTCGCGTGAGAGGCTGTACTGTCGGCTGTATTCCCATGTTGTGTGAGGTCGCGACCGCTGCCGTGGAAATGGACAACCACAGGTGCCGTCGCGTCCTTCTGGTTCTTCAGAAGGATGTACCTATAGGGCTACGAGTACGAAGCAGTTCTCAGAAATCGATGGATTTCAAAAGCGTGTCCGCAAAGAGCTTTGGGAAGACCGGGGCGCTTGCCCGAGGCGCACGCCACCACCAACAGGGTACGTGCCATCTGCCGCCTCTTGTCACAGCGCAACAATGTCCAACAATGTCCAACCCAAGAAAGGCTCTACATGGCTCTTCACAAAGCTCCCACCTCCATACCTTCCACTGGACAGCCAATGTTCTGCCTCAGAGGCATCGCAGTCGCAGGGGCACAAGGGGCCCTCAGAGGCTTTCTGGGCATGTGGCAGTCTTTGCTGCTGCCGAGGCTTGAAGAGGCCCTGGCCTTATCTCACTGGCACACCGAAACTGAATTCCTCCTTTTGTGAAAGGCCGGGTTGTTCTAGATTTGGGTCTCTCGGGGCCTGGGCCCTTTCAACCAAACAGAATCCTCTAGAACGAGGGGTTTTGTTTGAAATTGTGAGCCTTTTGGGGACTCTAGCTTTTGGGGTACCAGAAACAGACCTGATTTAGTCCCCTCACATCCGAGCCCGGCTCCCAAAGCATGCCTGCGGAGCGCCGATTCCTCGGCCTGCAGATTCAGGGTTTAGGGGTTTAGGGGCTTAGGGGTTTAGGGGTTTAGGGGTTTAGGGGTTTAGGGGTTTAGGGGTTTAGGGGTTTAGGGGTTTAGGGGTGTAGGGGTGTAGGGGTGTAGGGGTTTAGGGGTTTAGGGGTTTAGCTTAGGGGGATTTTGGGGGAGGGTTTAGGTTTTTTTTGCGGGTTTTGGGATATTGCAACACCGTGACACAACGGAAAGAGGCACACGCAATGCTCCCGGCGCCTGCTCCCAGCACTCCAGAAGTGGTCGCATCTCTTTGGAGCAGGATCCCTGGGCCACAGCAGCCGGATCTGGTCTAGAGAGATATAGGTTCTTTTAGCTGTTGTTTGTTTTTTTTTTTTGGGGGGGGGGGGGGGGGGGGGGGGGGGGGGGGGCGGGGGGGGGGGGGCGGGGGGGGGGGGGGCGGGGGGGGGGGGGGCGGGGGGGGGGGGGGGGGGGTGGGGGGGGGGGGGGGCGGGGGGGGGGGGGGGGGGGGGGGGGCGGGGGGGGGGGGGGGGGGGCGGGGGGGGGGGGCGGGGGGGGGGGGGGCGGGGGGGGGGGGCGGGGGGGGGGGGGGGGTGGGGAGGAGGGGGGGGGGGGGGGGGGCCATGTTGCGTCCTAAACCCTGCACGGAGCACGGATGTGGTTTTTGTCCCTGCCGCCTTGTCGCGCACGTCCGAGCCCAAGCACAGCCGCGCAAAACAAGCGAAAGCCGCTGCCAGGGGCCCTGCCTCCAGCATGAGCTCAGTGTAGTGAGTTGTAATTGAAGTTATAGTGTGTGGGTGTGTGCGTGTGTGCGCGCCGTAAGTGTCAATTGCAGACAGTTCCAGACTCAGGCGCCATGCTGAATACACTGAATACACTGAAGCCGTGCACTTGTTTGGACCAGCCCTGTCTGCACGCAAGCTGCTACTGATTACCTAGCCTAATTCCTCCACGCCCCCAAGCCTAAAAGACCTAAGCAGCCCAAAAATGGGCCCTGAACCAAACGCCCAGCCCATGCCTTGGTCGAGCTGCCATAGTTCTTCAAGGCCTGGCGGCGGCTTTAGGGTGGCGCACTTGGGGCCCTTTGCACTTATGAGCCATTCCTTCGGGCGTATGGGTTCAGCCGAGGGGGGCTTACTGGGCTTCTTAAATAGGAGTATGGCTAAGGCTGAAGGTTTCTCAGGATTTCCTCACTCCCGATTCCATTCTCCCAGGTGGCCTCCTCAGCGTCCTTTAACGCAGAGCCATAGTGACAAAACCTTGACACACAAGGGAAGTTCCTCATAGCAACAGCCTTAACAGCCTGATTTTACGGCTGCTGGGCGAGCAGCTTCCAGCGCAACAACGCTCGGGTGACGAGGAACAGGCCTCGCAAGGCAATCTGTGCTTGAGAGCCGATATGGCCTATAGAACTTGGATCGAGGGCTGAGCGGGAGTTTAGAAAAGTTTTCGAACGCTGGCGGATGGTGCATGATGCTGTGCCCAGATTGCAGATTGAAGGGCGACAAGATCCTGACACACTCAGGAGCGCACCACTGGGAACCGCCGTCCGCTTCTCTAAGACCTGGAACGCTTCGTCCCACCTCAAAGACAGTGCCAGGAGGCTTCCCCGACTTGATACGCTTCAATACGATTCAGACGGCTCAGCTCTGGACTTCTGCTTTCTTGCGAGCTCTTCTACACTTCGCAGAAAGCCTCTGGTCTCTTCCTGCGAAGTTTCCACTGGGGAGGGGATACCTGCGAGCACTGCTATCAACAGGCTGTTGGGCCCACCTTGCCCTCCAGCTCCGCGGCTCGCTTGGCATCCTCCTCTGCCTCTCACAGACTTTCGGGTCTGTAGGGCATCTAGGGTATTTCAGGGTGGTAGGATGGTAGGATTGCAGTGAGACCAAAATTGGCCTTCTTCTGCCGCAGGAATGCCGGACTGTCCGAGAAGGTGTATGGGCATTCCTGTGAGTGCAAGGCACGGACAACGGGATCAGATCACCGCCAATGCATGCTCAATGCCGCCTCTTCCATCGGGTTCTCAGTGATGAGAGCCCCTTCGCATCCGACTTTCAATCCCCAAAGCGCCACAGCGAGCCTAACCAAGCTGCATCCCTGCCTTTCTGCGATGGAATGAACCGCTTCGGAGCTGCCTAAGTACTCTGCGAGTAAGGGGCGCATGAGTCAGGAAGCCTTTCCTGAGCTTCTTGTAATGAAGATGCCCTCTGGGTCCTGCGCCTTCTTTTTCTGCAAGGGTTGTTGGCCCATGCTCCGTGGCAAAATTGCGAGCGAACTGACATTGGCACGTTGGATATGATAGGTGCACATACACTGCGCCCTGCACATCAAGAGATACTCGAAGGTTCATCGTGTATTATGCAGTGCTTCCAGAAACTAACCATGCTGGGCATACTCATCTGCCATGGCGTCAAGGGGGCTCCGAAGCCAGCACCGGTTTGCCCAAAAGTTCGCTCCGAGAGTTCTCAGAATCCTCGCCTAACTAGGGCCTCGATGTGCATCGCATTAGGCATTGCATCGCGGTTGAGCCCCTGGTCTCTGCCGGGCCTTGGTGTTGTCAGGCTTGGCTCGTATTTTGTATGTGTGTAGAAAGAATAACTTTGCGTGCGCGCATTGTCCGGTTGCAGATATCAAGAGCATCTGACTTCTTGCTGGAGGGTGGATGTCTATATCTAGAACTTCATTTTTCACTTATTTCTGTACTTATTGATGTAACATCATCATGCTCTTGCAAGCGGCTGTCGGAATCGTGCGTGCTCCTGCAAGCTGGCGAACCCCTGAGCCATGGCCATGAAGCAGCACGAATGGAGTCCGTGAGTCAGCATGCTGTCGGCAGTAAAAGGGTTCTAGATTGGGCACTCAAGTTGCAGGTCGAATGGTAGCATGACGGACCTAAGTTTTGGAAACGGCCACGCTCAAACCCCAAGCGCGCAGCTGCCGTCAGTCTGTCTCAGACTACGTTTCCTACTCGCTCTCTGCAACACTTGCTGTCGAAATTGCTGAGACGACGTCACACCTGTCTAGCCGTATAGCTGCACATTTCGACAGTGACCCTCGAGGAACGGATGCTCGAGTGAGCAGCAGCTTCCGAAGCATCATTTGATGCACGCAAGCTTCATGAGGCTTCTTATAGCCACCCCAGATCACTGCGAGTACTTAAAGTAATCATGGAGCACTTCATGCTCTTCCAATAACAAGTTAAGTGATACTAGTGACGGAGTGGCTACTCGGTCTCACTTCCTTCCTCGGCCCCTAACGCCCTTCACAGCCTTCGCTTTCGCGCCCCGACCTCCACGGCCCTTGCCTTTCGCTGCCCTGGGAGGGGTTGCAATCGCAGTCGCCGGGTTGTCTTGAACATCCCAGCTTAATGTAGTTTAATATAGTTTAATATAGTGTAATGCAGTTTAATATAGTTTAATATAGCTTAATAAAGACTAATATCGTTTAATATAGTTTAAAATAGTTTCATATAGTTTAATATAGTTTGAAATAGTTTCATGTAATGGTTTAATGTTTTGCCTCCTGATCCTGAGCTCTGAGGGACCAGCTTTCCTTTCGTTTTCGCAGCGGCCGCAACTTTGGCCTGCAGGTTCACAAGTCCGCAAGTTTAGGCACCATGTGAAGTACTCACTTCAGGGCCAGAGTCGCACACGTTCCCACACGTCATGTACGCGGACCCCTGCAGGGCGCCTTCTTCTCGAAGAATGCTTTGGCCTTCGCCCTGCTCCCGCACCCGACGGGAGAAAGCACACGGACGCTGTCGAAAACAGTGGGGGCGCATCGTGGCATCATGGCAGGCACCTCGGCTTCACGGCCTCCTCGCCCTCGTCGGCCTCGTCACCTTTGCCTGGAGCAACACCCGCAGCGCTTACTTCGGGATGCAAAACATTTGGGAGTCGCAACACATGTTACGCGAGTTAACGCTGGCCTAAGCGGCCTACGCGCCGGGCCCGAAACATTGAGCAGAACCTGCGTGTCGCCTGCCTATGCGTGCCTACGCCCTGCGGAGAACAGGGCTGCGTCCTATTTTTATGAACTCCCACATAGAAGGAAAAAAACTCAAGTCAGGATCCCTTCCAGGTATCTTCCATTCCACTATCTTCCAAAACAAAACCCCCTTAATGAACAGGACCCCGGAAAAGGGACCGATAATTTTGGGGCAACCCTCGCAGCCGAAGGCCACCACCTGCAGGCCTCCAGCTGCTGTGTTTGCGGCGCTTTTGGTGAGCTTCTCCAGGCCGGGAGGAGGTGGCGGCTTTTTCTGGCATGTTTAGGTTTAGCGCTTGGGGTTTAGGGTCTAGGGTTTAGGGTTTGGGGTTTTGGGGTCGCAAATAAACCACAGAAACATGGCAGTCTGTGATGATTGGGAAGCACAGGGAGCGCAGGGGAGAGGACGAGGGAGGCAGGCAAAGGCGCCGAGCGACCGACACTCTAGCGAGCTTTGGTCAGCTTTGGTCCGACATAGTGGCACCCTAATATAAACCCCCCAAATAGTAGGATTCCCTGAAATAAGGACCCCAATAAGGTACCCCTAATTTCGGAAACCCCCGAAAATGTCCGAAACATCTCAGCTGGAAGCCCTGGAAGTCATGGCCAGCAGGGCCGGCACCATGTCGTTGAACAGGCCAGGGAGCTCAGTCAGGGTCAGCTTGAGCTGACGCTCCTGGCTTTGACCCAACGACTGAACGCGGAGCAACGTGCGCACACGGGTAGCCGAAGATGGCATCATCTCTGCACCATCCTGCACCATCCTAGATCCTAGAGTCCTAGAGCCCAAGGCCTGCATCTCGGCAAGAGCTGTCGTTGACAGCTGTCCAGGCGGCAGAGCCGGCGTTGGCAAAGGCGTCGAGCTGAGGCAACAAATACTTGAGCGCTTCGGGCCGCATTTTAAAGAAAGGCAGCAGAGCTACACACCAGCCAGCGCCTCGCTGCCGTCTTGGCCTTCTTGGAAGACTGCCTGAGGCTAAACAAGCAAGCGCTGTGAAAGACTGCAATAGCAGAACATTCCTTCGAAGATCCCTCTTGGACAAGCGATGCTTCTACTCCGCTTGTTTCATGCTACTCATGTTGTGTACGTCAAACCCGGATGGGCCTCACAGTTATCAACCAGAAGGCACTCCTACGCTCTGATGCAGGGCGGCGAATAAGGCGGCTACGTGCTGCTAAGGGCAGCCCGCTTCTGTGCAGCTTTCTCCTCACCATCACACAGGCATCTGCCAGCCCTCCAGAGGACAAGCTAGACGTCAGCTAGGGAATCTGTGAACACCGGCTCAGACGGATGCACACACCAGATGCACACACCAAGCTGTCCGAGGAAATGCTATGGCTCTTCAGTGGCACAGCCCAGGACGGTTATCTCCGCACACTGACAAATGGAGCCTTTCTACGTCAAAAGAGCCGAACCTGAATCGTAGCCTCTAAACTTGGATCGCTTGTGAGAGACCTCTTTACAAGGAATCCTACTGTGAGGCACGGAATCCTCACTAAGGAGGAACAGTTCCCACTTGCCTCTGCGGCAGCCGCACGGCTTCGGGCCTCCAAAGCTCCGAGCCTAGGGCACACGTGGAGTCATGGAATGGGGCGGAGGAGGTGTTTGCTGTAAGAAGGGTTAGAGTATCTGGGGTGGGGGGGGGGTGTATGTTCGGGGCGCCCCTCTTTTTTCACAAGTACCCATGCATAATCTCGGGTTCCCCAGGTTCGCCACCCTCGCAACTGTCGTCACTGTTGGAGGTCCTCATCGGATGGGGCCTTTGGGCTTCGCCATGCTCGTAAAAGTCGTCACATTTGGGGCCTCATGTCTTCTTCGCGTTCCAGGAGTGCCGACAGTTGCGATGATGGGGCCCCTAAACCACGAAACCCTACAGCCCTAAACCCTATAATATCCTAAAAACCCTCACCTCACCCTAAACCCTACAACGCCCAATCAGGTGGGGAAGTGGGCCAATTTTAAGCTTTCACGGTGCACAGCGTTTGCAGAAGCTGGGGCAGACCTGCAGCCATCCAAGGGCGATGCTCTTTGAGGATCTCGTTCAGGTCGGACTCCCACAGCTCCTCCAGGCAGCTTCAATGATGAACCGAAATCGACTTCTAAGCCTTTTCTGGTGAGATGGGCGCCTCCGGCGCTGTGCACTCAAGCTTGTGGAGCTCGGCCTGAAGCACAGCGGGTGACGTGAGCAGCTCATTCATGTCATTCCAGACAGAGTTATGCGTTTAGGGTTTGCCAGGGTGTGTGAGGCAAGGCTCGCAGCTCCCACAGGTTTTGTACCCACCTGCTTGTCCTTCAGCTGAGCCAGGAGGTGAGCCACTCGTTCGGCGGTGAGTGACCTGTCTTTTTGAAGCTTTGGAATTTGCACACGCCCCATTGGTGGCTAGGAGTGGCACCATATGGGCATTCCCAGAAGGTATTCCCACTTCCCTGTGGATCCATCCGACGCCACGTCTTCACCTGGGCTCTTCCCTGGTTCCATGGTTTCATGGCTCCATACAGTCTCTCTTGCACCCTACCTTCGGTGATCTCACGGAGAGTCTTGAAGCCACGCTTGCGCAAATCCTGCGGTGGCTCATGGTACGGCCAGTGTCGGGAAGATGGGAGGCACGCTCAGCCACCTCGATCAAGGCGTCTTTCTTCCTGTTCTTTACCTTCAACTTCTCGTCGATGACCTAAAGGCGACTGGTTGCCGAAACAGCGGGGTTCAGGGTGGTACCCTATGCCCTAAACCCCAAACCCCAAACCCTAAACCCTAAACCCCAAACCCTACAAGGGTTCGTTCTTTTCAAGCTGGTCGGTTCCAACAGCCTCCTGGATGAAGCGAGCTTTTGCCGCGAGAATCTCTGCCTCGATCCTCGGCACGAACTCTTGGAAGTACCCGGTCGGAAAAAGAATAGCCACTGAACCATGTTATTGCACTTTTTAGACTACATTTGATGAATTTATAAGTTTTTAAGTATAGTATTCATCTATTCCTATATTTACGATACTATCCATAACCTCCTCTTCTTTGCTGAGGCGTTCGCCGCAAGACTCTGACCAGGTGGGCCTTGCGCTTGTGGTAGTACCTTGGAGGCTTGGCGGCTTGCCAAAGGAATCTTCTGAGAGCCTGGGCCCTAGAAGACTAGGCAACGTGCTGCGACATAGTCGCTGTTCCCTTCTTGCGCCCTGCTAAGTCTGAGCATCCGGGCTCCAACCTGAGTTCTGCAAACTCCTCGATGAGGTGGCGCTCATCGCTGTACCGTCTCGGTAGCCATGTCATTCATGCCACATGCAACCAAGTCTGAGCGTGCATGAGCTTGCGGCTTGATCTTGCCGTCCTTGTCGAAGAACATCCTCGGATTGGGCATTAGGAGTCGAGGTGTGGGAGCGGTTAAACAGTGGAACACCACGGGGTTGTTTTCGTCCCGAGTCTTGAGCGTCCAAAAATCTGCCTTCCGCCGCAGGGAGCCTGCTTCCCTTGCGCCCGAACTGAGCCAACCACATGTTGTTTGTCGAGAGTGAACTCCGGAGCTTGAAGGACTTCTCCAGTCCTACGGGCGACCATCATGGGTTTCGGATCAGGTTGGGGCACGCCTTGCCCTGTGGTGCACGCAACTACTCCCAGGAGCCCAAAATGGACCATAGTTTCGAAGCATCTGGTGGCTCATTGAGTTCCATGGTCAGTTCTCCAAACACCATCAAATCATCGGAAGCAGCATCCCAGTGTGCGGGTCCTATGTATTCGTGAGCTTTCATCTGCTCCTGGCAGGCAAATAGCGAATGACCAAGGGCATCACTGCGTACTCACCGCTGCAATGTCCTCCGTAACTGTGATGATGAAGTGGACGGCAACCTTTTGAAACACTCAGCGAGATGAAGAGGCATCCTTCTTAAAATTCGGAGAAACTTGCCAGGCCTCAGTGTGGCACTCCTGCAAGCTGAGTCAGGTCAAGGCACAGTGAGAAAGTTGCCATAAAGGCTACCATTACATCACATTACATTGCATTCCATTCCACTACATTGCACTACATTGCACTACATTGCATTGCAGCAGGGCCCTCAGTTGGACAATTCCCGACTCCTTGAAGTCTTCGATCTGGCCGGTCCCAGGTCCGTCGGTCGACAGCATGGGCTGGGAGGCAACAGTACAGTACAGGACAGAAAGTGCGAAGAGACACAACATGGCTGGTTATCGAAATGATGGTCCCTTCCTGATCCCTATTATAATACGGCCCGTAATATTCAGGGTACCCCGAAAGGGACCATAATCTTGACAACCACCCACATGTACGTAAAGCTCAAGTGTGCTGTGGGAGCGGGCCCTGCCTGGAGAACTCCCTCCTTGTAGTCCTCCAAGACATGGGCAATTTCAGGCGCGCAACAGCTTGAATCCCTTTGCTTCTCACAGCAGGGACTGCCTGGGTCCATTTCCTGATCGGCAGCTCGGTGATCTCCAAAGTGGTCGGCCCTCTCCTCAACAGCACCCGTAGACCTCTAAACCCCTGAACCCCTAAACCGGACTCCATTGGCTAAACCGTGAACCACAAATTCCGAACAGAGGACTAACCGGAACAAACATCCAATCACCCTAAACCCTAAACCCTAAACCCTAAACCCCCAAGCGTGCTTCTCACTTCTGTCAGATCTCTGTGAGTCTAGAGAATCCAAGGCAGCAGCTTCTCGATCACGCCCACCGACTCATAGCCCACCTTGTCGGGCGACCTGAGATCCACAGCACCGATTCTTAGTAGGGATTGAGGGAACTGGGCACCCTGTAGCCCCCTGTAGGGCACCGAATTCCTCACATTCCCAAGTAACCAACCAGTAGGACGAACCTGCATACGACGCGACCGATCCCACCCCCCTCACTCCACACACTCCTGACGCTCTGGCAGGACGATGCTTCCCTTGAAGCCGGAATACCACGGGCACATGTCCTGCGAGGGGCGCTTGGCACGCACATCCCATATCGAAACTTCAGAACTCCTGCACCGGCTGGCAGCGGAGATACCTGGCTGTGAGGGCTTACAAAGGCCTAGCCCTAAACCCTAAACCCTAAACCCTAAACCCTAAACCCTAAACCCTAAACCCTAAACCCTAAACCCGAACCTAAACCCTAAACCCTAAACCCTAAACCTAGGGGTCTTTACAGCTCAGAAACTGCTCAGCCGCCTCTTCAGGTTGGCGATGATGTCCCGGGGGTGATAGTTGGGGAGGAAAGTCGACCATCCAGTTCCGATCCCTGGAGCACCGATGATCTAATCATAATCATAACCATCATAATAACAATAATAATATTACTAATAATAATAATAATACTAATAATAATCGTACTCAGAATACTAATAGTCATAATAATCATAATAATAATAATACACCAGCAATGATGTCACCGGTGCTGGACAGCCTTCTGCGCCATTCACAAGGACCAGTGGGAGGACGGGAATGTACCTTGCAGAGACTTGCAGAGTGTCCGGGGCTCAAATAAAGAAAGACTAGGAAGTCAAGGGCTGCAGTGAAATCATATGCTTGAGCACCACTTCGGCTCGATCCGCTGACCTTCTTCAACCTCCACACAAAGAAGCAGCTGGAATGTGGTGTGTCGGCACACCGTGTCCTGGAAACTGCTTCAGTCCTGGAAATCGAGCAAAGCATCGTCAGAAGGGTGGAAAATCAGACGGGTGACCCTCAGCTGTGAGCTCGGTCAGCTTTGGTGAGGCTTCTATTATGACTCGGCGGGGAGTGTAGGAGTGTGCTGTTCTGTGGCAACCTTCAAGCAAAAAATGTGTGGAAAGCTCGGGTCGAGGCTTCTCCAGCCGAGTGTAGATGTAACGGGCACTGGCGGCATCCTTGCCTTCCAGGAGTGCATCAAGCGCCACAGATATGGAGTCGCAAACAGCTCGGGGAGAGGAGTGAGACAACTTCTTGGTGGTGAGACAACACGCCAACTCCAACTCCTACGGCGTGGTTTCTGAGCTCGCGGCCGCCCTGAATGCGAGTCCCGAACTGCCCGGACGGCACAAGCAAGCTGATGTTGTTTGCGCCGACCTTCGCTCTGAAATCACTGTGGAGGTTTCGCCTCTCACTGCTCTGCGCGGGAGGCAAGAACGTCTCAGGCGCATCGGATCTGGGCTTGTATGCACTCATGTGTGCTGCATCTTCAGCTTTATGCATTCGGAACAGGAGGCCAGGACCCCATGTAGCGTTTTGCGTAAATAAATGCGCATGCAGATAGACCATGTGGTATTTTAAACTGAACATATCTGTAGATCTCTCTATATGACTGTGCTTATATCTATGCATAGTATTACACAATATGCTCAGCTGCTTTTGCCGCTGGCGATAACTGACTACTTATGTACATGATACGGAACGGATAGATACATACATACATACATACATACATACATACATATATATATGACAATACATACATATACATTTATATATATGACAATACATATACATGGGTGCAAACATGAGTGTATATTTACATATATGTGTATATATATATATATATATTTATATATATAGACATATTAATACATGTGTCCGCACAACGATAAGTACAATTGCCACAAACACAATGCCACGCTTAGGGTTTAAGAGCGCAGCCTATATCAAGAAAGTAGGCAGATTGAAGAAGATAAAGCAAGCAAGCAACCACGCGAGCGAGACATAGCAGGGGGCTTCAAAGCTGGGGCGGTGTTCCGTCACGGCTCCTGGAAAAACCGGAGCACGCACCAAAATTCTGCCATTTAAGGGCTAGGGAGGATTACGACCACAGAGACGCGCGAAAGAAGGCATTGCAGAGACTTCACGGCGCATCCCTGAACTCCGAGGTCCACACAAACGTCTGCGCCAGTCCTACGATGGCACCTCGCAAAGAACGATCACGCTTAGCAAAAGCCGCTAAAAACACAAGCCTTATCAAGGACTTCACATCACATGCATCACATCTTCGACCTTGTAAGGATGATTCGCCGTGGTGGTACGCTGCGTGCTCTGAAACATAGCCTCAGAGCCAGACAGCCTTTAGAAGCAGGAATGTCCAGCCGGACACACAGTTGCACACTGCTGTGCAGCTTCGACTGCTTCAACCAGCACTGACTTGAAGTCTGTGTGCGTTCGGGGGATGTAAACCCCTGTAAGCTGATTGCCTGCCAATTGAGCCACCTTCGTGTCCTTGGCGATCGGCGTGGTGGCTCCATTTTTCACTTGCCAAGTCCCAAAGCATCCTTAAGCCATACCGATTTTCTGAGGAGGGGTCGCTCTTCAGGTTTCGCTTGAAGGAGGCCCACATGATCTTGCGCTGTACTGGCTTGAACCCATCAACCACGGATGGGATAGCCCGTAGCACCTGCAGCCAAAGGCCAGCCGGGACGATAGCAAAGGTAAAAAAACGACAGAAACCAGCAGATACCATCATGCGGTGAGCCACTGTCTGAATTGAAGGCTCCACGTGATTGTCTCTGTCCGCAAGCTCTGATTCCATGAGAGCAGTATTGGGTGCTGACTTAAGAACCCACCGAATCTCCCAGCCAAAAGGCTTGCGGAGCTACAGTGGAACACTTCTCCGAACTGCCCAACCGATTCCTTAAAATGCCTCTTGAAGCTTCCAACATTCTGCGACACACGGTGAGCAAGACTCGTTGCTTGCTGCAATTCGTCCTACTTTCTACCGTGTCTAGCAGTTTGCATGGTGATGGTTTCCACTCAGCAGCAAGGGAAGTAAGGACGGTTGTGCAAGTATGTTCACGTCCAAGCCACATCGTACTTTGCGAACTGCACCAACTCTTTGTTGATGAAGTCCAAGTACGTGACTGCATCCTGGGCATGCAAACACATGCAAAACTGCACTTCATCAAAGATGTGCGTGGGGGGGGGGGGGGGGGGGGGGGGGAAGGGAGATGCAAACTCCATGAGCTCTCGCTGTCGGATTCCTTGGAATGGTCCACGAACTCCTCGTCATCAGCGTCGTTGATCCACTCCTCCGGGTGATTCTTCGAGTCTACATCCCAAACATCCCCAAAGTGATACACAGCTCACATGCTCAAATGTCTCTCTCTTGCCTTCCTAAGTAACCCCCCCTATACCCCCCCTACACCCCCCCCCCCTATACCCCCTAAACTGGGCGCTCCTTGCGGTCATCCGCCCTTTTCTTGTTGAAGGCCATGTCGAAAGCTTCGTCGTCATTCTGGCCCGTGTACTCGAACGAGAGGCTGTGCTCCTGTATGATTTAGTATCTGTTTTATTCTGATGCAATGTATATATATATATATATACATATATATATATATACGTATATATACATATATGTAGATGTTCATGTTGCTTTCGCGTGTATGTCTATATATGGTGCGTCGAAGATCCATGCTTTTTCTGGTCTTCCACAAGAAAATGGGCCTTGACATGAAAGGTGCCGTACTGTCCCAAATTCGTTGGGGTCTGGAAGCAAAAAGATAGAAATTGGGAAAGTGTGTACTGTCTAAAACTTTGTGGGGTCTGGAAGCACAAAGATTGGGAGAAGGAGGCTTTGGGCCTCGTTCCTTGCTTGTGATCGGCCAAGAGTAATCCTCCTCCGAAGGCCACACCCTGAACGTTTATCCTCTTGGATGTAGGGTTTGGTTCGTGTTGCAGATCAGGTCGAACTCGGATGTGATATCACTAGAAGACCACACACACATCCTCCATCGGGCCGCATTCGGAGTTAGATTGCAGCAAGGATGGGGAGCATGTGAAGCTGGCTTCCCAACCCAACTCTGGAAGCCTTACAACGGACTCGATCGACAACACTCAAAAAAGAATGGATCTTTGAGGGGGGAAGGGCGGCAGCAAATTGTATATGGTTCCAGGCTCCCGGGCCCTACTCCCCCACCCCCCCTGGTATCCCCTCGCACCCACCATGGCGGTATCCGGCACTAAGCCTTAAACCAACCTTAAACCTCACACCCTTAACCTAAACCGTAAACCTTCAACCCCAAACGCCAACCCCCATTCACAGCACAGAGGGGCTAAACCTTAAACCCGAAACTGATGTAAACCCTAAACCTTAAACCTGAAACCCTAAACCCTAACCCCCCAATCATACCCACACCACGGAGGGGGAGGGGAGGGGGGGGGAAGGGGTAGGCGGCCCGTCTCTGAAACTTCCACCCCAAATCCGAACCCCAACCCCCCAATCACGCTACGGGCCTAAACCTTAGACCCTAAACCCCAAACCCTATACCCGAAACCCTAAGCCTTAAGCACTAAACCCTAACCCCCCAACCACCCCCTGTGGGGGGGAAGGGGGGGGGGAGGGGGGGGGGGGGGGGAGGGGGGGGGGGGGAGGGGGGGGGGGGAGGGGGGGAGGGGGGGGGGGGGGAGGGGGGGGGGGGGGGGGTGGCAGCCCGAGACCATTATGTATGTATATATATATATATGTATATATATATATATATAGATATATTTGTTTATTTATTTATTTACATATATGCATATGTATATATCCGCGCTAGGCTGCAGCAGAACACGGCAAAGCGCTCTGGGGAGCTTGCATTGATGTTGCTGAAATATTCCTTGGCTTCGGCCATCGTAGATGTTCCGAGACCTACACCAGAGCAGCTAGTGGAGTTCTCGAACTTCCTTGGACAAGAGGTGCCGAGAGTAAGCGCATGGCCTTTGTAATACTTCAGATGCCATCCACGCCCGTTGTTGTTCTCTTCCTTCCACTTCTCGTACTCCTGCATGCTTCGCAGAAGATGCGAAGAACCCGAACGAAGTTGTTCGGTTGCTTAGGTGAGTTGTGCTCGCCGAGGGTTCAGGCGATATTCGACTCAACCTCTGCACTCACGCGCCACTGTCACCCACATCAGCTGTTCGGCGTTGGCAAAGCTCTTCTTCCTCAAATTTCGACTCTAAACACTGCATTTCACATCGTGTTCATTCAACAAAGGGTTACCGAGATTCCCTTAAAGAGAATCCCAACAAACGCTTTGCTGCTGGTTGGTATGTCAAGTTGGGTGGGGACGTTGTCTGGCGTCTTGTGTCGAGCGGCCTTGGTGCATGTGTTGCTTTCCCTGGCCATGGGGGGCGAAATCGCGTAGCCGGACACAAGTGAAACCGGTTGCTGGGCGGGGCAGTCCCCCCTGGAGATGACAAGGTTGCTGATGTCCCGCAATTGCCAGATCCTCCCTGGTACTGCACAGAATATGGCATCCTAAATCCCTCAAAATTGGGTGCCAGCTTTGCGGACACTCATGGAACATCATCGACAGGCCAAGCCTTTAGGAGACCTGCGCAGACCTTGGAAACCAGTCAGATCTTGCCAAGAGAGGCTAGGCCCCTCTATATTGCATCTTCCTTTTGGGCGATACCTCCGATTGATGGTGGAACCCTCTCAGTCAGAATGCAGTAGGATGCAAGCGATTTCAACCGCGTCCTGCATTGTGAAGAACTGCTGCGTGGTGCTCCGGCGGCTCACTTTCACCTCATGAAGCTTTGAGACTTGAGAAAGTTGGGAATGAGTGCTGGAGACTTGAGTGTTTTGAGAATTTGAGAGTTTGGCCCCAAAGTCTGAACCCGAGTCATCTATGGAATGGAAATGTACCGGCCTGATTTTAGCTGGGGTTCCCACGATCGGGGTGACAAATTCCGTCATGAAGCCAGGAAGCTTGAAAAGAGAAGGCCACCTAGTCGACAGAGGGCGCTCTCAGTATGCAACAATGATCAAAATAACAATAATAATAATAACAATCATAATAATAATAACAAGAATAATATTAATAGTAATAATAATAGTAATAATAGTAATAATGATAATAATAACAATAAACTTTTCCAAGGTCAGCTCCAATGCTGGACGAAGTTCAGGATGAGCCCTTTGATGTGAGACCCGTCGTAGTCTTGGTCTGTCATGACCTGACATCTTCCAGAACATACGATAACATCAGATAACATCAGATAACATAAGATAAGATAAGATAAGATAAGATAAGATAAGATAAGATAAGATAAGATAAGAAGACGTAAGGGAACATGTAAGAAAACAGAAGGTCGTAAGATAACATGAGGTTATAAGGTCATTCAGTTGACAAGGCAGTGCTTGCTGAGGCCGCGGCCATGATGGAGCCATAGCGTAAGCCATTCGTGGAGTGATACTCCTTGCGGGGCCTCAGCACTTCTGGCTCCTAGCTGTTGTTGCAGTCCATGGCCCTTAAGCCTAAACCCTAAACCCTAAACCCTAAACCCTAAACCCTAAACCCTAAACCTCGTGAAACAGGCTGGGCCCACTCCAAGCCAACGATCTTCGTGATGTTTGCAATCTCGGCATTTCCTGTCAAGGACGTGAGACGGCCGGCAATGTCTTGCTCACTAGGCAATTCGCAAGCTGTGGCACCTCTCAGGCGTTTGGACACAACTTCCGCGACACACACACAGGGGTAGAAGACATGTAGCTTCACAGTTACTGGAAAGAAGGCATCCACTGCTTGGAGCCGCGTGCGCTGTTAGGGCCAGAGGTCCCCCCAAGATTGCAGATGAGCCACCCATTGTCTGCGCAAAAGTTGCATCCCGAACCTTGGCTCTGAAAGAAACAGCCTCAAGGCAACCACAGCGCAGGTTTAGGGCATTGCCCTCCAGGAACTTCGATGCTTAGCGTCGCAAGCATCTCACTGCTGCAGAGTTTCATGAACTTTGTGTGCGTTATTTACTGGGGCGGCGGCATTCAGAATCTTTCCTCGAAGCGGAAACACACCGTATCGATCCCGACCAATAACCTCTGAAAAGGCCGGGACACGACTTTCAGCAATTTTGGCAGGCTGTGCACTGGAAAAAACACTTGGGCTTCGGACACCCAAGCCGGCTACCGCCAAAGACTTGGCACTGTCTCCCTGTATTCGTGTGTTTTCGCAGAGGGTGAACATGGCTCCATGGTCATGTACATGGCACCTCCGTGAGGATGAGCGTGCACTCGCGACCTGAATCACGGTTCACGATGGCTTTGACCGTACAACATAGTGCATGTTGGGATCGAGAATTCGCTGACTTTGCTGGTTCTTGTCCACCAGTGCTTGTCTCAAGTCTGAGTTGAGGCCATCACCATCCCTGCTGCCGGCAAGGTTTGCATCCTGCATCAGGACAACAGAAGCAGATAGCCGAGTCGGAGTTTCTTGGTGGACTAGGCGCTCATGCAAGCGGATGTCTCCTCCAGCTTTGGGATGTTGAGCAACCGTTTCGTCTTCTTGTTCGGCGCGCTGGAGCCCCCTTGCTCGTTAGAGGACTGAGGAATGAAGAGAATGCCAGCTGATGTCGCGATCAGCTGCCAAGGCCTTTCAGCGTCTTGCCCAGGTCGATTTCCTCTTTGGCCTTCGCCCACTGAAGTACCATGTCGACCTGCAGCCGGTACTAGCATCCGTTGCACGTCGCACTGATGTGAAGCATCCTTCTTCTGAAAGCGCTGTTGCTGTTGCTGTTGCTGTTGCTGTTGCTGTTGCTGTTGCTGTTGCTGTTGCTGTTGCTGTTGCTGTTGCTGTTGCTGTTGGCTTTTGCTGGTGGCGGTTGCGGTCGCTGTTGCCGTCTCTGTGGCTGTTGCTGCTGTTGTTGGCTCCAACGCGAAGCAAACGCACGAGTTCAGGTCGCGTTGGAGCATCGTGGTCGTGGTCGTGGTCGTGGTCGTGGTCGTGGTCGTGGTCGTGGTCGTCGTCGTCGTCGTCGTCGTCGTCGTCGTCAAAGTCAAAGTCAACATTGTCGTCGTCATCGTCGTCGTCGTTGTCGGCGCTGTCGGCATTGTCGTCGTTGTCGTCGTTGTCTTCGTTGTCGTCGTTGTTGTCGTCGTCGTCGTCATCGTGGCTGTTGTTGTCGTTGTTGTCGCTCTGCTGTGACTGCTGTGGCTGCTGTTGCTCCTGTGGCTCCTGTTGCGGCTGTTGCCTCTGTTGCCTCTATCGCCTCTGTTGATATTTGCTGCTGTTGCTGCTGTTGCTGCTGTTGCTGCTGTTGCTGCTGATGTTGCTACTGGTGCTGCTGTTGCTGCTGTTGCTGCTGCTGCCGTTGGCGCCGCCGCCACCGCCGCCGCCGCTGCTGTTTTGTTGTTTCAAACTTGCGGTTTCAATGTTTGCCGGGGCACCTAAGAATGCCGAAGCTGCATACGTACTGCTGGCATTTGGGGTTGAAATGGGAGCTGGCTTTGCAGAGGATCGCGCAAGAAGAGGGAGGCTTGGACAAGGCTGACTGGCAAACTGGCAAAGCACGTGAAAGCACAACTGCGGTCATCGGTGTTGCTCCGAAGCTTCTTGGCAATGCACAATGCCAGTCTTCAGCACGTTGTTGATCATCTTGTCGGGAATAGCGCAGCTCGACCTGCGCCGAGTGGACCAAACCAAATAGATTTAATAGATTTGGAGCTTACGTATGAGTATTGTCCAGCATAGGGCCTACCCTAATACATACCCCCCCCCCTCGGGCCACATGCTGGAATCCTTATTATAGGCACCTCGCAAAGATAGATACCCCAACCTTGGGAAAGCCCTGTATATGGGGGTCTACGCCTCATTGTAAGGGGATCCTACTATTTAAGGGAGCTACCTTGGGGGAGTCCCGTATTTCGTAAACCCCCATAACATTGGGATGTGTCAGCACTCGGCGCGCCCGAACTTCGACTGCTTGAGCGTCATGGTCTCTTTCGTCTGCGAGTCGAACGATGGGTTTTCAATCTGCGTGTTCACAAAAACCCACAAGTAGTTCCGCACGTGGTACCTGTCAAGTGAGGAAGAAGAGTCTTACCCTGATGGATTCCCACAGCATGCGTGGCTGCTGGGAAAGGGCACGGCTTCACTTCCTGGGCGATGTGCTTCATACATCCCCAAGATCACACAGAACAGGCAGTAGAGGCAGACTCAAGGAGACGCAAGACTCCCGACAACAATGAAGGTCAGCAAAGATGACAGGATGACACAAATGGCCGCAATCAGATGCAAGAACGGTCTTAGACAGAATGCAAGTGCAACTCCGCAATCTGAGGGCCACGCCATTCCACCCTTGTTTTGCTTGTTGACCTTGTGAGTGATTGCCTGGTCGAGGAGCCACACTTGACAGCCAGAACTGCCGGCAGATCTTGCATTCAAATATCGCTTGGGGGGCAAACTCAGTACCAGAGTCATTGTAACGCGGTTGCATAGTGCATACGCACACGCATCAGTACATGAACTCTCATGGCACAGGTATTAGCCAACAACCGTGTACCTGGTTTGGAAAAGGAGGCACACTGCCTGCCCTCAACCTTTGGGGACCATCGTCAAGACGGGAGCCTCGACCAGCTGGTCGGCGACGTGAACAACCTCAGGGTTGTGGAGCGAAGAAGAAGTTAAGAAGAAGGATTCCGCAGTTTTCTTAGGAAGAAGAAGTACAGTACTATGTCCTTGTACTCCTCCAGGAAAAATGCCCGCTTGAAGTGAATCCTTCCGTTTCCTTTGAAGAGCCTGGCAAGCTGTTCGGGCAGCTTGGGCTGCTGCGTGGGTGCCTCCCTTTGTCGTTGCGATATTGTTCACGAAGGACACCTCCGCACGGCACAAAACAAGCCCTGGCAAAGGAATCCCGGCTTGCTTCAAACTTGCTTAAACAGATGGGAGTTCTAGCTGAGGCATCAAAGGTTTTTATCCCGCTGTGCAAGCAGAAAGCTTGAAACAACAACGGGCCTGCTGAAACTGGCCGTCCGAGACTGTCATAGCGACCTGGCAAGAAACTGAGTCCCCATACAAGGCATGTACAGAGCGCGGCTCAGGTCAGCAGCTCGCTATACCCAACTACGCAGTTTTGTGGCTGTATGTGGGCTGAAGTACTCAACCTGAAACCTGGTCACACTATGTCACACTCGGGAGGAAGGAACTGGGCTTGGTTGGCCTCCCAACGCTCATGGCACTTCTCGTGAACCTGCAGGTGTTAGGGACCCCGCACAGCTGACTGGACTGTGTACGCATCAGAGATCCTTGCGTCACGGTCGGCTTTCCGCTGCTTTGGGGCTCTTGCTATCTGGACATCTTCAGTGCCAGTGTACAGCGAGATGTAGTCCTTGAAGCTGTTGATGTCAAGCCTTTTGCATGCAGAAGGCTTCCCTCTTACCGCGATAAGGCCGGGGGAATCCGAAGCAAACCATTCTCCACCGCCTCTTGCCATTCAGGTGCACCTTGCACTTGGCAGGAGTTGTGCCTGCCACGTCTACCTGGCCGAAGCTGACGTGAACATGCGTTGTGGCCGTGCGGCACTACCACTTGCTAGGGCAAGGGCCACGCGACGGCACATCAGACCAACAATGTCCTTCATGATATGGAAACGGAATCCCTGAGAGCTTAGCCGCACCCTACTCTAGGCTCTCATGTAACCCCTAAGGCACTTCGCCATGCCGTGTCCTTGTCCAACTTCTTCATGCCGAAGCGGGAGAGGTCCGGCCAGAAGGTGATCCTGAGAGCCGCAAGCGGAAAACAACACCCAAAGCAACAACACAAACAGCACACCAGCACAGAGCAGCCACGGCCCAGGCTTCGTGAAACTTTCGCCCAAGTGTGCTGAGATTTTGGACTTCTGTTTCTTCCGCATGTTCTCCTCCGTAGCAATGGCATGGCGAGAACAAAGACTCAGGCTAAGGCAATTGGAGCTCCTCCCATGTCTGCTGATACTTCTTTCTGCGTTCGGAATCCCCACATTCGATCTCAAACCTGCGGAGCAACTTTCCAGAAACCTATGGTGAAGGCGTCGAAGACCACAACCATCGCGCAGGGTGCAGCATGATATATTTAATGGATCGTGCCTAGTGCTACCTGCTTCTGTAGAAAGAGCTGTGGAGCTCGAGGCTTGGGATGGGTACGTGCGTTCACTCGGTTCACGGATTTGAGGGATCTTTTGGGGCAGTTCTCCACTCGGGCAAAGGCTTTGTTGAGAAAATGTTCGTGAGCTTGGCGCCATAGCCATTCCGTCCGCCAGTCACCTGCCAGGCTCGAAGTACAAGTCAAGGAGAAACAACAGACCAGCGAGATCGAGAGGGTTCGGCAATGTTCGGCATGCCATCGGTCCTTCTTCTCGCTATCATCGTAGTTGTCACTTGTGAGAAGGTGTCCGAATACCTGGGTATCCAATTCTCCGAAATGGCAAGAGAAGTTGCTCCGAGATCAGGCGAGGGGAACGGGGGCTGGTTTACCTGCCCGAGGATACAGCAACATTGGCACTTCTCGACATTAGTGCCCCTTTTCTGGGTCCTAGACATAGTAAGGTATCTTGGGGACCCGAATTTAGAAAACGGCCCATGTCGTTCGTGCATGCTATTGAGAAAGGCTCAGCGCAGGGCCATCTCAGGGACGTACATCTGGTGCTCCTTGTGCTCCTGCGCCGAACTCACCACGAGCTCTCCTTCCTCCCTGTCACTTCTTACCTCTGGATTCCCGTCTTTTGGGCGAACCGAATTATCGATCCGTCGGTCTGCTTGTTCCGGTCCGAACTGCGCCTGGCCTCCACTGGCAGTCCTCGCCCATTGTTTTCCACGCTTATCCAACCATCTTTCTCATTGATGGTCACCTGCGAGGCACGAGGTTTCAAGCCCAGCGAACTTGCAACGAAAGCTTCCGCCAGCGATGCAGTGAAAGCTTCGAAGCTCAAACTTAAACATTGGCTGTGGCTGTCAGATGCAGAAACAGACCTTGATGTACGTTTGGGAATTGTCCCTGACATAGTTGTCAGCAGCATTCACCAGGATCTCATCGAAGATCTTGTACAATCCCGGCCTGGGCAAAAGACGTCGCAACAGACCCGCCAAAAACCAACCCATGGGGGAAGCAAGGCAAATTTCCCTGGCTCACTTGCGCCCCTCCGAGAAAGCAACACATAGTTCAGCTGTTTCTGCTCCACGGATCCATCTTTGTCGTTGTAGACCTCATCGTCTCATCGTTATTGGGGTTTATTAGGGTTTAGGGTTTCGGTATAGATGGGGGAGCCTACTGAAGCCCTCTGAGAAGTAAGCAGCAGTGCGTTGGATGAAGAACCAAGTGTAACGAAATTCCCTTTTTTTCCGCGGCTTCCTGAAAGCTTGCTTGGCAAGAAGGTTCTGCGAATGTGTTTTTTCGTAAACGGCCGTGTCGAAGAAGCCCAGCAGGCATTGTAGATGCTGAGAAGTTCTGGCCAGTTCACATACGACACCTGCTCTGGGCTTATCGGGCGGGAAGTGGCACTTCTGCCGTTCTGCCTGCGTGAAACCAATTTGGCATGCAACTAAGAAGTTAAGAAGATTGAGGAAACACTTAGCAAAACTCTTTTTTGGCGATGATGGCAACAGAGGACTCTTGCACAAACAGGTATTTGAGAAGGAGATGCTCCACAGAAATTGAGACAGCCGGTTGGCCCAAGAGGTGTTTTGGCATGGAGCTCCGTTGGCCAAACAATTTAAAATACGCTTGGCAAAGCGGCTGCCTCTTTGAGGACAGCGACATTGTTGAGGCTTCTGCGTCAGCAACACCAGAACCTTATAAGTAGACAGGATGGAAACATCTGCAGACCCTAAATACCCGAAACCCAAATTGAGTATTTTATCGGCTCAAGGCCGATTCATGCAAGCCGCAAGCTAGCTAACTGGAGAGGACAACGGCTCCCCAGCACCTCGGTTCCGATATCGACGCTGCGCGCTGATCGAGACTTCTCAGTCTACAACTAGAACGCTCCAAGCTTCCAGGCCGGCAACGCCTGAAGCCATCTCTGTGTTTCATCTGCAGTTCCGGTCTAAGTTCTGAACGAGGCAAACGTCACAGAGTCGGCACTTGCCCAATCAGCGGTGGCTCTGCAAGAGCTAGGTGCGGAGGCGACACATCCCCGCCGCGCCTGCATCGGCGACTTTCCGCATCTTCATGCCCTACTTGATCCTCCCGCCCAGATGACGTGAAGAAGTCTTGCACGTACAATATGGCAGCGAATGCCTCTTAGACATGCTGAAGATCAGTTGGAAGTTGATCTCCCTTGCTCTGCATTCTAAGCAATCAGACCTCAAGTGCCTCTGCAACACCAAAATCGGCGAACCCTAAACAAGCTACCACTAAGCCACGACTCCCCCTCCTGAACCCTAAACCCTAAACCCTAAACTTCCTAAACTTCCCAAACTTCCTAAACCCTAAACCCTAAACCCTAAAACCCTAAACCCTAACCCTAAACCCTGAACCTTTACGGCTGCCTCATGGCTGAGATCTCCGCCCGGAGCATCCGGACTTCTCTCATCAGCTCCGACATCTCCAGCTTTGCGTCGCCGAAATCGCCTGGATGGGCTGAGGGTTTAGGGTTTAGGGTTTAGGGTTTAGGGTTTAGGGTTCAGGGTTTAGGGTTCAGGGTTTAGGGCTTAGGGCTTATAGTCTATAGGGTTCATAGGGTTCAAAGGGTTTAAAGGGTTCATGGTTCATAGGGTGTATAAGATTTATAGGGCTCAAAGGGTTCAGGGTTTGTAGGGTTTGTTTTCTAGATTTATAGGGCTTCTAGGGTTTACAGGGTTTGTAGGGTTTGTAGGGTTTCTAGAATTTGTAGGGTTGATAGTGTTTAATAGGGCTTTAAAATCAACTATTTTAGGGTTTGCAGGCCTGTAGGGTTTATAGGGTTTATAGGGTTTATAGGGTTTATAGGGTTTATAGGGTTTATAGGGTGATTAGAGTTTATGGGGTTTGTGGGTTTGTAGGGTCTATGGGGTTTATGGGGTTTATAGGGTTTGCAGGTTTATAGGGCTTATAGGGTTTGCAGGGGTGTATTCGGTATACGGTCTAGGGTTGTAGGGTTTAGGATTTCTAGGGTTTGTAGGGTATAGGGTTTACAGGGTTTAGGGTTTATGGGGCGTACTAGCTTAGTAGTATGAGGCGGCGCTAATTGTTTAGGGCTTAGGAAAGTTTAGGGTTTAGGGCTTCGGTTTCGGTAGAGGATTTAGGGTTTAAGTTTCTCTTCCAAGGGTCTGGGGCGCCCGAGCTGCCGACACGATCTGGGACGAGTCAACGGGCAGCTAAACAAGCAAAATCGGGGGTGATAGGCTGTGACCACCATCGTCATCCACCGGCGTGAGCCACTGTTCCTGCCTCTTGCAGCAAAACCTCACCAAGTCCTGATTGTCAATCAGTTCATCAGGAAGGACGGAAGAAAGAACGCTGGTCACCTCAGGGGGACCTCGGCAGGCGTGGTCGGCCGAGTCCAGAACTTGCCAGATGTTCCAGAGGCGGCTGAAACTAGAGCCAGAGGGGTTTCGGGCAGAAAGTGTAGGGGCGAGAGGAGAAGTCGCCGCGAGTTACCGCATTCATGTGCACCAAGCAGGTTGTAAGATGTTGGAGGTACTGGACCTCCAGTCCCAACTGCAGCACGATAAACAGTCGCGAACACATGCACCGACTGTGGCCTCGCGGGCCAGTTCTTTCAGGGGCGGGGGCTGGGAACGGGGAACGAAAGACCAGGGAAAAGAAAGCGGCAGAGACGGAGGAACATAAAACCGGGCCCAATAGCCCAAGGGAGGTCGCTGCCAGCTACGCGCGCCCTCTTGAATCCGTCTAACTCGAGAAGAATTGTGCGGGGAGGCCGGGTCTTCATCGACATCTCTCTCCGCCACTCCCCCGGGCCTGGGTCAGCGCGCTGGTCTGTTAATGACCTGACAGTTCAGATACTTGAGGGTACGCAAAGCAGGCTCGCACTTCTCTGATCTACAAGGATCTACAAGGATCTACGAGGATCTACGAGGATCTACGAGGATCTAGAATCTAGAAAGTTGGTTTCTCAACACTTTGCATGATCTTGCGGCTGCCTCTGCATGAAACCGGAGACGCGGCGAATGGCCGTGCCTGTTGCAGAGAGGACCGGGCAGCGGGTTTTGGAATCACGGCTTGCGATGGACTGGTGACCGGTGAATCAGCATCCAAGAATAAGTTGCCCATGGCCAAAAGTCAACGATTGACGGATGAATGACAGGCGCCTGTCTGCACTCACGACCACGACTCTCTCATTCATGACAGGGTGCGACAAGTTCCCCGATGTGAGGGACGTTGTGTTTTCTAGATCCACGGAACCGTAGCAGCACAGACCGAAACGAACTGCAACATTGGACGAGGAGCACAAAGCCACTGAGGAATCGGAGTTCGTGTCTAACAATCAACACTCAACCCTCACAAAATTTTTTTGATATATTCTCCATTCGTCCCAAGAACGGAAGCCCTTCCAGGGCCGGTTCCTTTCGTGGACCTTTTTTCGTGACCACGGCACGGCTTCCAAATCTGATTTCCCTGACCCTTCAGTTTCCTCAACTTCCCAGCTGCGCCTTATCTTATATTCTGTTATCTTACAGTATAGTATAGTATAGTATAGCATAGTATAGAATAGTATAGTATAGTATAGGGTATTGTACAGTATAGTACAGTACAGTATAGTATAGTATAGTTTCAGTCTTTCTTGCTCCTGTGTGGCGACGATCGAGGTAAGCTTTGATCGCGCCCGCCTGAAAGCTCAGGCACTGATGGCGGTCTGGGCTCGTCTTCCGATGACACGGCGCGCAGCATCGGCTTGACTTGGGGCCGTCGGAAGCTTCGAAAGGCGCTTTGAATGACGAAGGCGGCCAAGTGCTTGTAGCTTCGGCCCACCGTCAGCCTCAGAGCATCTCAGAGAACTCCTGAGAGCTCTCTTCATAAGTCTTAATATGCGAAGACATACGAGAAAGTAGGGTTTTTATCAAATGCTTACAGCCGTGTCCCGGGGCCTGCTGCGACACGCGAGCCTCTGCCGCTCTCGCGTGCCGGCAGTGGACATCCAGAAAGAGGAGAACTCTGGGAAGTCACACATTGCCCTCAGGGCAGAAACTTACTCATTGGACACTCATTGCTGACTGGAGAGTATCCAGTTGCGACACTCCTTGCTGACTCATGCATTTTGCGGATAGCTGTGTGGGGCCTTTCAACCTCCGACTTCGGAACGACGATGCAACTGCCTCGGGCCTGGCAACTCAAACGCTGATCATTGCACTTCGCTGCATTTCACTGAACTTCTCCAACTATCCGAAGGCAACTTAAGAGCAATCAACATGTAGGCCTCGCAGCGCGCAGTGGTGTCTCGCGGCTGGTTTTGAATGACACCGTATTCCCCAAAGTAGGAGCCCTGCCGGCAGAGAAGTTGAAGGGTGCAAAAAAGCTTTAAGTCGGACTGGCGGCTCACCTGCGAGAAGAGCTGGTAAGGGTACATGGTGACATTTCCCGCAGCACCTGTCCACGAAGAGAGCAAGCACACGGCGAACACGATAGAACATTGCTTCGCGAGGAAGGTGAAGTTTGAGGAGCAGGCTGGCTACCACTAGCCACTGGCCAACAGTGCTGGTCATGTTGCTCTGTTCACGTCCCCCTTCTGCGGATGGAACCTCGGCATGGTTGCCAACATGGCTCGAACATCGCGGGTGGGGCAGCAGGGTTTAGGGTTGAGGGTTGAGGGTTGAGGGTTGAAGGACTCCCATATCCAAGATCCTGGCTCCAATGTGGGCAAAGACGCCACTTGTGACCTTCCCCGCTCACATTGGCCAGAGCAGTTGCTATTTGTTTGGACCAACAGACGCGCTGGAGCCATTTCCCGCACTCCCTTTCTGCCGAGCTGCAAGGAAGAAGTGGTTTGAAAAGTCTGAACGCTGGTAAATAACCTCTTGCTTCTGGAAGTTCTGCCTCAAGAGCACATGGTTCCTAACCCCGATACAGGCACAATCAAGCACACATGGGCCTTGGATACCTGCCAAGTCCGCGGAAATGACATACCAAACTTCGTAGTAGCTCCCTAAACCCTAATCCATAAACCTTCAACCCTAAACCCTAAACCCTAAACCCTAAGCAGCTGCGGCACCGGTGAGAGTTCAATGCCAGCAGCATGGGGAGGCGCGGGGGCAGCTCATCCATCCTCCAACGCCCAGCAGTTCTCTGCATTAGGGTCCTTTTTTGGGGTGTTTCATGATATACATGATATAGAACCTAAACCCTAACCCTAAACCCTAAACACCAAACCCTGAAAAGGGCAACCAAAACGGGACCATCATTTAGGGACCTGGTTCGGTCTCGAAGGGTCACGGTGCAATCTTGCAATAGTCAAATAACCAGCATAACTTGGCCGAACATCACATAAAATTAACAAAGTCATGGCACCAGAAGAGCAGCAATATACGAAGGATCATAACAGTTCTTAACACATCGCGCGAAGCCGACGAAGGGGTGGTCCAGGAGCGCCCCTCGGCTCCGAATGGGAAAATCATTTGGTTCCAATCCTTTCAAACCCACACAAACTCATGCCTTTCAAATTCACACGGCTCCCCTTTAAATTCATATAAGCTCGCCCCTTTTAATTCATCTGCATCCCTTTCAAATTCATCTAAGCTCATCACTTTTAAATTAATATGGATCCCTGTTAAATTCATATAAACTCATCCTTGAAAAATCATATGGATCCCTTTGAAATTCATAGAAGCTCTTCCCTTTTAAATTCACATGGATTCCTTTTGAAATTCATATAAGGTCATCCCTTTTAAATCCATATGGATCTCTGTGAAAATATAAACTCCTCCCGATTAAAATCATATAAACCCCCAGGGTCAAAAACAGCTTCGACTGTTTTGGGGGGGGGGGGGAGGGCCACACACTAAAGCAGGTACAACATGAATTTCTCCGCTACGCAGGCTAGGTGAAGTCCACATGTTCGCGACTCCGCGACTCCGCAACATTGGTCTGGGTTTGTTGATTCTTTAGTCCTGTCCATGTAAACCCAGCAACGAGAAGCAGAATACAATCAAGCGCAACAAGAAAAGTAGCGATAACAGTTGCAGTAGCAGCAGCAGGACCAGTAGCAGCAGGACAGCAGCAACAGCAGGAGCAGCAGCAGCAAGTAGTAGTAGCAGTAGTAGTAGTAGCAGTAGTAGTAGTAGTAGCAGTACGTAGTAGTAGTAGTAGTAGTAGTAGTAGTAGTAGTAGCAGTAGTAGCAGTAGTAGTAGTAGTAGTAGGAGGAGTAGTTGTAGTAGTCCTAGGTCCTAGTAGTCCTAACAGGCATGAAGTCCCAAAAGAAACCCAAACCCTAAATCCCCAACCCCCCCCCCCCCCCCCCACCAACCCCAAGCCCCCCCCCCCCAAGCCAAGCCAAGCCAAGCTAAGCCAAGCCAAGCCAGAGCCGATTTTCAACATAAATTATTGGAGCAAAGGCCCTCACGGTGAATCCAAGGCCCCCACGAGCAATCCAAGGCCCTCAGAGGAAACGCAAGGCAGTCTTAGGAAGACACGACAACAGTGTAAATACCGATACGAAACGAAAAACCACCACGATGGCCCCACCGCCAACAATGACAAAACAGAGAAAAACCAGTCACCAAAAAGGAGGCGTCGAAAAACGAAGCTTCCAAAAACAAGCTCAACAGTCGAGCAATAGCACTGTTTTGGTGATAGACCACACAATGAAACCACGTCAAAAAAGAAAACCGCAACCCCCCCCCCCCACCCACAGGGATGTGAAACCAGCTTAAAACTCGGAAAATAACAGCGCAAAGTGAAGAAAAACACAGCGTAGTAGCAGCAGTAGTAGTGCCAGCAGCAGCAGCAGCAGTAGCAGTAGCAGTAGCAGCAGCAGCAGCAGTGGCAGTGGCAGTGGCAGTAGCAGTAGCAGTAGCAGTAGCAGTAGAAGTAGAAGTAGTAGTAGTAGTAGTAGTAGTAGTAGTAGTAGTAGTAGTAGTAGTAGTAGTAGTAGTAGTAGTAGTAGTAGTAGTAGTGTAGTAGTAGTAGTAGGTAGACACGCTCTTAACTGATCATGGTGTTTTCTGCTGTTTTTTGACTTTTTCTATCGTTTTCTCTGGTTTTTTCTGCGTTTGACGGGTTGGGGGGGGTGGGGGGGGTGGGTGGGGGGGGGGTAATTACGTGCTGTGCTTTGTGCACACATGACCATGCTGAGGGGTTGGGGGGGGGGGGTGGGGGGGTAATTACGTGCTGTGCTTTGTGCACACATGGGGGTCGTGCTGGGCTTTGTGCACGCTTGACCACGCTGTCTACTGTTTTCCTCTGTTTTTTTGGTTGGTTTAGGGGCAAGATCTTTTGGGCTCACAGTGGAGGGTTTAGGGTTTGCAGGTACAGATCTTTTGGGCTTTTTTGGGAACCTTTTGGGCTTCCAGTGGAAATATGGGGTTTGAGGTTTCAGCCTACAGATCTTTTGGTTTTTTTTGGCATCTGGGGTTTAGGGTTTCAGGGCAAGACATTTTGGGCTTACAGTGGAGGGATTAGGGTTTGGGGCTTGAGGGTAGAGACCTTTTGAGGTTTTTTGGGATTTGGGGTTTAGGGTTTAAGGGTAAGACCTTTTGGGCTCACAGTGGAGGGTTTCGGGATCTTTTCGGCTTTTTGGGATTCACAGTGGAGGGTTCAGGGATCTTCTGGGCTTTTTTGGGATTTGGGGTTGAGGGTTTAAGGGAAGGGTTTGGGGTTGAGGCTGTAAGGTGAAAGGACTTTTGGGCTTTTTCTATGGGATTTAAGGTTTAAGGGGGTGCACTGTGGGACTGCTTTGTCATTCAGGGTACACATGGGGTTTGGATTCAGGGATTTAGTTGTTGTTTCTGTTGGGTTCATGGGCTTTTTAGGGGCTTCGGGCTTTTAGGGCTGTTGCGCACCTCGGCGGCAGCGCCGTGAAGAAGCTGTTCGTGGCAAACTGCCCCTTGAAGAGCTTGGAGGGCAGCATGCACATGAGATGTCGAGCCATGTGCCTGGGGCCGAGAGCAAAAGAACATGCTGGACACCGCAACTCACGGGTCCCGCTTAGACCCTAGTACCGAAGGCCGCCTTCCAGTCAGCAAGCCTCGCACCGCCTCCTTGTCATACTTCTGGTTCATCCAGCGCACGGCCTCACATAGAGGCAGCTATGCCTGTGGTGCCAGCATGGCACAGGAACCTTCGGAGACCATGACATACATCGGACCAAAGAACCTTCAAAGCCCAAAGGATCCCAAGGCCTACGGCCTACAATGCTCGGCGCCTCTGTGTTCACCCAGTTCTGGAGGTCCATGACCGTCTCTTCACCAAGCTCTGTGTGGGCTGCAAACCTCTCCATGAGGCCCCGCTGCTCGTTGACGAATTGCCCACGCTCGTCGACTCTGGTGACCGCAGCAATCACCTCTCAACTCCGGAGTGCACAGGCTACACGTGCAAAAACTGCAGGTTCCCATTTTGCAGATTGGTATACCTTGCCTCTCCAATGATGATACTGTGCACCACGGCCCCGATGAGGAAAGTGAGGACCACATAAAGAATTTCACCTGGCCCCGAGAAGCCGGATCCCGACAAGGATTAAAAGCAGAACGATGCCCTATGAATTCCATGCATGGCTTGGGTCTGCTTGGGGTCTGTGTGGTCCAAAGCGCCTGGAGTGACCGCAGCGATATCACCAAAGCCTGACGCATGTGACGCACCATGAAGTCCAACTGTGGGGAGGCTTTGACGCTAGGCGTCGCCTACGGTGGTGAACACGGTGAGAATGAAGTACCTTGGCTGGGCTGCGACTTGCTTCACACCATCTTCAAGCAGGGATTAATGAGATTATACCTGGAGTCTGGGTGAATGAGATTACTTGGAGTCTAGGTCTAGGGTTTAAGGTCAGATTCTCAAGAAAGCCAGCTGACATAGCATGCAGCCACTGAAGACCGGGATCGCTCTCGTCCAAGAGGTTCTTTGTGCCATCCGGGTCCACATATCTCCGCGCCAGCCAGGTGGACTGCACAACACAGCGCTGTAAACTGGACCGACACTCTCGAAATTCAAGTCTCAAAAGACAGACTAGGATCGGCTTTGATGCACAAAACCGTCAAGAGGGTGCGGGTGGAAGCGTGGGACCGCTACTCGGCTGCCACCCTCCACAGCTAAGCCAGCGAAGCGCGCCTGGACGTCTGCATGCAGCGATGCACACATGTACCAGCCACAGGCCAGGAGATGCACGGAGAAGAACAGACCAACCAAGACGTTGATGATGCGGACGCCCCGCAGCGTCTGCAACCACTTCCAAAGAGGGCTCCTTAGAAGCTGCACCGAGAACCACACAAGAGGGATGCACCAAGAGACTTGCACAGACTTGCACTTAAGGTGACACGCCCTTAAAGCCCTTGGGTCCGACATGGTCTCCGCGAAGTGGGAATTAAGCCGAGGGACGACTTCATGGCGGTCAGTTTTGCCAGTCGTCCGATGCGAGCCAACCGGAACAAGCGCGAAGCCCTCTGCAATCGCATGGTCCTGACACAGCTGCGGCAGGCTTGGCAGGTGTTTTCGCAATTTTTCGCACGCGAAACACATGTCGAAGGCATTGCCAAGCTATTTGGAGGCGTCCTTGCTGCTTGATGGGCACTGGTATCAGTGGAGCCTGTCCATGCGGAATGGACCGCACACTCACAACACCCGAGCCCCAACCTCATTGCCAGTCATGATCGCAAGCATGCGGATGTTCCAAGGGCTTTGCCGGTGCCTTCGGAACCGCTGATTACCTTCATCATCTCTCCAGCTGCCTCTGATTCGGCAGCGGAGGGTAGAGCACTGGAAAGTCCTAACTATTCTTTGACTGGGCCTGCGAAGCACGAGATCCTGAAACTTTCGTCTTGGCTGCACAATTGTTCCCCCTCCAGTGGGGCTACGGGGCAGCCAAGTCAAAAAGATGCCTGGTTGCCTGGTCAGGAAGACTGGCCAGAACATTCACGACGAAGCTCCCCGTGGCATAGCGGTACATGATCCGTGGAAGGCAATCTACCTGCGTGAGCTGCTCGAGCTACAAACACTGAAGCAGTGAATCGCTTTTGTGGCTGCGCCTCACGCCCACGATCGTCTTGGAAGCTGCAGAAGAAGTAGATGAAACAGTCCACATAGAACAGTGCGTCAACAAAATTTGACCAGACCTGCGTCGCATGTGCACCATCCCAACCCATATTCCTTAAATCTGCATGAGGTGCTTCCGTGAATGGTGCGAGCCTGCCAGCCAGTGTCGTTGATGCCTAAATACTCTGCAACCTGTGCGAGGGAACGTGATGTGCCAGCTGCAAGGCTACAATGTCCACGTTTGATCAGTGGAGCTGGCGCAAGTTATGCAACATGTTGGTGTCCGATGGCTGGCTGTCCTTGAGCGGCTCCGGCTTATGAAGGTCGATGAAGGTGAGCTGAAAAAGGAACCATGTGCCGATGTACATCAGCATGGCAGTTACAATGCCAGTCCAAACCTGGCAGAAAGCTGAATTTGGCTGACGACTGCTAGCCTACACAATTCAAGCTGCATGCGGCCCCCCCCCCCAAACACTGCAGTGCTCCAGCTCTGGCCTTCCGAAATCTGTTAGACTCCTTCATGACAAACCGACTACCTGTGTGATCCATGAGGTCTAGCTCTTCCAGGTCCGAGTCGTCCTCCATCTCCGAAGCATCCTAGAACAGATGCAACGCAAGAACGCGGTCATGTTGGGGAACTGCTCACAGGCAGCGGATGACCTGATCAACGCATCAGGTCACTGTCTGAGACTGTCCTTGCCGTTCAACAAGGATGCGGTGGTGGTGGTGTGCGATGCACGGCCCGAGCTACGGAACCGTGAAGACGAACTGGTGCTAGTAAGCATGCCAGATGGAGATGATGGAGACTTGACCACATCATCTGGTGTGCCTGACAAAGAGGCCACGCTCTCGCTACGATTGCTGACATGGAACGTTCCGTTGACCTGCTCAAACGCATACTTTGTCATAAAATGCAATATATATATATATATATATATATATATGTAGGCATGTGTATACATGGCCAAAACTTGATGGTTCCCCCCCCCCTCAAGTAAAACGCTCCATTGAATTCAGTCCAGGTGAAATAAACGTTAACTTGGGCCGAAGCAACCAAAAGCCGAACCTGACAAAAAAGAAACTCTCCAAAAAACGTCATGGGACAAGCCTTAGCTCCATAAATTGTATTCTTTCACACGGGGTTGGGCTAGTTGAGGTAGGCCCAGCGAACCCGTACACCAAGATTCCCCAAAAAAATCGTAGAGAGACGTGGGCCCGATTTCATCAACTCGGAGGCTACGGGTTTAGGGCTCAGGGAACCAAGGGCAATGACTGTTTTTAGGGTTTCGGGTTTAGGGTTTCGGGTTTCGGGTTTAGCGTCTGGCACCACCACTTGTATGAAACTCACACACGCCAAGGGCAGCTACAGCCCAAAAAAATGGCCGAAATGACACGGAGCAACTGCTGGGACAACTGTTGGGGACTAAGGGGGCTCGAGGCAAGAAGATTTTAAAACGAATGAGCCCCTTTGGGGAATTTCGTGTCTTGCACGTCGAAAACCCTAGAAGATTTGAGGGTACAATACTTCAAACGGACATGCGAGGCTTACTTCGAATATAAGAACAACCTACACAGACCGGTAAATGAGAATTAACCCTGCAGTCCATGGGGTTCATGCAAACTTCACTCAAGCTTACAATTTCTGTGAACGGAAGCGCTGCCCGGAACAACTATAGAAACGCAATTTTCCTGCCAGTGGCATTCGTTACGCCCCTGCCAGGCCAGTGAAAAAAACATTCTGCTGTAACCCCCGCGTCCTCCGTGACTTCTTCTAAACTTGTGGTCCTGGTGATGTAACAGAATGTTGAAGCAAGCCCCTAAACGCGCTAAGCCGGAAGCCGCGCCCCTCTACAGCAGGGGGGTGGAGCATCTAAAAATAAAAATAAAAATAAAACTCATCGTGCCTGTCAAAAAACAAATGTAGGATCAAGCTACTGGCCCCAACCCCTCCCGATCAGCCACACAGTGCTCGCATGATGGGTTTGGAAAGAATGTCTGTTGGCGCGGGGGCGGGGAAGGGGGGGGGAAGGGCGGGGAAGGGGGGGGGGAAAGGGGGGGGAAGGGGGGGGGGGGGAAGGGGGGGGAAGGGGGGGGAAGGGGGGGGGGGGGGGAAGGGGGGGGGAAGGGGGGGGGGGGAAAAAGGGGGGGGGGGGGGGGAAGGTGGGGGGGGGGGGGAAGGGGGGGGGGGAAAGGGGGGGTTCTACGAGAGCAGGACTGTAGGACGATTCATAAACCATCTCCTGTTTCTTTCCAAATAAACAAGAAGGCTTTCTGTTGGAAGAGCGAAACGCATTCAAACACTTTTGCTTTTTGCCTCTCAAAAAAAGAGAGAGTAGATTTCGAAGGTAACCTTTGTTTATACAGCCTGGGACAGCTTGGTCTTCTTGCAGCTTCCCGTTGAAATTTGGCGTCATGTGAGATCGGCAATCAAAGTGACGGGATATGATTTTCGGCGTGCAGTTCCGGGGCCCGGCCGACTGAGAATCCCAATCAATCGACAGTCGGGCCTCCGGCAAAGTTACGTTCACGAGCATGGTTTCGCAAACCTTCCTAGGCATGTCATAGCAATGATGCACAAGCATGCATTTCCCAACCCTCCTCCTTGAACGTATCCCTCCTCTCCCTCCATTAAAACCACAATATGTAGATCGTCATTTTGGAGGGGAGGGCACGAAAGAAAATGCTTATGTATCTACAGATTGCATTTACTGAGCACATTTCTGTGTGTAAGTATGCACATACATACATATGTATGTGTGTGTATGTAAAACTTTATACAAGATAATACACTACAGTACAATACGAAACAATACAAGACAATACATGACGATACAAGACACTACAAGACAACACAATACAAATCATGGGAGGTGCCGACCCGGGAGTCTGTGACCTGGCTGTGTTCGGGCTCCCCCCCCCTTCCCCATGCTGTGAAGGCAGCGAACCTGCAGATGAGGGGGATACTCTGGCCCGGATCCACGAGGCACAGCTGAAGGTTGTCGAGTCTTCGGATGTGCCCACCGTCTTTGACATGGCTTTCCCATCCAAAGTAGGGTTGAGAGACCCGGCTGCCTTGCTATGTCTTTGGCTTCTCAAGGCTTTCGGGGGTCTCTCAACCCTTCTCGGATGCCATACACAACTCCTTTTAAAGGAGACCCTTGAGCCTGCAGAGCCTCGGGAATGCAAATGCATGCCGCAGTGCACACGCTGTCATCTTCCCTGCCCCTCTCACTCTCTCTCTCTCTCTCTCTGTCTCTCTCTCTCTCTCTCTCTCTGTCTCTCTCTCTCTCTTGCACTCTCTCTCTCTCTCTCCCTCTCTCTCTCTGTCTGTTTCCCTCCCGCTCTCTCTCTCTCTCTCTCCCTCTCTCTTATCTTTTCTCTCTCTCTCGCTCTCTCTCTCTCTCTCGCTCTCCCATCCATCACGGGGCATTCAATGCAAGCAGGGGAGAACTGCACACAAGATTTTACTTATTAAGAGATCCAAGGCTCCGTCCCACAACCACTCCTTTTGGCTCTCTACAGAGCCAACATAGGAGTCTGGCCTCACGCAATGCAAACAAAGAACGCCTCGGGGAGGCCGGAGTGCGAACCGCCGTCGAATGCAAGCGATGCAAGTCAATCTGCAGCTTCGCGTGCAACGGGCTCCCCTTCCCTCCGAACACTTCGTAAAGGCGATAAGATGAGCCGCAAGACTTACTTAAACGTACTGCAACCATGGCGTGCTAGCCTCTGCCTGCTACGATGCACCCTCAGGCCTGAGGAGGATGTGCTCCAGCTGGGAAAGCTTCTGGTACTGCTCTTCGATTGTCTTTTGGCGCTGGAACTTCGGAGGCATCCTGCACATGGGCTAGGCTCAAGGATACAGCTGAAGCCTTATGCTGCCACTGGCAATAGGGTCCTTGTCTCCGAGGGCTTTGCAGCGAAGGAAAGCGCGAAGAGAAAATAACTACAGCAATGTACAGCAGATGCGAGCGGCAATCATTTACAGGATTTCACGTTACTTCACTTCTCTGGAATACTTGCACGAGTGCAGGTGTGGCGAATCTATCTGGACGACATTGGTTTTGTGGATAGCCAATACAATCACCATGACGACATGAACTAAACCATCCTGTTCTTGCTTTTTCAAAGCACAAGCTGCAGGAAACACTTTGAAGGAATCTGGCATTGTCTGGAGTTACTATTCGAGTAACCAATCCTGCACACATGAATGATGCAGCTGCGACCAAAGCAGTGCACGCATTGCTTTTGCACGCGCATTTGGAGAAAACAAAGCACCTCAGCCGAAGCTCTACATCTTCCAGGGGAAGTCCGGAATCCTGCCACGTCAACAGACATGTGAGCAAGATGCGTAGAAACCACTCTACCCGGCTGCCGCAACTGGTTCTTAGCACGTGCGCGAGTAACCCCGCAAGCACATGCTTGCTACGCTCAGAGCAGCTGCGCACTTTCAGCACAAGCACATGCATGGCAAGCCTAGTCTTCTCTCGAGATTGGTTGAACTCAGATACAGCCGCTTCAAAATCGACCATGTTGACCTCGAGGAGGCGCTCGGGGGGAGAGGGGGGGGCGGGCAGGGGGGGAGGGTGGGGGGACAGGGGGGGGGACGGGGGGGGAATATGGGGGGACGGGGGGGGAACAGGGGGGTGGAATCTGTGGGAGTCATGAATGAGGTCTTGGGGCAGCACCGTCGATGAATTGCGACGGGCAGCACGGATGGCGGCCTGCACATTGGCGAGACATGCTGTTGGTGGAGCTGCATGTACGGACCCCTTGTTCAGCGTTGCTGCTTTTTTTCTGCAGGGTATTCAATTCTCAGGTGCCTCACCTGATGAGTCTGATGAGGCTTACAATCGGGTATTGAATCTCGTATCTGCTGACATGCCTGTTGGGCAAGTGGCCCAGCTATCACGAAAGAACGGAGCTCGTTGGCTCGCTGCTCTCTTCGCAGCCTCGTTCACAATGGCTTCCAAAGCAGCACCTGGAAAGCCATCACACCTCAGTTCTATCGGTTTGCAGTGCATATGTAGGAAGAGTATCATACACGAGGAGCACAGCGTGGCTCAGCTGGAAACTTCTCGGCGATCTCGCCCAGCTGTTGCGAGGTGACCTCCGGGGCCACAGGAACCTCAAGGCAAATGGGCCAGCGCCTTTGCTGAAACGATGGCAGGGCTAGATGCTCAAAGTGTCAAAGGTCCGGACAGCACGCAAGCGAAGGTGGACTTTCAGTATTTCCAGTCGTCCAGCTGCATTTGGAAGCGGCACCTGGCTGACTGGCACACTGCGTTCACGAAAGACGCCTTGAGCTGCAAAAGAACTTTGCAGAACCCTGTGCCCGTGGCCTGGACGACCCGATCGAAGCGTCCCGGGCGCAGCAAGGCCTCATCAAGAACCTTCCAGAGCACGCACGGCATCATGCGGCATATCATGCGGCATATCATGCGGCATATCATGCGGCATCATGCGGGAGAATGCCAGTGTGTGTCTGGGTCGCGCCTCGGGCCTGTTGGTGGCCGCGATGACGACCACCGGGCGGCCAGGCTCGCGAGTGGCCAGGCCGTCCATGCAAGTCAGAAGCTGGTTCAGTGTGGACTCGGCCTACGCAAGCGCAGCTTGTGTGGTCATGTTTTGCACATATTCTGGATGTTGGTGAGCCTCCTGATTGCCACCGGCCATTCCCATCAAGCTGCTGGACCGCGCTCGCAGCGCATCGATCTGGCAGAGACTTTGACATGCAGATCTGCACCGACACGGCGGGGCAGCAAACGACAATTTCATCAGCCGCCCGCAAGACAGACGAGACGCTGTCGCCTGTGAACGAGAGAGACTTCTACAAGCCGAGCCGGCCTCGTCGATAAAGACAATGCACGGCGCCATCTTCCGAGCCCGCTCGAAGAGCTGCCAACGGAGCAACTTCTGAAAGCAACCCTTCGCCCTACGCATGAAATCATGAAAAGCGCGAATTTCCTCTTTGTTATGCCTATCTGCCTATCAGCTTCTTACATAAAAACGCTTTTCGGCGTTCATGGTTCATGATCTGCAGCTCGAAAGAGCTACAGCTACAACTCTGGAGACATCCGCCTGGCGCACCCGGGCGGCCCCGCGGCCCACAAAGAGCTCCTCAATTGGGATGCCACTCAAGGGCTTGCGGCGCTACGGGATCGGTGAAGAGGTGACATGTCTTGAACAGTGGCCTGGCAACACCTCAAACAACTCAACCTGCTTTCTGGCTCGACTACTTGCGGCCAGAGCAGCAACGAACTCGGTGGCTGCAGCGTTGAGGAAGGGTACACCGGCCTGTGAATGAGTGCACTTCGATTCTCAGGGTCAGGTGGTGCTTTTGATGTGTTGTCAAACATGTCAGGAACATGTCAATGGTCAATGTCACAATGAAATCCCACCCAGATCTGCTCTACCCGGAAAATCGCGGAGAAGCACGTGAAGCATGATCCGGAAAGTGCCGAAACTCGAACGAGATTCACACATGCGGAAATAGCGGAACTAGCCAAGCCCAGGACTCGACCAGAGCCTCTCTGCCCACCGGCCCTAGTCCTAGAATTCCATGACTCGCGCGGCTGAACTTTGAATCCTGCCTTCTGATTCTAAAGATCTTGAGACCTTGCTCATTGAACTTCTCACATTGTTCTCTGCACGCTGATGGTGGATGTCTAGATCACAGCACTATCGTGTTGCCTGCGCCCATGCTCTGTTCGGGACACAAGCTGCCTCGGCGGCAGTGGCACGGGCCAGGAGCGTTTTCCCCGAACCCGGCGGACCAGCCTTGGCGACGGCACAGGACTCAGCGGAGAACTGGGAAAGTTGTGTCCAAGTACATCCGATGATTATCATGAGAGTAAAAAGTTAAGATGAAAACAAGATTTGTGCTGACGGTTGTTCAGCAGCTGCCTGAAAACTCCACCCTCCTTCGCCCCTGAGGACAGAGCTAGCAGCACTCCCCTTGGGACACTAGCGCCCAAAGCGGCATACCTCCCCCCAAGCAAAGGACACCCAGGGCTTCCTCTACTCTTCTGCAACGATGCCTCCCGGGAGACCGCAGCATTTCAACCTCAGCTTCAAAGCGGCACCCAAGTCAAGCTGAGTCAAGCGAGTGCATGGCTCTTGAGGGATACACTAAATAATACTAATACCACTGTACACCCCATGTCTATCTTGGAGAAATACTCTTCGGATCCACTCGACATTCTTCGACCATTTTCGACATGCCTTGAAACCTGTGAAACAAACACCCGAGCACGACAGCTTCTGCTGGCACCGGGTGTCTGACCACTTCCTGAACCTGCACACATCTGCACACTTAAGTCACCTCTAAGTGCAGATTGCTGCACTCTACAGATCGGACCCAACAGACTCTGCAGTGCTGCACAGCGCCAGCCAGAAAACTCATCGCTCCATGGCCTCGAGCTTCGAGCGGTCAATGCCCGCAATGTCGTCGAAACGCGTGACCAAGGCGTTAGGCCCAGAAGCTTCCTGGGCCTGCGAGGCGCTCGGCACTCGTCGCTAGGATTTGCAGTAGCGAAAGGAGGCTCCCGACTTAAGACAAAGAATGCCGCCCATGCCATCTAAACGAGAGCTGGGCCTGCATGACCTTCTTCCGAGCATCCCCCCAGCCCTTCCCTCGCCCGCCCGTCATTCGGCGCATCATGGTGTAGACCTTAAGGAAGCTGAGAAGCGAAGCGCCTAGCATCGCCTAGCCATCCCCAAATTCTGTCTTCATCAAAGAGGTTGATTTGCCTACTGCAAGCAGAGGGGCGATGCATGCGCTTGCGGAGGTGAGGCGCCCCACACTCCAAGGCGCCGACAAAGGGCCTCACATAGGGCTAGGGCACTAGGGCCGCTAGGGCGCGGGCCATGGTGAGGTAAACCAGCAGGAACATGCCGCTGACAACGATCTGCGGAACTCCGCCGGCATGTTCTGCCACAATCTGTACCTGTGCGCTAGGGTTTGGATGCATTGGGCATCATTGAACAGGAGACTCTTTTCGATCGAGTTACTGCGCGAACATCTGCCCAGGGAGCAACAGCAGAGTAGTGAAACGACAGCTTTTGTCGGGGCCTTGGCCCGTCGAAGTGCTGACCAAAGCTCGTCCTTCACGGGGCTCACCTTGGATCCAGCTTGCAGAGGCTTATTTACAAGCAGCCGCATCCAACTGGCTCATGAGGCTCATGTATACGAGGCCCTTGCAGCAGTGGGCAGGCGCGCAAAGAGCCTGGTGCCACTGGAAAGGTAGAGCACCTCGGGCAGTGAGAAACGTGAGCTTCAACAGAAACAGCTGTATTCAAGACCATGAGCTCACCGATGGGATACCTCTGCTTTCAATCATCAAACCTTCTTCGGAGTGTTCCTCTAGGTCAAGGATGGAGAAGAAGAGAGCAAGAGAGCAGGCAAACCCGATACTCCCTGTGCCCGTACCACTCACGCCCTCTGGGCCCAGGGGACTTAAAAGAGGAAAAGCCCCTGGGGCGCCCGACACATTGCGAGGCCCCGATGACTGCCTCTCCCCCGCAACAGAAGGAAGGACGGAAAAAAAGGGGGGGGCAAAAGGGGAAAGGCGCCATGCTTCCAGGCCTAAGGGTCTTCGTGGATCTAGGTTTTGAATTCAGCTCAACTGATGCACGGAATCTCGAGACAGAGTCGAGAAGGACCAGCCTGCTGCACATCACCTCAGCCACATGTTTCAAAGTGACGCCACCCGGGTCTCCAAGAGCAGCTCACCCGTGATTGAGCCATCGACCTTCCCAATTTGATGTGCCCTCCAGCTTATCCAGCAATAGACTGATGGAGACCTCCGCATCGGGCAAGCACATCGCATGCCCAGGAAATCACGAGCCTGACACCTGGACTGCCTACACTTGGAGCCTCCTTTAGCTTTCCACTGCGGTGCCTCCGGCTGCGCATGACCTGTGTACGTGCCAGAAACAAAGGCAGGAGCATCATGGGACTCTCGGAGCCCACTGCTGACGCGCCACAGGGCCCTGGCTAAGAGCACCACGACGAAAAACATGGTAAAAAGCCTGTTGCGAAGCCGCTCTGGGATCATGTTTCTTGGGCTGCACAAGGTCCAAAATGCTGTCCAGTGTCGGTATCATCCTTCGAAGACGTTTCGCCAGCGTCCTAAGAGGCATGCTCCGTCATTGGAACAATCAAATGGCCAAACTGTACATAATTGCTGTAGCTGTCAGCGAGATGGATAGGGAGCGGCGACCCAGAAACTGTCTAACAGACTGTGCTTGGACACTGAGCTATTGTCACACTTTTGCAACGTGCTAGAGCTGCTAGGCATTTCACCCCTGTGTTGCGTTCGAGGTGCCTGAAGGCGCGGGACAGGCGCGGGAACTTCTGCCGCTTCTCCTTCACAGCCAAAGCCGACATCAGCCGCAAAAACGAAAAAACAAAACCCGAAATCGGTGCTCTTTAGGCCAACTCTAGGTCTGAACCATCCTGAACCCTCCGCGAGAAAAAGAGGTGCCTGGGCCTTTTCGGGCTTCGCCCGCCGAGCCCACAAAACTCCTGGCAGCCAAAGGATGTCTGCGACCAGACATCTGGGCGGGAGGGGGGTGTTGGAGTCTGAGTTTTCTTGGGGTTTCGGGTGTTCGGGCTTTGGTTAAGAGTCAAGAGCCTTGTAGGGTCTGGCATTCAAGTAGGGCCTTGAAACTACCCGGCATTCTACGGTAGTTAAAGTCTGAAGGTTTGTTGGGTCCTCGTGCATGGTGTACAGGAAGTGCCAGGATCTCTCGCCGAAAACCTGCCGCAATGTCACAAGAATCCTCAGCACTGATGCAACATTCAGCCCCCATTCCTACAGCTCTACAGCCACAGAGTTCTAGCTGAGAGTCAGAAAACCCCATACGAACCCCCAAATCCTGGCGGGATCTGGCGGGTCTCCGCGCAAGTTCATCTACCAGAAACTTGGGGGGGCAGCCTCCTTCCCAAACTGGTCCTGGGCGTACCGCAAATGGCCTTGGATCTTAACTTCGCTAGCCCCTGCCGTCCCATGCCATCATAAACAACTAGAACCCATCTTATACCGCCCTGTGCTCCCCATACAACACGAGGCCTCCCGACGAGTCTGACTGAGGCTCCATCACGTCCCGACCAGCAGACCAACTGCAGGATTCAAAACACAGACCTTCACAAGCTGAGTTCAAAGCTTTTCGAAGCTCAGGAACAAATGCAACACAATTGCCTGGTCCGGGTCTGCGCGCACACAGACCTGCAGTGAGAGTGCGAAGTGGAATTTCTGGCACTGGGACAGTGACCCGTTGCTTGGGTGAAATATGCGTGGCAAGCTGTACTGCTAGCTGCAGTTCCAGCCAGCAACAGATGATTGACGGTCTTTCCGCAGAGTTTAAGTCGGCTAAGTCGGTGGCCACCAAGAACAGCAGTGGACTGGCACCGCCATGGCAGGTATGGCGACTGCATGGACTGTTGCCTTTTGGTGAGGAGATGCTTTGGTGTCATGGCTGGTCTATCAAAGGCTTACCGCACGTGGCAAGTGACACACCATGGAGAAAGGAACGAGCTGGATGCTTGCATCTGGCCATGCTCCGGGCCCCTTGCAAGGCTGTGTACTTGGACTTCTAGGGACCCAACTTGGCCCAACGGCTGGGCCAAAGATGCAATGCGACCAATGCAACACCTCTTGCCGTCAAAATGCACCAAGCCTTGGTAAGTGCACAGTGTGCAGTTCCAGTAGTGCCACAGTCGTCACACTGTTTTGCTGCAACTTTGTCGAGCAATGACGTTGAGACACAAGCCGTGCTGCTTCAAATTCTTTGCCCGGGACAGCAGACGGTCATCCAATAACCTGGGTGGAGCAACACATCCATCACGAGCCCTCTCCACCCCTCGCAGCACCCTCGCAGCAGCATTCAGAATTTTCGACGAACTCTGCATTTGGAATCAATTGATGTCACAGCACGACCCTTTGGAATGCTGCAAGGATACATCTCTTGCCCTCTTCGTCCTCAAGGGTGCGGTAGCGGTCCTTGTGGAAAAGACAACGATGGAAAGAAAAAGACGCACGACAACCACAAACCGAGCCGCCACGCGCCTTCGCGAACGGGATGCCGTCCAGGTTCAGACGCAGAGCGAAGTCATTCGGGTTGAGGTCGCCAACAATGTCCTGTATGCGTGGCAAAGTTCGGCTGCATTTTGAGGTTCGATTGGTGGCAGATTGGTGGTAAGCCATGGAAGGCGCCGAGCCTAGTGTAGAAGAACAAAAGTTGACTCGCGATCCGATGATAAGTAAGTCACTCTTTCCATGCACCGCTCTGGTGCACACCCTACCAGAACTTTTGCCTGCAAGTGGATTAAGTCAGTGGCTGCTGCTTCGGGGCAAGAAATGACAAGAAACCCGAAACGACGTGTCAGAAGTCCGTTAACGTTAAGCCATGGCTAGCGGCTAAACACAAACCAGCTGCTGCAGCTCGTGATTGCTATGGTTCCGTGCAGGCTGTTGCCTGCTTCCAGCATTTGTCTGGCCTCGAAGACCAAGTACTCGCGGAAGGGATCCGGGCGCAACAGGTCGAAGAGGCGGTTTGCATCCTTTTCTCAACATGCTGCGATGCGATGACACATGCCGACACGGGCAAAAGCAGCACCAAAATTAGGAGGGCTCTCTCCTTGGGGTAGCCCAGCATCTTGCAGCCCTCGAAGAAGCGCTGCCTTTTCTAAGGGACTCTTGCGATTTATTCCGCTTTGTCTACGTCCTCTCGCACCTCACTTTTCTTCTCTCTCATTTTCAGTGCTTATGAAATTTGTCATGTTCGTCTTCGCTCTGGCTCTCACTTCCGACGCCTACCCACACGCCGAATGTGGCCGGGATCAAAAGCTGCTCGCCAACCCTCCTGCACTGCTGAAAAGGAAAAAGTGGGCTTTCAGTAGCTTCGGCGAACGGGTACGAGTCGCATGCAATTGCGTGGGTGCTAAGCCCAAGCACAGTGTCATGAATCTATGGCATGTGATGTTCAGACACCCCAACTTGTTAACACGAAACCTTGACTTTTCTAAACAAGCTGAGGTCCTTGAGACTGGGCACCGGTGGCCTGTGAATTCGCGCCACTAAATTGGGGGCTCAATTTGCATGACTTTGGCAGCCAGCGACAATCAAGCGTCACGGATGCATTGGCCTGCTGTCAGGAGCGGGCGCGACTGTTTCGAGCTCCAGCCTGGGAGACAAGCTACTGGTCATTGGACAAGGCTGACACAGAGATATGCAGAGGAGCACACGGCTGGGTTGCTTCGGGTCCGTCGGCCAGCTCTGCTGGTTCGGCAGGTGGTTCGGTAAGTGGTTCTGCAGGTGGTTCGGCAGCTGGTCCGGCAGCTGGTCCGGCAGGTGGATCAGCTGATGGGTCAGCTGATGAGTCAGCTGATGGGTCTGCCGGCAAATGTCCATGCTCAGCCGTCGGAGAGGCAGAAGTTGCAGCGGCTTCGTCATCACCAGCCTGGAATTCCAAGGCAAACCCGCGAGACAACGGCCGATCCTCAACCAAGTGAACAACATGCATGAATGCTTGTCATCGCCGAGCAACTTGAACGGATTTTGAAGCTTTGGACTTCTGCTTGGAAGCGGATGCCTTGCGCCAGCGGGAAGCACATTCCTGGAACCCCCCCACAGCTTAGAAAAAAGTCGAAGGGTGCAACAAACCCCCGACATGCTAAAGTCTTGAAGTCAAGGACGTGTCGTCCATCGCGGCCCTGGACCCAGAGCCTCCAGCAGCAAATGGTGCAGCTCCGACCAAGACTGCGCAGTCTCCGGGTCGAAGATCTGCCCAAGAATGGGGAGGATCATGGTGAGCAACGCAGGTGCCCAAGCTGGGTGTGGGGTTTTTAGGTTTAGGGTTTTGGGTTTAGGGTTTAGGGTTCAGGGTTTAAGGTTTCGGGTTTAGGGTTTAGGGTTTAGGGAATAGTCGAGGTGTTTGGGCCACCGGTGCATCTTGCTGAGCCTCGAGTGTCAGGATTCCACCCTTCTGGTCCCGCATGAACTCACGCCACAGGTACGAGACCTTCCCGGTTCAGCAGGATAGTTGATCCGAACTATTAGATAAGAACTATAAGAACTATAAGAACTATAAGAACTATAAGAACTATAAGAACTCTAAGGACTACAAGAACTATTAGAACTCTCAGAATTTTATAGAACTACAAGAACTATAAGAACAATTAGAGCTATAAGGGTGTTGGGTTTAGCGGTTCTAGCTGAAGCCATTCCTGGAAGGATCTAGCCGTTCGTGATGAGGAACTTGCAAAGCAGCTTAGCAAAGATGACAGCGACCCCTCCCTTCATCTAATCAAGCTTTGAGGCTTTATTTGGGTTTAGGGTTTAGGGTTGAGGGTTTTGGGTTCAACAAATTAGAAGGGCTTCTGTCATGTAGGGTTTAGCTTGGCTTCCGGCTGAGTTGAAAAGACTCGGCTGTGGACTAGGGCTAGACATTCTCTATCGACGGAAGCAGAGACCGACATCAATGCAGAATCCACTCAAGCCAAGAGTGGAGCAAAAGCAAAGTCTTGGGGAGCCTTCTGGACGCCGAGGCGACGACAGATCAGGGAGAAATCCCCCCGACAGGCTGTGAGGAGTCAGCGCCCAATCCTGTAACTGAACTGGTGCGGTATATCAAACTCGCGCCCGTCCTGCTTAGCCACGAAGCCGTTCCGTTCCTGTCGGCTGCTGCTGGGACGCGAGCTGCAGTCAAACATAAGGTTGAACGGTGGCACGGGCCCTGTCAAGCGCGTAGACCCATGCAGCGAAGAAGCTGCCATACTTGGCCTGAAGGCTCGTTCCAGCAGCTTTGAAGCAGAAAGCACTCGGTGGTCAACAATCACCATATGCACAAGCACCGATGGAGCAACTGGGACTTGGGCAAGGAGCATTGTTTTAAAGCCATCAACGCTGTCGATTAGACGGGCCTGATCCTGCCGCAAGTTGCTATAGTTGGTTTGCTACAAGTCAACACTTGCCCTTGGCAGAACGTATGCAGGACGTGTAATTCTGCGTGCGAACGCCTCCAGAGAGACCCTCTCATCGTCCCCATCCAATCCTCCACGATGACCACGGGACAGCGCAAGTACACAATAGTACACACAAGCCAGCACAGGGTCCTTCGCCCCAAGTTTCCCCACGTTCTTGAGGGGCCACACCAATGAGGAGGGCCTTCAGGTCCTCCTTTCGCAGGGAGCCTCCACAGAGAAGGTACATGCGAAAAAAGAAGCCGAACATCATAAGAGGCCTGCTAGGCCCTACTCCTAAACCCCTTTAATAGCCTAAACTCGCCAGAACCCCGAGATGGACACCAACGAGGACCCTCAGCGGCTGAGCGCGCAGCGCTGCCCATGCCGAGCCAAGAGGTACTGGAACAAAGTCGCCACCTGCACTTTGGGGTTGGGGGGTTCGGGGGTTTGGGGGGGTTTGGATTCAAGATTTCGGACCCGTCAAACGACTTGAACTCAAAGACTGGCAGAAACGAGAGCTGAGCACAGATCTAAGACGGTCTTTTGTTTTACAGGAGACCAGTGATCTGAAGGTTTTCAAGACCAGATCTGAAGGCTCAAACCCCCTTTCTCGCAGGACGTTTTGGACAGGTGAAGAGTCCGAAGCCGAAGCAACTTGCAGTTTGCGTGGGCTGGAGGGATCGATCCTAAACCCACAACCCTAAACCCTAAACCCTAATCCCTAAACCCTAAACCCGAAACCGCAGGCACATTCCTCCCACCTCCTTCGGCTTCAGGCTCGGCAGCACTTCTTTGCAGGCGGCCCGGAAGTCCTGAAACCAAAGCCCCTCACTCACAGGGTTTAGGGTTTAGGGTTTAGGGTTTAGGGTTTAGGGTTTAGGGTTTAGGGTTTAGGGTTTAGGGTTTAGGGTTAGGGTTTAGGGTTTAGGGGGTGCTTCTTTTAACTGGGGGTTTCGGGCTCAGGGTTTTGGAGAGTTGAGGGGTTCCAGCACCTTATGGAGAGTTTTTCGAGAATGGCCCTTCGCTCAAAGGGGCCTGGTTGCCGTCCCGCCGATGTTCTGTGATCAACGTTAGGGTACATAGGGTCTGGTTGGGGTGCAGGGATTCAAACCTTAAACCCTAAACCCTCAACCCTCAACCCTAAACCCTAAACCCTACACCACACCGGTGGCTTTCTGATCAAATTTCTGAACCTATAGCTTGCAGCTCAAGCTCCCACAGGCTTTGGTTTAGGTCCCTTTTTCGGGGCACCCCAAACGCTGCACCCCAAACCCCAAACATTTTGGGGTTTAGGGTTTAGGGTTTGGGTCAGGGTTTAGAGTTTAAGGCTTAGGGTACCCTAAACCCCGTGAACCCCACGAGATAGACAGGCCTGTAGGTCGACGATGCCCAAGTCGCCAGGGTCAATGCCTGCACCGCAACTGGATCACTGGTAAATTAGGGAAGGGCTTGGGGTTTAGAGCGTCATGCAATCCCTTAAGACCACAGGATCCAGAAATCAGATCCTGCCTCAAGGGCTCCAAGAACGTACCCAGTAGAATTTTCCAACAGAATTGTCCAACACTTGGCTTACTGTTGGCCCCATATAATCCCTTAAAGGGTATATAGGGCATAATTTTGGTACCTTATTCCCCCCATTCCCTTCTAAGCAACCAGTAAGTGGGTTCCAGGCACCAGCCGGTTGTGGCCTTTGCGCCAAGCATCCATCAGAGTCCCGTGGCTTTGCAGGAGCTCCTGGCGGCAAGCCTGCCAAAGAAGCAATCGGGATCGAGCAAACATTGGGGTCAGGAAACCCCAAACCCTAAACCCTGAACCCTAAACCCTAAACCCTAAACCGTAGCAAAACTGCCACGACCTGCCTCCAGCAACTTCTGAGCTTTGGGATCTATATCGATGAAACGAAGGACACCTTCCAGGCTTCATCGACTTCGTGTTCTGACCGCCCTGGGTGTGGTCCCTACATGGACTGCCTCGATCACCAGTCAGCTCTTCCCAAAGCTTCAGAAGATTGCCTTTGAGGCTCATGCGGAATGGCACAGGGCTTTCTTATAAAAAGGCAGCTCTAACCAATTTCTCCACGCATCGGCCTGCGCAGCCGAGTCGATGCATCAGCTCGAAGAACTGCTGCGAGGTGACGGAGCCTAGTCGCGGAAGTCATCAACGTATCAAGGCCAGCATCTGCTTCTTCCACAATCTCAACTCTCGGCCTAACTGAAGCTACTTACTCCACACGACGGCAGTTCCTGAAGCTGTACTATCGGCCTCGACCTCTCCAGTCCAACTCCGTGATCCAGCACGCGACGGTAGACACGAAGTCCCTCGCCAGAGCTCTCCGAATGGCAACATCTACTACAAAATCCACATGTGCATCGGTTACGTGCCTCGCCATGGCTTCCCGCACCAGCTGTGGCCTCATGCTGCAGTTTGTTGCGAACGTAGCTTCTTGCCGAAAGCACGCGGAAGGGTTTCAGCGGAGGTGGCTTTCGATTATATGTCGTCGTTGTATATGGATGGCGTGATGAATCTGGTGGGTTTTCTGTTAAATTATTATGTTTTAAAGCATGGGGAGAGCCGCCGCACCTGGTTAAAAATGGCGCGTGAACGCCAACCCTCTCCGTGTTTTTGCGTTGTCAAAAAGCAATAAATGACGACCCTTTGCGTGTTCGGCGCGTGTCGTGATCGCGTGGACACCAACCTTCTGCGTGTTTTGGCGTTGTCGAGACGCAAAAAACGACGACTCCCTGCGTGTCGTGATCGCGTGAACGCCAACCCTCTGCCTGTTCTTGCGTTGTCGAGACGCAAAAGCGACGACCTTCCCGAAAGCATGGCGGAGGGTTTCTCAAACCAACAGGTCAGCCCCATTATTTAACACGCTTGCCTCTGGGGTCCGAACTTGTTTGTTTTCTTTGATTCTCGGCGAAATTTTCATCAACGAAGACGTGGGAGGAGTTTTCAACGGAGGTGGTCTTCGAAACGACTCCTCGTTGTCGTTGCTGCGTGACTGGATGTTGTGATGGATGATGCATGAATGGATGGCGCGATGAATTTCGTACATATTGCTCGTTTCTCCATTCATAAGTTAGTGAAGTTTTAACCGAGGGTCCAACATGCTTTCGGGACAACCGTTCTCTAGCTAGATGCTCTTGAATTTGCGAGGATGACATGAACAGACAGAGCATAACCATCTGGCTTGACGAAGTTGCAATGTGTCCAAGCTTGCTGCGTTAAGTCATGCTGCACTATGTCATCCACCTTGTCCTCCCCATCCGCCTGCTGCGGCAAACTAGGCAAAGTAAAAACCCAAAACCCTAAACCCTAAAACCTAAACCCTAAACCCTAAACCCTAAAGCAGAAGCAGCACAAGAGAGTGTCGCAGCGGCAACAAGAGGATGAAAAGCCGCCTCCTCCTCCGGTTTCAACTTGACCTGGCCCGTGCTTGCACATAGCCTTATATATGTATCATATTCTACATGTACATATATATATACATATATATATATATATATGTGTGTGTGTGTGTGCATACGTATCATATATGGCCATCTAGATAGACTGACACTGTCTTTGTATTACACCACCGAAGACCCCAAACGGTTAAAGGCATGTTACAGAAACAGGGGAGACAACGAGAGACAAAGGGAGACGAAGGGAGACAATGGAAGACGATGAGCGCAGCAACCCGGCAAAGCCACCCGCATGAAGGGAGACAAAGGGAGACAAAGGGAGACAAAGGGAGACAAAGGGAGACAAAGGGAGACAAAGGGAGACAAAGGGAGACAAAGGGAGACAAAGGGAGACAAAGGGAGACAAAGGGAGACAAGGAGCCCAAGAATCCGGCAACAGTCCCCAGAATGTCGGCAGTCCTTAAATGAATTTGGAACCCCAACAATACACTGTTTGGGGAATAAACATCTCATATCGTTTGTCTTTTGGATAGCAATGCCACCACCCCTACCCCATCCCAGCCCTGCCCTAAACCCTACACCCTGATCCTTGCAAACCCAACCCCAAACTCTATAAACCCTAAACCCTAGACCCTAAACTCCAGGCCTCCGCTGCTACCAGCAAGGAAGTCCCCACAGGCAAAACCTGCCTCGGAAAGCTCTTCGTTTTCAACGGCTGACTGGTTCTCCGAATACAATGGGACTCTCGAGGGCTTAGGGGATTCGGGGGCTTGATGCTGAGACATGTCCGCGTGCACCCAGACCCGGCCTTCGCAGGGCCTTGGGCTTCTTCAACTCCCAAAGACGTCGAGTGGTCACCTCACGGCTACTCCTGCAACTCCACGATGTCTGCTAGGACGCTGGGAGTCGGGAGCAGGAACCGAGGAGCAGGCGAACATGTCCTCTAAGTCCCAAAGGAATAACGACTCGGATTGGCCTCTCTCACGGTCACACTGGGGATTTCTTGGCTCCTGGTTCGTGAATACTTTGGGCCTGGATTGGGATGTAGGCCAAGGAAGAGCGTTTCCACCAGATCTTCCGGGAAGCCCAAGACCTGATCTCAGCAAAAAAAATGCCCCTATTTCTGGTGCGAGGATCTCGCGGCTATCGGCCTTGCAACCGGCATGCAGATCCTGCATGGAAAGGCCTCGGTCACATCATGGACACACTCCAGCCAACTCCATTAAGAAGCACGTGCCACCTGATTGTGAGCATGCGGCTCGCATAGGGGTCCTTCTTGAAGATCTCTACCCACACATTGGCTAGGTCCTCTTGCGCTTGCGACCCCTTGTGCTGCTGAACTCAGGACCTTGTCTTCCTAGTCAGGGGCTAGCCTCGTAGCTCTGGTGGATGGTCTCAAAGAACCGAGACCTCAGGCAGCAAGGGTGTGCAAAGCAAGAACTAATGTAGTGAACACCTTGAGGGCTCAGGGCTGCTTAGGGTTTCAGTCTAAGCAGGCCCTTTCCCGCTGGCGGGCGCACACGGCGTCGCTGCTCTCAAAATCCAGATCCTGCCAGGATCTGTCAAGTCCGCTGCCGAGATTTACTAAACCCCTGGATTCTTGGCTTCTTTGCATGGTTCAAGGCGTAAGGTCATTTAGGGTTTCCGAAAGTAGGGGTACCCTTCGGGGTTCCCTTCAAGGGGATTCTATTCTATTTGTACTATAAAAGGGGTAGCCCTATTTTGGGAAATACCCATGTCTCTCTAGTCCTTAAGCGTGCAGCTCGGTGAAGGCGTTGGCGTCTATGCAAGGTTAGGCTCTACAGCTGTTGTGGTCAGCATGCTACTCGATGGAACTTCATTCATGTTGTTTTGCGCGTGCTGTGCTACTGGGAGGAACCTCACTAAAGTCGAAGACTCTCGAATCCCTACGAACCCGTAAGAACGAGCTGAGCCTGCCTCTCAAGGAATTCTCAGAGTGTCCACGCAGGACCTTTTAGGGGAGAGACCTTTAAATAAATCACCACCCCTTAAGAAAAACACCGGAGGGGGGGGGGGGGACCCCCGCAGTTTTTTTTCGATTGGGGTCCTGGGGGGTTCGGTGTTTTTCCCTGGTTTTCGCACCCGCACCTCGCCCAAAACCGAAGCCGAAAAAACATTGGAAAAACCACGTTTGGGATTTCTAACCCATGAAAAAACTGGGCTTAAGGTGTATGTCGGGGTTCCGCTTAAACTCATTTTTTGCAAGTATTCTGGACTCCGCTATCCTGCCCTGTGCCAAAAACCGACTGCCCAGGCAACGAGATACTGGACCCCTCGCTTCAAACTTTTCAACAAACAGGGCTTGATGTATATTTCGGGGCTCCACTTAACGTGTTCTTTGCGCCACTATTCTGGATACTGATCTTACACTGCCCAGAAAACGGGTGCAAAGGAGACGAGGCACTGGATCTTCACTTGCTAATCAGGATGCATCTGAAATGTAGTTCTCTTCCACTCCCAAAACTGGCCGCCAGGATATGAAACAGACAAACAATTGCAGCCCTCACCTTGCAGACTTCCAAAAAAAATACCTGGCCAAGGTCATTTCACGACGTAGCAATCGCAAGACTCGGGATAATCCAACAATCAACGCACGCACCCACGCCTTCTAGCTTCCAAACCCCAAACAAAGGCTTCAACCGCTACAATCCTGCGAGTGCCCCGTTTGCCCAGAGAGAGTTTCTTTCTGCCTCTGTGGAATGCTGGCAGACCCAGCTCCGGGCTTCAGGTCCAAACTTGGGCTTAGACTCAGGCACCGAGCACCCAGCAAAACTTAAACTTTCCTTTTGTAGGGGACTTATAGACCCAAAAAGTTTAAAGTTAACCCTACTGGGCTGCTCAGCCAAAAGTGCGGCCTTGTGGGCGCCTCCCTTGGGATCTGGACCAAAGTTTAAGGCTTTTAGGAGGTTTTCGGGTTCAGGATTGCTGCTGTTTGAGGTTTTGCTTTCCCTGGTTTAAACTGAAGGGTTAAGGCCTTAGAGCCTAGGACGCGAGTATGCGTGTGTTTGTCCCTTTTGTTCTTGATCTTTGTCTCTGGAAGGAGAGAGAAAAAAGGAAACCAAGTAAGGAACGAAGAGCGGCACTAAACGGCCCTAAAAGCCTAAATTTCTCGTTCTATCTCGGGCTGCCGTCACGTGCTCCAACCCGCGTGATTTGGCTTTTATATCCGACATGCAAATTATATTTGCCCACTCTTTCTGAAAAGGAGCCAGGTTTGCTTCCTTTGCTCTTTCTGGGTTTAGGGCTTAGGTCCACTAGGGTTTAGGGGGTTTGGGGTTTAGCGCCTCTCTTGGTTCCCTACTTTGATTTCCTTCTTTCTCTCTTTCCGAAGACAAAAAAGGTCAAAACAAAAGGGACAACACACACACACACACATACACACTCGCGTCCTAAGCCCTAAGGCCTAAACACTGCAGTTGAAACCAGGACATGCCTTAAACCCTGACACCTATCATGGTGGTGCCTCTGCCGTGCGGTGTACGGTGTACAGAGAAATGTATATCCACCCACTGCGCTACCCGGGTCCCCGTGCGATTCGGGCTGTCGAACCCTAAGCCCGAAGCTTTAACCCTAAACCCTATACCTAAAAACCCTCCAAAAGACTTTTGTCCAGACCCCAAGGGGGCCCAGCATGCCCCCGTTTTGGCTGAGCAGTCCAGTAGGGTAAACTTTAAACCTTTTGGGTCTATAAGTCCCTACAAAAGGCAAGATTAAGTTTTGCCGGGCGCTCGGTGCCTGAGTTGGAGCCCAAGTTTGGACCTAAAAATGTATATGCACTCCCTGAAAAGAGGCTAGATTTGTTTTTGGCTTTAAGGCAGAGGCTTTACGGTTTCAGATTTGGGTTTGGGGCGTTTGGCGGGTTTACGGTTTAGGGTTTAGGGTTACTGTCTAAGGTTTTCGTTTTGGGTTGGTCTGGGATTTGTCAGGTTTAGGTTTAGGGCTTAGGGCTTGGCTATTGTAATGTTTCTATAAGTTTTCCTCTTCTTCCAGAGGCCAAGACCTTGCAAACCATCAAAATGGCAAACATTTGTGATTTTTGACTATTTGGGCCTTGACAAACCTTGGCCAAAACACAGGGATTGTCTCTAGTTTTGCCTTGGAAACCACCAAAATGGAAAACTTTTGTGATTTTTGACCATTTTGGGCTTTCACAAACCTTGAATTAAGGCCAAAGCACAGGGATTTTCCTCATTTGGCGGCCTTGGAAAATGCCGAAATCGCCAATTTCAGGGATTTTGACCATTTTGAGTCTCGCAAACCCTGAATTAAGGCAAAAACATAAGGTTTTTCGCTAGTTTGGCGGCCTTGGAAACCACCAAAATGCCAAATGTTTGTGATTTTTGACCATTTTGGGCTTTCACAAACCCTGAAGTAAAGTCCCCAACCGCTGTACGGGGTTGTTTTAAATACCTCGCCGATCCCTGGAGTGCCTTCCCGAGAATTTTAGTGGAATGCCCGCCGAATCCTGCAGAGTATGCCTGGAGCGCCCTCGCCCAAAAAAGCAAGCAGAGCAGAGAATCCCGCCCGCACAGAGAGTCCTACAACAAATCCCAGAAGAGTGACTACCCCAAAAAAACTTGCAGAGAATTCCGCAGGGTACCCCTGGAGTCAATCCTGCCGAGAATCCCACAAGCAACCCTGGAGCGCTCACGAGAGAAGCGATGTTTTGCGGAGTATCCGCCCGCAGAGAATCCCGCTTCTCCGGGGGGGACTTAGGGATTCTCCAGGTCTCTGTGGGTAGGCACTCCACATACGGGGTCAAGCATTAAGAAGAAACTCACGGGATCTCGGAAAGCCTTATAAAAAAACACCGCGGGGGTGGTAACCCGGGTTCGCCCCCCCACGGTGTTTTTTCTGTGTCTCCTGGCCGTGGAATGGGCCCAACCCTCCGAAAAACACCGCGGCCTCCAGCAGAAAGGTCACCACCCCCGCGGTGTTTTAGGTTAAGGGGGTGGTGATTTCAAATAAGGGCTTCGTCCCCGACAAGGATCCCCGATGAGGGACCCTAGTTTAGAGCAGCAACTCCTGAAAGATGCTTGGCAGAACGACGATAAACGCCTACAGACCCTACACACCCTTTTTAACCTCAGAAACCCTAAAGTTATAGACCCGGTAAACCCAAAAATAGGAATATAGATCCCTAACCACTCAGCTACCCTAAACCCTGAACCCCAAACCCTCAACCCTAAACCCTAAACCCTAAGGCCCTAAAGGCCCTAAAGGCCCTAAAGGCCCTAAAGGCCCTAAAGGCCCTAAAGGCCCTAAAGGCCCCAAACCCTCGAGTCCTTCAGGCGCAGCAAGTTGCGGTCTCCACAAAGCTCGGCCTGGGAGGCTACCACTGCTTCGCCCCCAAACCTGCTAGAAACCCCCGCGCGCGCCCATAAACCCGAAAAATGCAAGCCCCCGCAAAAAGCGTAATAATAATAATAATAATCCCAGCCCCCTCTAAGGTGTCGGACCCAGAGGTTGCGAAGGCTGCCTCTGTAGCCGGTCCCTGGGCGCAGAAAGGTCGAAGGATCAAGGAATGTTGGGGTTCAGGGATTTAGGCTCTCAGGGCGTAGAGTTCAAAAATGTGCTGGGTTCCTTTGGCTTCATTTTGGGTTCTTTGCGGTTCATGTTGGGTTCTTTGGGGTTATTCGTTGGATGGTTTTGGGTCACGTGGAGCAGTGGAGCCCTGCTTGCAGCCATGAAACGGCGGGCTGCGTTGCAGAACCTAGGCTCGTTGGAAACATATTCCGATATGAAGTAGGGTGTATATTTCTTGTACCCAATATCTACACTCACCAATATGAAAACGGGACCTTACATACACTCACCAAAAACAGTAATATAAACCCTGCTTCATATAGGCTTTAGCATTTAGGAGCTTTGGCAGGTAAGGGGGTTTGAGGGGGCTTAGGGGGCACAGGGGGACTTAGGGGGATTTAGGGGAGTTTAGGGGCTCGAGGGGGAGGGGGGGGGAGGCGCTTCTGTGTCAAGGAACTCGTTGAAGTTTAGCGATCCACTGCCGGTGGGATCCAGGCCAAAGCGCCAAGCGGCCACCTCGCGGTTTTTGGGAGCAAACTCTGGGATGTAAGATGAAGGGTTTAGGGATTTGGGTTTTGGGTTTAAAGTCTGAGGGCTTGGGGTGCAGTTTCTGGCTGGGTTCGAGGGTTTAGGTCTTCAAGGCTAGGTCTTGAAGGGTTGGCTAGGATGTAGAAACCTGGGTTGAACGCCTGTGACTTTACGTTTAAGGGTTCAGGGTACTGAGGGCCCTGCCATGGAACCGTACCTCCGAGTGCAGAGGCCGATGAAGTCTTCCTCAAGTTCGCAGAGGCCCAGGGCTTAGGGCAGTCGTTTATGGTGGTCCCTTTTGGGCTCCTCTTGAGGCCCTTGATGTTCGAAGGACCAAGATGTCGGGAGCTAGCCACGTATTCCCCCTTCCCTCCCCAGGTAGCTTCCAGTTGTCTAAGCCGGGCACCACCGGCTCTGGCTCTTGCTTCGGTGGTATGTACGCCCGGCATCTCTTGGCGTAGTCGGGCGACTTGGCGAACTGCCAGCCACGCCCTGAAAACAGCGGCAGGGTGTGAAGAGTGGATGAGGTGCAAGAATGTCATGGCCTCTCTGCCTCTGTTGGCGATCCGTGATGCATGGGCTCACTCCTCGGCAAGTTGCTGAGCGCTGTGCGGATTTGGAAGAAGAAGCCTCTCTCGGTTCGCCTTGCATGTCTGGGCAAGTGGTGCGGAGCACTGGAAGCACTGGTCACTAGTCACGGGTCTCTAGTCACGATAAGGATAGGAAAAGGCTGCGTTTACAAGCAAGCACATGGCTGTCCAGGTATGTCCAGGTGATGATACTGAGAAGCCGACTCCGCAATTGACATTGACAGCAAAGGCTTCTCCTGTCCTGCATCAAACCCTAAACCCTAAACTCTAAACCCTAAATTGCACTCAAGATTGCCATGAGCTGCTGCTGTGACACTTTCCGAAACCGTTTCGAAAGAACATGACACCACCATCACCTGTCGAATACCGCGCCAGGTCCAGGGATTGAATCGAGAGGGGGGGGGGGGAGGGAGTGGAACGCAGAACCGGCAGCGCACACATCCTGAACCCGCTGTTCTGTCAGTGGGCAATGCACAGGTCAATTGGGCGTTGGGTCAGTGGATAGCACAACACGCTCGAAACACAACAATTCGATGCTGTGTCCAGCATGGGTCGCTTGGAGCGCGGCACACCACTCCTGCCCTGGGGTTGCCCAAAGGTTCTGAAACTACAGTAAATCCTCAAGTCGAGGGTCCTGGTCGCTTGGTCGGCTCCTCAGCAACCACAATATGCCGAGCGCATCTGAAGCCTACACCCTGTAGAACAGTAAGTAGAAAAGCTGCTGATCTCGTACGCATGCCAAGGCAACGACACTGAGCATTCGGAAGTCGTTGCAAAGAAAGGCCTACCGATTGCGGCAGGGTCACGCGTGCAAGTCACCAGCAGATATTTTGTGCGGTTCTTGAGTGTTGCTCACGCTCTGACTCAGGCCATGGAAATACCTCCTGCTACTTGTGCAGCGACATGCTACTGACTACTGTAATAAGGAAGAGCTTGGAAGCGCAACGTGTGCCCGCTACGACGTTTGACCTTGCATCACAACTGAATTGGCTTCCCTTCTTTTATGTGCTTAATTTGGACCATGATTGTCATGCGAACCGTTCTGACCATCAAAAAAAGCACTGTCATCCTACCCAATCACCTTGAAAGCTTTGCGGTCAAAGTCCCGCAAGCACAGGAAGGATCCGGATGCGGGTGGCCTGCCACGCATTGCAAGATCTTGCTAGCGAGCTTCTTTGGGGCTCAAGGTTTCCAAACCCAACTAAATCCGCGGATTGCTGCTTGCATCTGGGACATGTTGGGTGGAAATTTTTGGGAAGGGCAAAACTTGAGGATTGCGGCTGCTGCGGATTCTCATCAAATTGGGGGAATGGCCCTGCAACTTGCAGTAGTTGGGAGGTCGTTGTCGATACGGGCCAACCCAACCCAGGGTTTTAAAAGCGGCCTCAGGATGTGGAAGAGATGCCGAGCGGCGGCCTCCTTCAAGAAGCCAGCCTCACATCCGGATGAGCCGAAGCAGTTTGTTATGGGACTATAAGTCTGTGGGATAATGATATAACTACGGCAATATACTGCAATGATTTGAGTCCCGGGGCCCGGGGGATGAAAGGGGACGAAAGCTTTCTTGGAAACCACGGGAGAAGTGGCGGGTTGTGAGGGCCTATGCTGCTCTCTCCCGGCATGCTCCGGGCCCCCCAAACCCCCCGCCTCGCCCGCAAAGCTGCAAAAAAGCTGCCCAGAATTCGTGAAATTTGGGGCTGTCCGGGCTCTCTCTCTCTAACCCCGCCCCCCCCCGGGCGCAACAAGCCCTGAAACGAAAGGCTCTCTGGCCAGCCTTCTTGACAATCGCCATTGAGAAGGACAACGGTGAAACATGAGACTGGTAATAGCGTGAATAAGGACGAGAACTACGTAATATGCGGCCTAGACTAGTAAGATGCCTCAAGATGACCCTGTGGCTTCTGAGGAAACAGTAGGGTCCAGCCTTCTTGCACGCCGCGACAAACTGGCTCTCGTCCACATGGCCATTGCCCTCGACCTAGCAGCTTGGGGTTGAGGATGGTTGAGGGTTACCGGATGTTCATCAACCAAGCCGGAACTGTCCGCAGCTGGAAAACAATCACTGAGCAAAGTCTTTGAGGAAGCGACGTCCACCCCTGTCATCCATGCGCGCAGCATGTTCCCATAGACCTCCGCTAAGCGGCGAGTCGGCCCACAGATCGTCATTAATGTTGCACCCGCTTTAGTAGATGGGACCGCTATTATGCGATGTTCCGAAAATCTTATACAGAACCCCCCATTGTTTAGGGTGGCTCACAATTATGCGATGTTGTCCCGGCTGGGGTTGAAGGGCGGGGGGCCGGGGAGCCAAAAACTAAACAAAGTTTTGAATAAGAAACTCCGGGTTTTGTTGGTGTCCAGCCTTATTTAAATTCCTTGTAAAAATTTCATTACGAAACAGGCCCCCAAACAATTTTCCAAGGGAGTAGCCCACGAGCTGCCCTGATTCGCTTTAGCAAGTTGTTTCTGTGGTCCGCATTAATGCGGAGCCCCGGCGACCGTGGAGCTACAAAGCCTAGACCCTCAAGCTTCAAGGCTTCCCCTCAACCCTCGGCCCCTAGCCGCCCTACCCCCAGCCCCCCCCATCCCACATTATTAAGGATCCCCGAAAACCCCAAAATTGTTTGGGGGGGGGGGGGGGCCACACTAAAGCGAGTCCAACGTTACGCAAATATTGCTCGATCTTGGTACCTCAACGACACCCCAGCTGACGAGCTTGAGTTAGCAATGATAGATAGATATAGATAGCATGTCTGAGGAGTGCCTCCTCGAAGCAGCTCCGCATCTCTGACCAGATCGAGGCGGTCTCCTGAAGCGGACGAATTAGTTTTAGCGAGTGGTACAGGTTGAAGAGAGACCACCAACGAGTCATTGAGACCAACCCTCAACCCCAAACCCTCAGTGGCTAAACTTGCTAAAGCTTAATGTGGATGAAACCCTGCCACGCAGAACGCCGGCTGCGGAATGCACTTCTTTCCGTAGGAGCCGTCGCCCTGCTTCAAACCATTCAGAGTTCCAGCGTCATCATTGCTCGGCAGGCTCTGCTCTGTTTGCCCGCCGCTTGCGCGTGTGGCTGAAATGCACGCGGCACACTTTCAGACCTCTGTCGACTCGTACCTTCAGGCTCCATCGAGATGTAGTGGAGGAAGGTGCTGTGGAAGTGCGTTTCCTCCTCCCTTTCCTCTTCTTCCTGTTCCGCCGGCGGCTCCGATTGCTCCGGCTCCTCATGCACCTTGTGCAGCGCGCCTGCGGGTGCACCTCCGCACATGCCTCTTCGCGGCGAACGGCCCCTGATTTCTGGTGACCCCCTGGTCGGCACCGGCTCTCGAACATCTTGTCAAAATCCAACATAGCAATGCTAGCTTGTAGAAAATGCAAGAATGTGAGCTCATGCGCCTTTTTTAGATGAAGGCCTCCAAACAAGCCTGTCACTGAGTCCGCACTGCGCGCTCCCTACCAAAGAATGTCATATGGGCCCTTGCCGGTGAGTACTCGGGAGCTTGGGAGACATGGGCCATGCTTTCTGGGAGACTGCAAAGGCCTCGTCCAGGTTGGAGAAGCGAAGAACCCCGATGCCTTCCGTGTCGAGTTCCTCCCACAATGCCTGTCAAGTTCAAGGGCACATCCCTCGAAGCTCTTTGAAGCCGACTGTCTCGTCGGTTTACACTCCATGACGTTGCCGCACCTGGAGGTCTCCGTGGAGGCCCAACCTGAACAGGCGGGGGCTTAGTCAAAGGCCAACATGCCGCCAAGAGCCGGGCTCACACTCGGCTCCAGGCAGCCGGAAAACATGGGTGAACTCGCCCCAGCTCAAGCGATCTCGCCCAGTCGGATCGAGCCCCTGGGCAAGGGTGTTGTATGCTGGTCTCCTCTCTTGGTTTTCAATGCCCTGAATCCTTAACCCCAGACACCCCTGAAGATCATGGCTTCTCCCTGGCTTCCCATCACTCAATCCCCGTCTTTGCCTCCCGCCAGGCGCGGAAAAGGGTACCGAACTGGCTGATCATCGCGGCCTGGAAGGCCTCCTTCGTGCTGACCCTGGCATGAGCAAGCTGCTCTAGGACTTCTGGGCCACAAGGACGCCACGTGCGGATGCGTATAAAAGGCACGACTTCGAGGTTTCCTGTCTTCGGGCGAAAGGCATGGCAATAGCCCAAGATATCAAAGCTTGCCGGCAGACCCCAAGCGTCCACGAGCTCTGATCTTTTGGGCCTCCTTGGAGAGACGTGGACAGGACTGCAAAGCGCAAGGAGCTCAAGTGGAGGCCTTGACTCCAGCCGCTTCCCCGGTCTCGTCTCCTGTCGTGCCAATCGCATGACTTGCCTGAGCTTGTCAAATGCCTGGGGGCTGAGTTGGTTTAGGGATAGGGTTTTGGGTTTAAGGTTTAAGTTTAGGGCTTAGGGCTTAGGGCTTCGGGCTTAGGGCTTAGGGCTTAGGGCTTAGGGCTTAGGGCTTCGGGCTTAGGGCTTAGGGCCTAGGGCTGAGGGCTTAGGGTTTAGGGTTTAGGGTTTAAAGTTTAGGGTTTAGGGTTTAGAGTTTAGGGCTTAGGGTGGAACTCCGAAGCGCGTCCTTTGGAGAGAGCAGGAAGCTCTGAAGTCTGCCACCTGCAGGCATGATGGGCCCAGCCGAAACATCTTGTCTTGAGCTCCACGAGAGAATCGTCTGCCTAACATAAGCCCTCGGGTCGAAGTCCTTGAGGGTGATGTGCGTCCTTCAGCTCAAGTTGATTCTCCGTACTTGCTCTCTCTCTCTCTCTCTCGCTCTTTTCTTGGCACGGGCCTTAGGGCACATCCTTCCTTCAGGTGTTCGCATTACACTGAGCCCCCCGGCGCCCCCGGCATACTTATGAACATCTTGAGCAACCTTCCAAGGCACGCTGCGCTCTGAACTCTTTCCTACTCAGTCGATACCAATTGCTGGACAGTCTGGGATTGCAGCTGTCTGGCATCCATTTCCAGACCTCAGCAATAAAAAGGAAGCTGAGCAGACGCCGAAGGTAACATAACAGAACAGCTAACAGCGATCGCAACTGTGCTTGAAGTACGCAGCTCTAGCTCTGCTAGCTCAACAAATGTATCTCCGCTGAGACGAACAGATCTGTGCACGCGGAGGATGCTGCAACGCGGAATCAGCCTGGAGAAACGACCATCACAATCAGATCAGCCGCGCACCGAGCTCGTGGAGGCTGTCTGCGATCTCCCTCTCGGACACCTTTCCTGTCTTAGCTCATCCCACTCAAGGGGTCCTGCTTGAAAAAAAGTTCTGGCACCATTGCCAACCCCACCGCCCGATACTGCCTGCGCCATTTACGTCGATGCAGTCCTGCCAGGCTAGTAGCATGTCTCCGTACCTGGCACAGGCCCAGCGCTTCCGCTTCATGAGGAACGGGTGCCAGCCACAAAATCACCTCTGCATGAGCTCGATCTTGAAGGAGCTCACCATATGCCAGACCTGTTCAGGACACCGGTACAATCAACATGCCTGTGGCTCTGAGGCGGCGGCGTCCGGATCAATGTCCTGGGCTAGCCAAGGAGACTTGACATTCGGAGATTGCCCTCAGATGCTCCAAGTCTTCTCTTAGTTGATCCAATTGTCAGCTGGGGCTCTGCTAAAGTGACGAAGCCCTTGCCAGTGGGATCAAGCTCTGTCCATAGCCTTTGATAAAAGCCGCAGTCTGTGGCCACAGAAGCAAACCTTCGGCACTCTGAGATACTTTTATGAGGACCCCGCTTCTTCACGTTGCCATGGTAGCCCGAGCTCCTTGCCGCCTTGCAGAACCTTGCACTGCATGGCCAAAATAAGACCTAGCTGTGCAGCTCCACGCTAGCGGCCAAGGCGCGGATGGAAGGACATCCGACCTTTCTTCGCGGAATCGAGCAAGCGCCAGCCAGCCTTGAGCTGCCGTCATTTTTGCATGGACTGCCGCCTACTGCGACCGAAGAGCTCTTCCGTCATAGACCCCGCCAAGCAGCCAAGACGGAGCCAAAGCGTGCTTTCAAGTGTGCCGAGAAACCAGGAATGCCCTGCCAGGACACCAAATTGTCTACATGATTTGAACGCGTGTTGGATGAGCAGTTCGGATTTGCACGCGCCTGTGCGCCCCAGAAGCTGTAGTCTTCCAGGTCACGCGTTTCCTTTATCAGCGCCTGGCACAACCCTTCGCAAATGAAGAAGTTGCTCAGTATACATGAGAGGACATGGCTTGCACGTGATTGTATAAAGAAAGAAGCCTTCCTCTGCTGGGCGAGGTTTCGACCTGCTTTCAACACGCGCAGCATACAAGCAAGCGAGTAGCCCCAAACAAAAGCAGATCAGAAATGATCAGTCGTCGACGGGCAGCAATTGTAGGGTGGCCCATCTGGCGAGGAAGGAACGAGCCTTTCACGGTTGCAGGCAGCGTCCTCCCCAGCAGCTCATAGGTGACTTGAACAGCAACTGAACACAACATCTTAATCCGCCTGTCCTGGAGAGGCTGCGTGTCAAAGAGGGCTCACTGGCCGACTTGCCAAGACCTACAAGACGTCCGAGACTGACAAGTCTTGGTAGGGTCAGGCAAGATGTGACAAGCTCCAGGCCAATGTTGGGCTGTGTCTTCCGCATGGATGGACTGACTGGCGGCCTCATGCAACATCACAGGCACCTCAACCTCGAATACAACAAGCACAGTAGCGGTCAGTAGCGGAACCGGCCCTAAAACTGCCCAATTGCCGCTTCAACTCCCGAGAGCTCAAAAGCAAACCCTCTCCCTCTCGTTCTCTTTCTCTCTCTACAAGTAGCTCTCTCTGGCTCTCCCTGGCTCTCTCTCGCTATCTTCTTTGTTCTTCTTCTTCTTCGGGGCTTCTATCTCTCTCTCTCTCTGTCGCTCTCTCTCGCTCTCTTGCGTCCCTGGCGGCTTTTCTCCTTTTTTGGGGGGCCCGTCGTCTTGGACCAGCGAAATATCCGGCTCGGGGCTGCGCAGCATTCCAGCGCTTGGACTCGGGCTCGGCCGGTCCTGGACCAGTGTCGGAAAGAAACGGATTGCTCGGGGGGTTGGGGGGGGGGTGGAGGAGGGGGGAGGGGGCAGGGGGGCGGGGGGGGTGGGCCTTTTTTGGCGACTTTTGCGCCACGGGGCTCTTTTCAGCCTTTTCGGGGCTTTGCAGAGTTTAGGGCTCGACGACCTCAGGCGTCATGCCCGATAAGAGGCCAAGTGGTGCAGATATCTTCTGGTAGATTCCGCCTTCATGAAAACAGGGTCACATGCCATGACCCATCGCTCCTCTCACAGGTTGTCCGCAAGGGGTTAATGCACCACGCAGTCAACTCCCTACCAGTATGCTAGGCAGCCTCCCACAGCAGACTGCAACACCTGAACCTAGTTCTGAACCGACATACATCACAGTGCCGAAGCTTTCCGACTGGGTGGTGCAGGGCCTTCATGGCAAGGCTTGCAACATGGCGCTGAGAGGGCGGGCCCACAAGGCCCCTCACGGGCCGCTGTAGTGTTGCACGGCACGTCAGTACGTCACATCGGAGCTTGAAAATACTTGATATTTTCTTCGGGCTTGCCTTGGGCATTTGTGGTGTCTATGGCTCCGTGGCTCAGGTCGCTCTCCGGGCCAGGGATATGATCTCAGTTAATTACGCATGAGCGGGTGTCTACTTCTAAGGCATCAAGGCCCAAGGTGAGAAGGTGAGACGTGTCGCCCACATGCGAGCTGTGAGCCCATGAGTGCGAGTGGCCACACGCGAACAGCGCCCGCATGCCAGGGGTTCGGGGCTAAGGACAAGCTCTCTTGTGTTCATGGTTGTGACGAAGCATGTCCTAGGCAACCTCCAGAACCTGAAGCTCTCGGATTTCTCGCCCGCAGAGAGCCACGGCTTGAGCTACGAGATGCTGTGAGCCAACTACTACAACCTCATGAACTAGCCTTACCTGGTGCTTTTGGCAGTTCCTGGCGCACGATTCCATTGGATTACCGGGTCTTTGCCAGGATGAGATGATTGAACTGACGTCCGTTTTCCAGCTTCAAAATCACCACCGGTGAATTCTAACAAGGCTGAAAGCATCTGGATAGCTGCAGCCTCTGTTTTTGTCCGCGGGAGTAGCGGCACACAGGCTTGGAGTGGACGATTCAGACGATGCCAGAAAAGTACAGCTCGGCCCCCTGCACCGCAACCAACGACATGTCCAACCACACAACATCCACTGGGACGAAAGAAGAGCTACGTTTACCGAGCCATTTGAGAAGACCGGCTACACCCAATGCAAAACCAAAGCAGATTGAGGAGAGCCTCCACGGCCAGACAGCCGAGAAGCAAAGTCAACAGGACCAAGCTTCCGAGGGCCATCAGCACCGGGTACTCGAGGTGGCTCTGAAACCTCAGAACGGTGAGAGCTGAGGGCTTCGAGAAGCAGACGTTTCAGACGTTGAAAATATAACTCTGAGGAGGCTACGATGCAAACTTAGGCGCAGACCAGGCATGGTCCACAAGGCCAGGCGAAGGGATGGAGAGCCACACGTCCTGCAGGCGACCCGAAGCGGACGCAACGCAACAACACCCAACTGCACCCAGTTGCACCCAATTCACCACATCTGTGATCCGGCTTGCCGCCAGATTTCAGAGGAGTCCTCACCCCGCTCGTCACGAGAGCTGTAGTAGCAGGTGGCCTGGGCGCGGCTGCGCTGAAGGACCAAGCGGCCATGATAGGGCGTAGCGGATCAAGAAACGAGTTTGGGGCTTGGAATTGTAGGGTCCCCATGCGACAACCCGCAACGCCCCCGTGACCCGTGACAAAACTCCCGGATTCCCGTCACCCGGCGTCCACCGGCCACGTTCTTAGAATAGGATATGGCTCTTGAAGTCTAGCTAGACTGGGCGGCTGAATTCAGACATTGAATAGATCAGAAATAGTTTCAACGCGATGAATCGTGATGGGGAACTCACCCAAACCACTTGTTCCTTTTGTCCGGCACTAGAAACAAGGGGTCCTCGGTGGCCCTTACAGGACCTTTCGGCCGCAATCAAAGAAGTGAAGCACGGAGTGAAGCGATCTGTTGTTGCCTCACATGGCTTGGGGTTTCACATGCCCACGTCTCGCCTTATCCGCGTGCTCCATCTGCTCCTGGATGTGTGAAAGCACCTGGGGGCAGACACGGGGAAAGAATGATCACACACGCACCCTTGAACCACGAGTGGGGTGGTGTCTCCTGGGATGCGAGCATCTGCCGTAGTGCAAGGCACAGGGCCCCCAGGTGGCTGCTTGGCGCGCTGGCTCTTCAGATCCAGCGCAAACTGGTCCAGAAACCTTATAAGGCACCCCCCAGAAAGTGCAGCGCCCTAGGTGACTCCTTGAGCTCTTCGCCCCAACTGCGGAAGGCATGGGTCCTGAACAGAATAGAGGGTGGTCACCCGGAAGCCGACACGAGACCTTTAGACCCCCCCCTACCCACGATTCTGAAGCACCAGTCTCAGCAGCCTCGGACATTCGGTTCTTGCAGTACCTCCAACTGGCGCGCAAGGGCTGAGTACAAGACTTGAACTAGGGCTTTGGGAGATTGGGATTCCTGCAGTCGCAACTCGATAGTAGCACACGCGCGCGCGCCCACACACACACACACACACACACACACACACACACACACACACACACGTCTTGCCAGGCACCTTGCGACCACGACATGCCACTTCATGTTTAGGCTTTTAGGCCCGTCGTCTCAAAGACGGCTGGCTCAAGAGTCAGGTGTCATCGTCATGCATGAATTGCGACTTTACAAAGCCACTGCGAGCTTGGGCACCCTCTACAACTTTGTACAGAAGTCTTGCTGAACTTCGCGGCCCTTTGGGACTGAGAGTCGAATCATAAAGCAAGAAATCCTACACTCCTACACTGCACCGCTCGTTTGGCGTGCAGAACTTCGGCAATCTAATTGCTCTGCTACGTCGCGGCAGCCCAGCTGTCTCTTTGCAACCGTGCAGGTGAGCTACTGTACAATTAACCTGTGCCTTCAGGCTCTGCGGCTTGTAGCAAGGCCAACACCTGCAAACGAGTTGCACACGGCTCTCTGTATCTATCTTCCTCTGTCTCCCTCCTCTTCTTCTTCGTCTTCTTCTTCTGCGAACCTTCTACCTCCACTCTCCCTCTGCCCCCGATCTCTTCCATCTCTCTCATGGATGCAACACGGCATGCGCGGTAGCCTCAGCGTGTGAGTCACGCCGGTTCAGCCACTTGGCCAACCCCAAAGGGGTCTGCCTAGCCGCACGGAGGTCTCCACCAGAACGGACAAGCAACACAACCAGGTCTGGCACCCAAAGGTGTTTGACTTCGTTGCATCGGCCCCCATCCATAGGAGCAGCCTGTCAAATATTGCCCGTCACGAACAACAGACAAGGCTTGGACTGTCGCCCATGGAAGCCTAACCATCTCGGGATCATTGCACTGCACTGCCCGGTGCAGTGGATAGGAGGCCACCTGTCAGCAACATGTTGTGCAGCTGCTGGCTGTTGTCCAGCAGCTGATGCATACGGTGGCTTGGGGCCCTGGCAGGCGACCACTTGTGTGCTGCACGCACATGCCGGTAGCCTTCAGCAGCCACTCTTCACATGATACTTGACCACTGGTGGCCGCAGTAGTAGATGGGATGAGACAGACCCTGCCTTCTGCAGCCAGGAAGGCCTTCGCCTTCTCCCGCTGTTCTCTCTCTCGTTTGGCCTCAATCATTGAAACATATTGAATCATAAGACAGCAGCCACAGCACCCACGCCGCCATGCAGCTCCGGGGGTCTGATGTTTCGTGCTAGACTAGGGTGGTGCTGGTGCTGCTCATGGTACTGCAAGCAAGTTCACAGGATGGCCATGCAAACTGCTTTGCCGGCCTCTGCGGCAGACTCTCGTGCCCTCTGCTCCATTTCCTGCCGGGACCCATTCAAATTTTAAGAGAAGAACCTTAAGGCATCAACATGGCTGCTACCTGCCTGGAGCTGTCTGCGTTTCTCCGCTTGTCGACGCTGCTCCTGCGGCACGGCTACGTAGCCTGCAAGTCCCAGCACAACTTTGCAGATGTCTGTCAAGAGTGTCTTCTAAGCCTATGGCTTGAAGATCCGAAAAAATGCAAGGAGCAGGCCCCCAAGACCCCTAACGACATCCTTGACAACTCTTGTGCTCCTCGCATCTTTCTTCTGCGAGCCTCGCTTCCTCCTCCGCACGCCTGCCATGGGGATGGGCTTCAGGGCCGGATTTCAGGATTTCAGGTCGCCTGGGAGTGTGCTGGCGAGTCAAGCTGTCCAGTATTGCCATGCCACGACTATGAAGTTGCTTCAATACCAGGTTAATACGGGGAGAACACTGTGGGCTTTTGGGCATTTTGGGCATAGAGATGCTCGGGGGGTGCAACTGCTCGGAAGGCCTCGCAGCACAAATCCGCAAGCCCCAAAAACGCGTTCAACCGAAACTCCCATTCACCATACCATGGTCCTTTCTCCCTCAGACCCTGAATCTTGAACTACAACCCTAAACTCTAAACCCCTAAACCCTGGACTCTGGACCATAAACCCTGGACCCTAAACCCTAAACCCCACAACCCTAAATTCTACACTCTAAACCCCTAACCCCTGCACTCTGAGCCATAAACCCAGGACTTAGACCCTGAAGCCCTGCAAACCTCAAACCCTCAATCACTCGCCTTCTCGCAGAGGCGAGTTCCTCCTCCAGGCGGCGCTGCTCTTCAAGGCGCACTGCCAGGTCGGCCGCCTTTTCGGGAGCTGAGGGTAGTTAGGGTTTTAAGGTTCTAGGGTTCTGGGGTTCTAGGGCTGTAGGGTTCTACCGTTCTAGCGTTCTAGGGTTCTAGGGTTCAAATTGGGGTTAGAGGTTTCTGGGTTGTAGGGTTTTAGGGTTTAGGGTTTCGGATGTTAGGGTTGAGGGTTCAGGGTTTAGGCTTACATGCGCTTTGGATTGTGGGCGCGCAACGTCAAGCGAAACACCCACGCGCTCACTCATGCCTGTCAAGAAGTCACAAGATCCAGAGAGATCGGTTCGATACATTCTTGATTCCTCTGCACACAGAGACAGTTTATAAAGAGAAGTGGGAGGACGGGGGGATGACGAACAGAGTCGACAGGAAAACAGAGCGAACATGACAAATGGAGAGGAAACCGAAGTTTAGGGTTAAGTTTAGGGTTTACAGTATGAAATACTGCCCAAGCCATCCCTTCCTCTGATTCCCTCTCGGAAGCCAAAAGAGGTCCTCCTGCTTTTTGCGTCGATTGTCTTCCAACCGCTGCTTCTCTGCCTCCAAGCACCAAGTTGTCTCCGACAGGGCTCCGAGAATCTTCAGTTCGCAAAGACTTGAGCTACTGGGTCCTGCATTTGCCCTAGGAATAGCTAACTTGCCAACTTGGCCATCCTGGCACAGCTACAGAAGTCACTGTCCCTGGAACATAACATCTCGAATCCCAACGAAAGCCACAGGTGGCTGAGCACAACCACATAACGGTTTAATGACCGCGAGGTGTACAGCGAGTCGGATCCCTTTGGCTGCAGGGCCCAAACACAAACGCCCGCGCCTCGATCTCCTGCTCCAGACGTCGACGGCCCTGCTTGCAAAGGTAGTTGGGCTCTGTGTGGCGAGAGAAGACACGCTGTTCAGACTCTTAGGCCCCCCCCCCTGAGTCTTTTGCGAGCCGTGAGACTCCCTCCTGAAAACCCGGCCCTCTGAAAAAAAGATAACGTAAACAACTCCCGGATGCGCACCTGCGCCTCCACCTCGGCCCTCCGCCGCTCTGCGAGCAGCGCATCCTCCAGCCGTCGTCGGGCCTCACCAATTCGCGGAGACTTGGGGGGCAAGAATCCAGGCATCACATCGCCCTAAACACGATAGCTTCTGGAATTGAGGTCCGTCAGGCCACCTCTGCTTCTCGAGCTATGAGATCTCGGTGCGATTGCAGTTCAGACTCGATGGACCTGAGATGCATGGGGCCTTGAACTTCACAGATTCACAGGGCTCAGGCTTTGGAATAGCATGGGGGTTTGGGGGTTTGGGGGTTTGGGGGTTTTGGGGGCCTCTTGGGTTGAGGTTCCGTAAGGCTGGTACTGCAGGTGCTCAGTGGCCAGGGCCAGAGCGGTGAACTGGGGCACAGCTACAGGGTGGAGGTGGCCACAAAGAGCCCTTGCTGAATCTCAGAATTCCCTGATGGCTGCTTTCCTGTTCTGGGCCTGATCCTCCACATCATGCGGCTCCTCCTCCTCCACTGCAAGCGCATCTTCCACGACAATGTCATCAGCCTGCAGGCTGCAAGAGACAGAGGAACCTCAACGTAAGAGCAAGAAAGCAACTGTCAGGGCTGCTTCTCTGCAAGGTTGAGGGCCGACTTGAGTGGCCCAGTGGCACTTGACAAACAACTTCGGGGGTACCAACAAAGGCTCCGCCTCCCTCTCTGTGCTGGAACCGAAGCCATAGCTCGAGTCAAAGTCCTCTCCACGTGGGCACTGCTCATGATGCTAAGCCTTTCGGAGGCAGACCTCATACCATGCTAGAAGTGTCTGCACATTTCAGACGCCAAGTGGTCCTGTCGCCCAATCTCGGCTGGCATCGAGCGAGAGCACGGTCCCAACCCAAAAGCCGGACGCGCCTCGGGCGCAGAAGGAATCTCCCGATCCGGGAGCTTCAGGAAAAGATGCAAAACGAGTAGCACATGTGCTGCCCAGTAGCGATGACGTCGTTCTCTGTGACCAGCACTGCCTCATCCACGAGGTCCTTCACGCTACACGTCCATGTCATGTCGTACTAACCTCCAACCCTGAACCCTCTTAGAACCTTCAAGAACCCTTCAATATGCCCTAAAAACCCTAAAAACGAAAACCTCCTCAAAGCCCTTCACGAAAGGGTCCTCCGCGGGCTGCAACTCTTCGACCCCGACTTCCATTAGCTCCGCCGGCGCCTCGGAGCGTAGACATGCGTATATCGATCTATCTACGCATATATGTCTGTATATCTATATGTATTCATAGGTATAGGACTTGACATGTATTTGTATATAGAGAGAGAGGAAAAAACATGTATGTATGTGTAATTTGTTTGTAAATGGGCTATGGGATGCCATGGCACCAGCGGGCCCTCGGCCAACTCGGGGGAGCCACCAACATGGCCATGGCCTCGGCAGAGGGCACGAAGACTCTGGCGACGGGAGCTTTGGGGTCCTTAAGGGTTTTAGGGTTTGAGGGTTTCAGGGGTTCGGGTTTCGGGTTTGAAGGTTTTCGGGATTAGGGTGTAGGGTTTAGGGCTGAGGGTTAGGATAGAGGAGATGGTTTGGGGGACTAGGGGGCGGGTGGGGGGGAGGGGCGGGGGTCCACAGCAAGTCAGCACCGAGCCTGCAACAAGCAAGATACGGAGGTCGGAGGTCTAGCTCAAGAATAATTCGGAAACGTCTCTGGCAGACTCGAGGTCCACGCAAATGGTGTCCGTGGGCGGCAGAGACAAGCCTCGAATCGACAAACCCAACAGGTGACGACGACAGCTGACCCGCTCATGCGCGGGCTGGGCATGCAGCGTCAGCTTATGCAGTCAGGTTACTGTCGTAGCCACTGCGCATGTCCTGACACCAGTTCCATGGATGTCAGTAAACGGCCGGATGAGGGAGGGGCAATGGGACAAGGAGAGACGGCGGGTGCAGCCGTGCAGCATCTGTGAACAAGGCGAGTAACTGTGCATTGCGCATGCCGCTTGCATGAAAGGAGCAACTATGAGAAGTGCGTCCTCGGTTGACCGCCGCGCGCTGTTCAAGATTTGCGCAAGTGTCGCGCTTGGACTCTGTGTAGACTCCGCATCGTCGTCCAGGAACAGCTCCTCTGCGGCTGTCTTGGGTACAGCCAACTGTCTGCCATTAACAGGCTGCTGACGTCCTCCTGCTCAGGTTCCATGGCATCTACTCTGCAGGCAGCCTCAGTGATGGCACATGCGGACACACCTCAAAGCTCGAACTTCCCGCCTCAAGCCTCACTCATCCAATTACCATCCCAAAAAAAACAATGCAATTTCCTCTCTCAGCCGCTTGCAGAGTTGGCCGCAGACATTTGGGTGCAAGATGTACTCTCCCTGCCTTCGAATGCACAGCCATCGCATCAGAAAGTCAAAGCCCTCTGTCGAAGGCCGTTCCGCCTCTGTCCACCTCTTCGGCTTCCGACGGCTCGGCGCACGCCAGCGAGCTGAGGTGCACTTCCTTCGACTGGGCACCAGCACACGAGCCCGGCACAACTGCGTACAAGTCACCAAGAGAAGGGGGAGAAGGCACACAAAAAGACACAGGAGAAGACGAGCTAAGATTAAGATCATGCTGGCCGGTCCTCGACCGCCATGGCTGCAGCCGAGACTGATGGCAGGCAACTGAAAGGCTTGGGCTCGCTGCTCTTCGCAGGGGCCGTCTTGCACTTGGCGAAATCCTCCACACAGCACACAGCGGACACAGCCATACAGGAGAGTCGAAGAGGAGGGAAAGCAACGGCGAAAAGGCGTGTCCTTTGGGTCCAGCTTGATCGACTCCCCAGTTGGGCAGGGCTCTGCCTCAGAGATGTGCCATTGTCCGTTGGCCACTTTGCAGGGATGACCGAAATAAGAACTCAAAGCAGCATCCAAAAGAGCCCTGAGCCGAGGGGCCCTGGGCCCACAGTACGGGAAGGACATCAAGCCCATCGAGCTCAGCAGGTTCGAAGCCTTGCAGATCTTGCAGTTCAGTAGTACAGCTGCGCCTGCCCATGCCACGCTGTGAGGAATTCTGCATTGAGGGTCGGACCATACACTTGCGGCAGAGTGCGACCTCTTGCAATGCTGCATCAGAACCAAAGTCTCGGTGTTAGCTGTATGGTATGGAGATGCAGAGGACAGCGAAGGGTCTCTGAGCTCACAGCCCGCCCAAGCTCGCGCCAGTGGCCGCACTTGGAGTCCCCCCGCCACCCTCTTCCAACGCTGCAAAAGCTGGCGGTCGTTCTTTGGAGGCTCTGATCACTCCTACAATAACTCACGCGGCAACCAACTCTCCTACATTTTACGCGGTTATGTGTTATGTTCCCGGACCTGTAGATGGCAAAATCACCGCCACATGCTGCAGCTGTTCTGGCGCACCACACAGTGCCTGTGATGTTCTCGTCCAGGTGGCGGTGCTTGAAGGTCACAAACAGCCGAGCAGTGGTGATAGGATGTATCTGCGCAAGGAGAGAGATTCGTGCGGCCAGGGACTCAGAAAGCAGGTCCGTGCCTGACATGTCGAAGGCATCAGGTTGTCGCAGAGAGTGCAGGTGCCCACGTCCGTCATCTGCAAGGGCATGGCAAGGTGAGGTGGTGAACACTGTCGATTGGGGGGCAGTGCACATGACTACACCTTGCCTCTGATCTGACGATGGTGCAGGGACTGCTGAGCACGTGGGTCGACAACCTCATGGCCTCGAACATGCCAATACCTCGATCTGACGGGACTGTAGCATAGTCACATAAAGTGCTGAGCTGTAGCACCATCCAATGAGGCTACCACACACCACTGAGACGCAGATTAGAAGGGCCATGGGGCACCAAACATGCAGCCTCTGCCTCGCCAACTTATGCAAGAACCACAACGTCTGTGAGCAGCCACCCACCCCCCCGAATTGAGACTTGCTGGCTTGGACTCCTCAAACAACAAGCCGGGACCACCCAGTGAGGCAGTCGAAGCAGCCAAACGGGCCTGCCATGTACAACAGCGTCTCTTCTTGGAATACTGCATCCTACCGCGCACCGCACTGGCAAACCAATGGTGCAAGAAATGGGCTGCGGGACACATACCCTGACACACGCTATGTGTGGGGAAGAATTCTTCAACACTGCAAGGGGCTCGCCTTCTTGAAACAACAAGGCAGGGAATCAAAGCAAAACAGTCGGGTATGCGAAGTAGCGGTCTGCAATGGTGACACCCCAAGGATGGCCCAATTTGCTCAACTGCTGCTGCTTCGCTTCGCCTTTCCGCTTGGTTGCTTCTGCTTTCCAGTTTCTACCTTTGTAATCCTTTGTCATTCCCGAATCCATCAGCTTCCGCCTGCGGCGGTGCAGATGCTCCGGGGTGCTTTAGGATAATCAGGCTGAATGCAGACATCAGGCGGGCGCTGATCAAAGGTTCTCTCTCGGTCTCACTTAACACGACAGTCCGCCGGCGCTCGGCGAGAAGCGCAGCTTGGAAAACGTGCCACACTCTCCATGGAAGCCCTCAAAAGAAGTTCGAAAAAAATTCGGAACCTTCATGAACGACTGTTGTGGACAAAAATGCAGCTGCAAAGAGCCCCGATGCCAATCAACAAACTGGATTTCAGGAGCTGCACCAGATGCCCCTGTAAAACCGTGAACATGAAATTTAAGGTCAGAAGGATGAAACCAAGAGGAATGAGAAATGAACAAAGCGAAGGATAAGATAAAGCTAATGTGTCCATCACAAAGTTCGTCCCGTTAGAACTGACCGACCCCGTCGTAGACAAGGAGGAAGATCAAACCCATCCGACCCGTGCCACCCATTCCAAGTCTGCCATCGTCGGTGATCGCACAGGAGCGCATGCTTTGAGCCATCCAACCCACGACTGGTGTGAACAAAGCATTTTGTACATACTAAGCATGATGAAGCATGAACGAGCCAAGGGCGAAGTGTGGGCATGACAGTGCCAAATTGGAAGTATGCGGCCTGACATCTCACAACCCGTGCAAGGAAGCCGGCTCCACAACCCTGCCGTGATGGTCGATTGGCTCTTTGTCCATCTTCTGGAGACCTGCTATCGCCAACATGCACATGGAATGCGCAACGTGAGCACAATGTGATGAAGCCACTGCACAGCCGCACACGGCCACACACGCCTGCTGCGAGTGGCGAGATGATGGCGTATCGCTTGGGGAAGGTGCATCCTGCAAAACGAGATACCCAAGACCTGACCTCACCTCGTCCCAGACTTCTTGCCGGTCTGGACAGGAACTCCTTTCACTGCAACAAAACAACGCCTGTTTCGAGATGTTCAGGGCGGCCGACGCTTCGACTCTTGCGAAACCTTGTGATCGGCTGGCAAGAATGGCAAAGCTTGAGAGACCACCTCACAGATAGCAAGTCGGGCTTCTTTTGCACTCAGAAACGAAAAGTCTGAATGTGCCTTTGCAGCTTTGGCCCGAGGGCAAGAGCTCCACTGCTCTCAAATGGCGGGAGCTCCACTGCTTTCAAGCACGAACATTATCCACTGCTCCCTTTGATTACGATGCCGTGAGCTTCCCATCCAGGGCCTGCCAGGGGCAACCGGATCCATGATAGCCCACAACTAACCGCTCAGCCCACATCCACAGTGCATCCAGGGGCCTCTCGCACGGAGGGCTCTCCACGGAATGCAGATGGAAACATCCTGGGAGTTTGCAGGCATGGGGGGTTTGCTGTGGTTTTGGGTCGGACTCCTGCTGAGGGCCGTGCTGACCCGTCTTGCGAATATGCGAGCGGTTGAGGAGCCGGAAGTACGAAAGCATTGCATGATACCAAATCTTGGTCTCACGGTCATGCAGAAGGGCACGTCATGTTCAACCCCTCTGTGGCAGTGGACGTCGTCTGACGTGCACACTTTCCTGCAGTCGAGCTGCGCTGTCACGGGCTGGCAGGATGTGCCGCATGGCCCAGGACATCACGAAAGTAAGCTCCTTTCGAGACAGGCTCATCAGCTGAATCAGTGGACTGCTGCTATCAACAGAGTCTGCACTCTGGACAGCTGGCTGTTGAGGACAAGAGTCGCCAGCATCGTCCACCCAAACTTCTCTACCAAGCTGCCTGTCGAGCATTTCTCGCGGCGCAAACAAAACCGCACCTCATACAGCAGCATAAATACTGCAAGTTGGGTTCGGCCGGTCCACACTAACAGTCACCACCAGCAGACCCACAAATAAAAGCACCCGGTAAATGCCAAAAAAATGACTGAGATTCCTGCTATTCCTGGTGCTATTCCTGGTGCTATTTCTGGTGCTATTTCTGGTGCATTTTTTTGTGCTATTCCTGGTGCTATTTCTGGTGCTATTTTTTGTGCTATTGTTTGTGCTATTTCTGGTGCTATTTTTTGTGCTATTGTTTGTGCTATGCTATTTCTGGTGCTGTTGCTGGTGCTATGTGACTAACAATCACCATCAGCAGACCCACAAGAAACAGCACCCTGTAAATGCTAAGCTGCTAAAATTGACTGGGATTCCTGGTGTTATTTCTGGTGCTATTGTTGTGCTATTTCTGGTTCTATTTTTTGTGCTATTCCTGGCGCTATTTCTGGTGCTATTTTTTGTGCTATTGTTTGTGCTATTTCTGGTGCTATTTCTGGTGCTATTTCCGCTGCTATGTGACTAACAGTCACCACCAGCAGACCCACAAAAAGAAGCACCCGGTAAATGCTAAAATTGACTGGGATTCCTGGTGCTATTTTTGGCCTGTGTGTTACAAGGCCACGGTGTTATTTGACTGTTAGTGTGGACCGGCCGAACCCAAACTGCAAGTATGGTCTGGAGGCAGCGGCCTGTATGCAATGCTTGGAGGAAGAGTGGGCACGACGTCTCTCGACGCCACGATGCGGAACGTCTCCCAGGAAGTTGCTTCTAAAGCACGAGGTGTGCTACAGAACTCTGCAGAAAGCACTTCCGAGGCCTGTGGCACGAGGGAGTTGTAAACGCTCCGAAACGATGCATTGCCTTCAGCCGTCGAGGTGGCAAGATGCCTTGTTTTCTTAATTTTCTTAGCTGTCGGAAGATGTCCTAGGGGCGTTGCCTGCCCGTGGGCTACCAAACGTGTAGACCACCACCGGATCTTTGAAAGGCAAGCGCCTGCCAGGCTTCAAGGCTTGCTGCATGTGCTGAATCAGGACAGCTTGAGTTTCGTGACTTCTCCCTCGAACCTGTCGAACAAAACGAACAAGGGCGTGCAGAAGGGGAGGGGGCCATGAGCTGGCTCTGCCTTGCACTGTCGTGCTCTGGAGCTGCGCTGAGATCCAGCCTCGGATCATCAACAGTGGCACTTCCCCGGGGAAAAGAGTTGAAGCACTGTAAAATACTGGAAAGGAAGCCCAGGATAGCACGCAAATAGGTTGGCAATGGCACCTCCCAGGGAATGACCTGTCGCCTCGGTGGATTGGGGCGTCCCTTCTGTTGCACTGTTGCAATGTTCCGGGATGTTCGGCGGTTCAGCATCTGAGCGGCATAAACACGAACCGGCACATCCTTTTCGTGCCAGTATTGAAGACGCTCCTGCTGTCGACAACATGTGCAAAAATCAGCACCGTAAGCACTTCTCTAGCTTGGGTGGCTCCTCAAGCTGCACGAGGACATCAGCCCTTACGGCAGCATAGGCCTGCTTCTTCAAAGGCGCCGTCTGAAACGCTGGGACCCGAAGCACGGCACAGAACAGCGAAGCGTCACCCTCGCAGTGCCACCGCAGATGTCAGGCCTCCGCAAAGCCCTTGTGGACGCGAACCCTCTCCAGGGCCTGCCAAGGCTGGTACATGGCCATGCCTCTGCAATCTGGTGCGGCGCCTCCAAGCTCAACTCCTCGTCGTCGTCTTCAAAGTCCGAGGGAAGGAACGGAAAGAAGAGACGCGAGCAGCATCTGGCAGTTCCAAGGCGTGATGGAAGAAATCTACTCACGTGATTTGTAGGGCAAGGCACCTGGCAAGCACGCGACAGCAGCCGGATAGCCACGAGTCCGAGTCCGAGTCTTCGTCTGCGGAATCACTCAGCTGACTGTCTTGGCGATCGCGCAATGGTGCCTGAGGGTCTCTGCTAAGCTCATGCTGCGGGCACTGCTCTGAAGGAGTCTAGACGACTGTCTGCTTGCGAACGAAGGCACGCGGGCTTGAGCTCGGTGACTTGGTGAAAACGGATTGGTCGAGGTTGAGCTCGGTCTCACCTCGTCCAAAACAGAGAGCTTTGCCTTCACCTGTGCGTGGCAAGTCTGGACATCTTTGGATGTTTCGATTGGGCCGAGTGTAACACAACGAACCTCAGAACTTAAAACCTTCATTTCGTGAAGAAGCCTTGTCCTTCAGGTCGAAGCAGACTGGCTGCCTGCTGAGTTGCCGGGATCTTGGAAAGTAAATGGCTACTGGTACGGTCATTGTGTGACTGTGCGATCTTAGAGCTGCGAAGTGGCTGGCCGTGCGCGGAGCCGAAAGGCCCGGTCTTGGACTCCTCAGCCAGCGGGGTCAGCGAGATGCGCAAGTCCGTGGCCACGTTGGTCACCTGGCACGTTAACTGCAACTCGAGGACACCATGGGGATGCAGTTGGGCAGAACATGGCAGATCTCCGGCTGCCGCGCTTCGAAGCATGCCGGCGTGGCGCTGTTCGTACCGCGGAAAGCCACGACTAGGGAGACTTCATCTTCTCTCCTGGGAGCTGCGCCTGGGCTTCACGCATGTTCGAGCCGTGCCAGAACGGCAGGAAGTTCGAGGGCCATGCTGATGGAAGCTTCGGCAGTGTGGGCAGGAGCCTCCTCATCCGGTTGACCCTGGTCCTGGCGAGCAGGGGACTCTAACAGGACCATCCATAACATCTCATAACTTAACTCTTGCAGGTCGTTCCGACACATAAAGCCCTCCACCAAATAGATCGCACTGGAGACTTGCCCCTGCATGCACACGCCATGTAAACACCTTTGCGCGTATGCACGAAGGCAGAAACCACAAATAATAGCGCAAACAACGGGGGTTAGTACTGCATAAAACCAGCAGTAAAAAAGCAAAGATCAGTTATTGCACCTATAGAGGCACTCGTCGATCCGTGATTCCCCTCCACGACCCTTCCCCAAGCCTTTTTCAGGTCTCCTGCATTCCTGGGGCAGGGATGCGGGGGAACTATGGTTTCGGCTGTTCGGATTTAAAAACGAAAGCCTCATTTCCCCGCATCCCGTGCCGCTTCCGGCTTTCCAACTCAGGCCCCCGTTGGGTTTTCAGGATTGCTGGAGGAGGAAACGAGGGAATCACGATTTGGGGCCGGCACGCACTGAGCGCGCTTTTCTTCCTCCGTTACTCCCACCGACTCCCACCTTTCCACAATTCCAACTTCCGCTATCACTGCATGGACTTAACAAAAGCAAACGCACGCGGCGCAAAGAGATGTTGCGGACTGGTGCCTCTGCTGCCTCCTCGGCAAGACACCCATGATGCTCGGTGATCCTGAGTGTGTCGTGTCGTGGCCCACACATCAGCCTTTAAAGCTCTCACAAGCTGTGTCCAGCCCCGCTGTTCGTGTTCGAGTAGCAGCCACTGCACATCCAGCTGGTCACACCCGCCGGACTTCACGAAGCCCCGCTGTAGCTCGCTGCTGCTCGGCTCGGCTCGCCTGAAGGAGCGATTTCCCAGCTGCGTTCCAGTAGGCTCAGTACTGCCACATAAGCATAAGATGAGCATAAGTCAGCGCGGTGCCGACGAAAGAAACTCATGCACTGCTGCGCGGAGTTTCCTTGGACTTTATGCCTGGGTCTCACTCTGCCCTATGACCAGCTTGCACTTGCTAGGGCTTTGGATTTAGGGTTTAGGGTTCAGGGTTCAAGGTTAGGGTTTAGGGTACATGGGGGACAAGCAATAACACTGTCGTGCTTCAAGCGGCATGTTGGCATTGGCTGTGTGCTCCTGCATGCCCAGGGCAGGCATGACCGATGGAACACCAAGCCCCACAAAGCTTTCATAGCGAGTTGTACCAAAGTGTCGAGCCCCTTCAGCCAAATGGAAGGTAAACTCGGATGACCCGGATTCTGCAGTGGATCTGTGGACAGGCCAACGTCAACAGCATAACGGCTGTTGTCAGTCCTCGCCATGGACTTCGAACCACATCATCACCTTGCCAAACATGCTGCTATGTTTCTTACCTCTCTCCGAGGTCCCAAATCTGCCGTGGCACCTGGTCAGGAGAGCGCACCTGGTCCTCCGCATAGGCACGCCTCAGTCTGCAGAGTGTCCCACCACTCTCGGCGGCGAGCCACCCGAGCCCGGTGAGGCAGGGAGTGGCCACGGAGAGAAAGAGAGAGAGAGAGAGGGAACGTCAGGCAAAGAGAGAAAGAAGGAGAAAGAAGGAGAAAGAGAGAGAGAGAGGGGGAAAGACAGAAAAAGAGATAATACGAAAAGATTGAAAAAGAGAGAAAAAGATAGAAACAGATGCAAAGAGAAAAAGTGATAGCAAAACAGAAAAACCGAGAAATTGCTATAAAAATTGAAAAAAAGAGAGAGAGAGAGAGAGAGAGATGAAAAAAAAATGAAGAAAAATAAGAGAAAGTGGAAGTTTTCATCTATGTCTATTCTCCGTCGGCTGGATTACCTCGTGAGTCACAGAATGAAAGGGTAGGTTTAAACATAAATCTCCCTTCCCGGTGGGTTGGGCATGATGTCCCAGCTGTGTACCCCGACAGACACCCCACAAGTTTGGAGGGCACGTTCACAGAAGTATAGCCCCTTCTCTTTTATGAAGCCCCCTCGTGACACGGTGTGCAACACATGTCTACTTGCCTCACCACTACGCCAGACTGAAAGGGGATGAAATGCAACATGAGAGGGCGAAAGGGAGCGGGAGGTCCCTGTACAGTACCGGGGGTGAGCCGCATGGCGCGTATGCCTCTAAGGCTTGGGCAACTTCGGGTCCAAGACACCCGAGGGGGCCCAAGCAGCCTCCAGGGAATGCTCGGAAACATGGGCTCAAAGTTTTCGGCTTAGGGTTCATGGCTTTAGGCATTGATGCCAATGCCCCCCACCTCCCACGTGCCCTCGGAGAACCGCAGGCGTCCGTCACCGGAGCTCTGCACATATTCCGGATGATCCTCTGCGTCGCGCCCCTCCTGCGCAGAATCACTCGACGGCTGATCTCCCTGTAATGCGGGACCGGCTTCGTGGGGTTGTCTCATCTGCACGATGTGTAAAGTCCGTGGCATGCGCCATTGGTTGCATGCCTAACTTAACGTCGGTGGACTTCAAACCCATCAAAACACTTGAATGCCCTCGCCTGGCGGTATTCGCCATTCAGCAGGGCATGGCCACAACCACTCACAACTATGACGGCGGGCATGGGAGCGCCGAGGTAGGTCTCCTGAGATGCGCACCATTCTGGCATCATTCGGGGAGAAGTACAGGGCTTTTCCTCTGAGCCCACCACACAGGAGAAGTCGCAAAGTCGGAGAGCGAGAAGGATGTCGAATTTGCCACGGGTCTCGACTTCAACCTCATGTTCCTTCACCTTGTCGCACACTCCCGCACTCTCAAGTTTTGTGGGCCCATCCCTACTGCCTGCTGAAGCTTTGTGCCGGGCGGCCGAAGGTGCTGGGCGGAGGGCAATGGCCACGAGCAGCACAAGGCCACAGCGCACGACCAGAGCGAAGGAGGCCAGGAAGGCGTGTGGGTATCCTGGCCAGACAGGTCTAGACATCCTGCCGCTTTGCGAGCTCCACAGGGCACACAAACACACACTGACTCCGGCATCGCGCCGAACAGCGAAGGAGAATGGCAGAGATGACCGGAGGCTATGTTGGACAGTCTGCTCGCCTCTCACAAACCTCTTCCCACCCAGCATCATCCAGCCTATCGGGAGGTTCATGATGATCAAGAATGGCGGTCTCGTCAAGAGGTAGTAGAGGAGATATCGCAAGCGTGCTCGACCTGAGGGTGCGAAAAACTGCTCCCAAGGGCTTCCGCACCTTTGGGTTGTTTCTTAGCTGCCAGGGTTCAGCAGGATGGGGTGAGAGGCTTTGCAAAGTCGGTTGGATATTTGGAGATATGTTTATGAGGCTCAGCAATTGTATGGGCGGCTCAACGCTTTATGGTTGTAGGCTGTTCTTGATGCCCTCCTTCCCGAGAGTCAGTCGGGCCTGGCGTGCAGGGCAGGTTCTCCAAGCACCTCCAATCGTCTCGGCACATGGCGCAGCAGCCGCAGAAGCACTGAATATGCCGGGTGCACTTCCTCCGCGGGCGCAGAATCAGCAAAACCCTCCCAATGTTACCAGCCCTGTGCACCTCTGGGAGTTGTGTAACGGCTGCGATGTTGATAACTGCTGCCTACACTACTGTATACAGTACCCGATGCGCTTTGCCCAGAAAGCCAAAGCGAAGTTGAAACTCAAACCTCTGTATCGCTCCAGCCGTGCAAGCAGCAGCAGTTCTCCATACGAGCTGCCTTTGCATTCGCACACAGATAAGCCAACAAATAACTCAGAAGGCAGTCCTGCATGCTCGTGCCACGCAGTAGACAAAGAGAATGAGGCGCGAAGAATAGCCTGCACGAGCAAATTCGTAACAAGAGCTGATGCCAATTGCAGCATCTCCTGTAGCACTTAGCAACTGCCATCATAACCGGGCCTGCGACAACTACGGCGCTGTCAAACTTGCTTGGAGGCCTCTGCGTACACGTGCAAGGCCCCGAGAGCAGATCACTTCAGCAACTTAAGCACCCAGGTGAGCAGGGCGCTTGCATTGCCGTACTTGCAGCTGTTTAGGCCGTGACGTTTGCTCATCAGTTGGCCCCCACCATGTCAGCATCCAGAGAGCTGTCAGCAAGAAGTAGCTCCAGCCTAAAGCCGTGAAACAGCCATCGGATGTGGCGTCGAAACAGAGAGGTCCCTTTGTTTGCTGGGCTCCAAGCCACACGACGTCATGCTGAGCCTCCTACGCCGCCAGCGAGGTACACTAGCACCTTCTTCACATCGCAGGCCTGGCGAGATGTAAGGAGGTATCCCAAAGAGACCCTCTCATGCCGTTGGGTGCACCACGGATGTTCCCAATCGGGTGCACCCAACGGATGTTCCCAACACTCGAACAGGAAACCTTCCACGATCCTCTTCCCTGGAAGCCTGCTGCGGCCCAAAGCCATGCGATCTGCAGCAGGAACTCCAGGGTAGCCCCGGCACGGAAGGCCAGCGACCCGTGGACAAAGGTGAGAAAGCCGAGCCTCTACAGGACGACCCTTGAACGGAATTCCTAGTCCACCCCTGGACAGTTTACCCCTAAAAGAAGGGGACATGGCCCTGACCCGCATGATACCTGACACGCTTGCTTTTTTGCCTCTTCGAGCGGTCCGGAAGGGTGTGGAAGCTGCGCGCGTAGGTCAGCGCCACCCCGGCGCAGGCCAGGACGGCCAGCAGGGAGAACCAGCCCTTGAAGGCCATTTACCGATTTACCGATTACCGAATAAAGAAAGAATGCCTTTGTTTCGGTGGGGTTGGGGACTTGGGGTACGAAGTTGTGGAAGATCTGCAGGTTTCTGTGCACCCTCAGCTACACACCAAAAAAAACAGAGAGCCTCACGAAACGGAATCCCAGATTTTGCCGGAACGGGAGCGCCTTCATGGGCCCATGCCCCGCTTCTCCATCCAAACCCCTACAGCCGCCTCCGGCGGTCTGCGCGGCCCGCTGGCCCAGCAGCAGGAGCCTGGCAGAAAGAAACCGACATCGTCATGAATGCACAATGATTTTACAAAGTGTGCCCATACAGCTCAGCATGTTGAACCTTTTGCAAGAGCGAAAAGATTCTCAAGGAACAAGGCCAAGTGTTGGAGGAGCAACGCAAACAGAAGCGAGGAGACGAAGAAGATGATGTCGCCAAGGCTGGCTGGGGGTTTGCTGGAGGGCAGAAGCGCTTTCTTGGCCGTCTCTTGGCGACATCATCTTCTTCGTCTCCTCGCTTCTGCTTGCATTGCTCCTCCAGGACTTGGCGCTGTTTCTTGAGGATCTTCTCGTTCTCCGCGATGAGAGGTCTTCTGCTCTGTGATCTGCTGTGCTCAAGTTGATCTGTTGCACTTGTTGCTTCAATATTTTGTTTGTGTCCGACAAGGTCTTTTCCTGCCGAAGGGCAACCCGGAGATCTTGTTGGCCTCGCCTGAAGCCACACGCCCTTGCTTCAGATCGTCATAGACCCTTTTCTGTAGATCTTCCTCCTGGGAGGTCGCCATGGGTCGGACCCACAATCACCGATGAATGCCGAGGATGGCGAGTGTGCGGGTGACCCGCTCTTTTTCGAAAGTATCTCCACTCTCGGCATAGAGTTGGCATCTCGAGAGAAAGAAAGGGATCTACTCTGCATGCGGCAAGAGGGAAACCCTACACCCCACACCCTAAACCCCTAAACTGCAAACCCTAAACAGGCCCTAAACATCCCTAAACCCCAAAAAGCCCAAAAAGCCCAAACAAGACACAGAAGATGCGACTCAAGACTTCTTCAGGAGCCAGAGCTCCTTTCAGCTCTCAGCTCTCTCTCTCTCTCTCTCTCTCTCTCTCTCTCTCTCTCAGCTCTCAGCTCTCAACACGGGTCGCAGCGGCTCGGTCGCTCCAGCAGCAGAGCCACCTGAGATAGAGAAGCAGAGAAGGCTTTAAAAACACAACTCCGGTGCTTCCTTCCTATGCCTGAGAGCTAGAACTGGGGCCAAAAAATGGCTATTCCTGCAGCCGTCCCCCCTCTGCATCAAGAGACGGCAAGACCTTCAGACAGCAGTTTTGCATGGCGTTCCGGGCCCTTGCAAAGGGCTTAGGAGTTTCAAAAGGACCTCCAAGTTTAAGTAAATCTGAGACAAAGGCCCGCGAGGTGCCCAGTTCGCGCAGGCTCGAGCGTATCAAAGCCCCCGGTTTAAACGTCTCCAATGAACAATTTTATTATCATACTATCATATACTAACATATTCATTGCCAGCCTCGAACCACCTTCCGGTTTTTTCACACACATATATTCCACCCTCGAGCCTTGTAGCATTCAAGGTCATGATGTACCCCCCTAAGAGGGTTTTCCCTCAATCCCACTGAGGCAAGGCTCCGGAAGATAGAGGACAGCGCAGAGCGCCACCAAGTACTGCAGAATTCCAATGACCTGATGTCAAAGCTACAGGAGGTGCATGGAATGATTGCTGCAAAACCCACGAAACAACTGTTTCTTCCGAGGAAAATGAGGACTTAGAGCAATTTGGTCCCATCTATTCTGGCACTCTCTGAATCCCCTACAAACGCAGGACTTTTGCCATCTGAGGGGCTCCCTCAAGTGCCCGTAGCAAGGAAGGAGCCGTTTCCTGCGAAGATCAAAGCGTGAAACGGCCCCAGAAGACCCACAAAACTCTCAATCTGCGAGCCTCAACTGCTGCCTCAATCGCATAAACCGAGACAAAGAAGGTCAGAGACACCGCCAAAAGCGTCCACGGAACTGCGATCAGCATGGCCTTCGCACTAATGCTTTGTGGAACAGGTTCTGTCTCGGCAACAAGCATGGGAACTCCCGAAGGTGCCTGGGCATCCCACTTGGAAAATGCCTGGCCAAACAAGTCTGGGCTCAGCTTAGGACTCCCATGTGAGGTCTCTCGGAACAGCTGGCAGATCAACCGCTTTTGCGCGCCTCAAGCCAGGCTCCGCTGGGTGCATGCATGCGGGGCGCCCGGAAGAGTGTGGTCCAGGGCTTCCCATCCTGCGAAGGTCCGGGCTTATGGCAGGCGTGGATCTAAGCTCACAACCCTTCTCCCTGCCACGCGTTTCTGCCACGCAAGCAGCTGCGCCTTCGTCATAAGCCTGCATGAGACGTTTACATTCAACAAGCAACTACAAGCAGCCCGTTGAGAAAGGCATGGCGTATTGCTGCGCCCTCTGTCTGAGACAGGGACCAGGCTGCAAGGTGGCATCCAACACCATGCAGAACAACGCAGGATAATTCAGTCTAATCCTACAATCAGTTGGGACTTCCTGGCTTCGTGCTGGCAGCTACCAATGTCAGCGTGCAACGTCGATGCTCATGATCTACCATACAAGATCGCAGCGGGCGTGTGACGACAGCCAAAGTCACGTTCAACAGGGCTCAGCATTGACTAACACATCATCACCAACAAAGCGGGCATTCCAGCTACATGCAAGAGACTGCAAGAACTGAGAGCAGATACTTCCCGGCCACGAATCACTTGTCTGACGTCTTGTCAGCTGCGTACATTACCTGGGTCGACTGTCTGCATTGGCACTTAGGATGTCAAGAGCTGCCCTGCCTGATTGGTGGTAGCTGTGCGCCTGCAAGGTGGAAGGGGCTCGGGACGCGTGAAGACTCGAACCGTCGCAGCCGCAATCGTCAGTGGTGAGCAATCTTGTATTGGGAGGCAAGATTTCTCTAGGGTTGCTGATTGTTTCTTCTTGTTGCTACTCCTGGGTTTAGGGCTTTTTTTCGGGGTCCGGGTTTGGCTTTTGGGCTGATGCTTCAGATTAGGGTTGGGGATTCAGGAACTTCGGGCTTAGGGCGGTATAGGTTTTGGAGCTCACATAAGGTTCTTGTTAACCAGAAGGGAAATGGCACCCCTCTCATTGCAGCCAAATCCCTAGCACATGCAAAATATCACGCCAAGGCTTTTTCTCATCTCTGCAAGACAAACAATAGTTGCGCTGGGGGTATATGATTCAAACTTAAATTAAACGAGCGCAAACCCACAAGCAGACCAAAGTCGAGGTAAGCTTGCGAGGACGCGGCAGAGCCACGCCAGCTCCCGGCTCCGCATTGCTCAGCCAAATCTCAGACCAGGCGACTTCCTGACATCGAAAGAGCAGCCATCCTGCAACTCTGACCCTGCTTCTTATTCCCCTATCCTATGTATCCCGTGTATACACCTCATAAAAATAGTGCCAATAAACCTCAGTAGCCCCTTAGTAACCTCTAAAGAACCCCTTGAGGGCTTGCTTTGGAGGGCCTGGAGGGAGCTGCGTATTCGGGGACACCGTCGTCGGCCAGGTCGGTTGTGGGTAGCTGGCTCTGTCCGGCGCTGGCTGCTGCAGCGCCACCGAACTCTGCGGTGATGAGATCAGCCTGGCGCCTGGCAGTGCCCCAGAGGTGCAAAGAAGGAATGAAGCAAGAGAGGAAACAACTGAGAGAAAACTTAGCAGCTCAGAGCCAAGACCCTAAACCCTAAACCCTAAACCCTAAACCCTTGCGATCCCCTGTGGCCCGGACCCGGCTGCGTTCCGGAGACTCCCGGGGATCCCGGTGGGCCCGGAGCAGACCTCGGAGGACCACTTCAGAGAAGCTCGGAAGGTACGTGAGAGTTTAAGGGTTCTTTTGGGTTTAGGGTTCAGGGTTTGGGGTTTAGGGTTCAGGGTTTAGGGTCGTTTAGGGTTCAGGGTTTAGGGTGTAGGGCTTGGGGCTTAGGATTGGGATTGGTGTACTAAATCCATCAGCATTCTTACCATTACAACTAACACAAAAGAATACTCCACAGCTCCAGCAGCCTGAAGCCGCTTCTAGCACATGGAATCAGGTGAGCGCCTGAGCTCTCCTTCAAGGCTCCCGCCGTGTAAATGCTGGCGGAGCAAAGGGTGCTGGCCTGCAAGAGCATGATGGGATCCCTTCAGGGGGCTGGAGGTCCCAAAACTCCGAGGTCTGGGCGTGTAGGGCTGCGGCACTGTGACCTCTGCGCAGTTATATCAGCGATGTGTCGAGCACTTCACGAAGGCTCGGTTGCAGGGGCACACCAAGGTCTGCCATCTAGCGACTGCCATAAAGACAATCCGATTCTGTCAGCACTTGCTTCTAATTGCTTCCAGGGTCTGAGTGTTCTCACCAGGCGGCCACCTATTTCAGTGCATCGTCCCCTTCCCATCAGCTTTTCCACCTACTTCCGCCGGCACCTCTGCATCCTCTACGACGCTACGACTGCAGTACTCTGAAACACGAGGAAGACTACATTGCAGGGCTGTGCTGATGCATGCATCACACTCTACTTCCCGTTGAAGATCACGAACTCGCGGTGGTTCAAATAGTCGGCCTGGCGGTTGCTCCCAGCTTGCAGCTCCAAGCACAACTCTTGAGAACATACCCAGCTTGCCTCGTACAGGGTATGTCCAAAGGCACCCCACTTGACCTCCTCCAGCCATTCATCCTGCCCAAGCAGTTCCGACTTCATCTTGGGACTCGGCAATCGGATTTCCAGCCCAATAACCCCTAAACCCTGAAAACTACCTGGTTAGCACGCTGTATTTTCCCTGGATACGGGTTCTGCACGACACGTCGCCCGTACTGGCAGGCGTGGTACGGAGCAGAAAAGCTGATTTTAGGGGGTTCCAAAAACTATTCTTGTTGGGACAGCATGTTTGGGAGTTGTTAGTGAAGCTATTCCTTTTGGGACAGCATGTTTGGGAGTTTTTAGTGCAAGGTAAACGCTTGTGACAGATGTTCTTCTTCCACATCCTTGCGCAGTATGTTGTACAAAGAGGCGAGTGTTTTGGGCATGGACGCAATATGAATGACGTTCATATCTCCCCCCCCCCCCCCAGCAAACCGAAGGAAAATCCGAAAGAAACGAAGGAAAACATCTAAGAACAAGGAAACGACCAGGGGCTGCAGCTGCCGGGCGCCTGAAGCTCCCCACAAACCAGGGCCTCGGAGCCATCGATCTTCAGCTCAGCCAGGGTGAGGTCCTGAAGCTTTTTAAGATTTCGGGTAGACTGCTTGGAATTCCGTAGGGGAAAAGGCGTTTAGGGTGAAAGCACAGAGAGAGCAGAAAGACAAGGAAGGTACGAGAGAACAGAAGGGAGCTTGGCGACTTGGTGACTCAGGGCTTCCTTCTTTGGTATCATCTGGGTGCTGCTACGGAGTGTTTTGGGTTCCCTCTGCCCTGGCCTCGGTGACCTGCCTCTGCTCGCCATCGAACACCACGAGCTTGCCTCTCCCGAACATCGGAGGAAGGGACGAAAGCGAAACGGCAGAAGGGGTCAAGAGGGAGTGCTGCTTCTCGAGGCTGTCATGGAGGCGCCTTGCTCGTAAGGCGGCATGCGGAACTCTTTGCACTGGTACAGGATGACCTGCCTCAGGTGCGGCGGGGAGCTCACGGGGCCTGCAGAGAAGCGGGGAACCTTTTAATTTTGCATCCAGGAGGCTTTGCCACGTCGATGCCATGGTTGGCACTGAGCTGCTTCATGAGGTCACCAAAGGTCGCATCCCCTTTCAGTTCTAATGATGCCGTCGTCTTCTTGACAACCACCTGACTCCAAGAAAACAGCAATCCGTGTAGCTGCACATGTGACAGTGTGCAAGACGCCTCCACACTGACCATGGCTCGGAAACGCTCGCTTCACAGGCTGCAGGCGTTGGCTAAATTGTTGAGATTTAATGAAAGTCGACGAGTATGCGATACAATGCCAGGTTCGTCAGCTTGTCGCAGCATCTCCAAGATCTCCCTTGCTTCTTGAGTACCCTTTGTATTCCTCTGTCCAGCCAAGCGTTGCGGCTTTGAGAATCGACAGCAATCTACAGGGCTATGCCCAGTTGCATGAGACCCTCACGCAAAAACTCACGAGGGCCGAACCTGTCCACCTGCAGTTTCTGCACAGGAACAGCTCTAGACACATGAGTCCCAGCAAGTTCATGTCTCCACCTATCAAAAACTATGTACTTTATACTATGTGCTATATACTATACATTATAGACTACATGTTACATACAATGTCTGTGTTAGACATTGAAATAGAGAGAGAGAGTATGCATTATATAGGATCTATGATCATCTATATTACATATTATGCGTTGTGTATTATCTATGAGCGGTTTGTCCACCTGCACCAGGCAGCGAAGTGGTCGACTGGTCCAGAACCGTCGCCACGGCGGTGCCCGGTATGCCGGCGGAGGTTCGGCCGGGTGTCAGCAGCTGTGGACTAGGCCTGTGCAAATAGTGTATACACACGTAACACAATATACTAGTCATAATTCAAAGAACAATAGTACCAACGAAGATATATATATATGTATATATATATACATACATATATATATATATATATATATATATATATATTTATGTCACTCACTCAGCGACAAATCCGAAGATAAGGAGCGCGGCACGGTGAACCTAACTCGAACATCGAAGCTACAGGGGGGTTGTACTGGTATCTGTACAAGAGGCATGTGATCAGAGACTCGTGGCAAACCAGTGGACTACTTTGCATTTACTTTGTAAGCCCGTAGGCTGATGTGGACGCATTGTCCAATCCTCATGCGGCGATTTCTTCATAGCGTGTGTGTTTGGCGATTGTGTGGCTGTTTGATTTTTCACGTCTTTTCGAGGGGCTTAAAGCAGTCATACGATATAACAGTATCTTATACTGTACTCGATTGTGTGATGTATGCATATAGATTTATATTTATATGTATATTTATACTTATTTACATTTATATTTATATTTATATTATGTTATATTTTTTATTCATATTTATATTTAAAAGAATACAATATACTGTAATATGATATGAAACCATATAAGATATGATGTAAAATGAAACATGATATAATACAATGTCATATCATACAAGACAATAATTCTAGCGTAATCAATAGAATCTATAACAAACCGAACCCATCTGTTCATGGACGCGGGACACTGTGAGCTGGGGTCTGCAAGTTGTCAAGAGGCGCTGCTCTCCGCGTGCACCCCCCGTCCTCAGCATTTTGGTAGGGCTGACCTGCTGCTTTAGCCGCCGCACCTGCTCAGTGCTACGCATTCGGGAAGAAGGTGAGTAACAGGACCCTTGCCAGAAGCCACCATGTCCGAACGACACGAGAACCGAGGAGCAACCGACGAGCTCTTGTCAAACCCTGAATCTGTAGGCACGCGCCTGAAAGGGAACAAGATACAAAGCTTCGAATGCCAATCCCCGGAGCAAGCCAAGGCTGAACACTCAAACACAACGAGCAGCGGGACATCTTTCCAGGGGTGGCCAACAAAAATCCGCATGCATGGACCAAAGTACCTACAAAAAGCAGGGTCACACTACAACTCCCCGAACGCCAGACATTGCAAGGCCCATGTCATCAAGCGTCAAGTCCGAGTTTGCAAAAACTTGAAAACTCGTCACAAAGAGAGAAAGAGAGAGAGAGAGAGAGAGAGATAGAGCGAGAGAGAGAGAGAGAGAGAGTAAACCTCATCTCAGACATGTAAATACACCCTTGTAAGGGCACGGCACTTGCTGACCCGTTCGCGCATGCTTATCAGCTGCTTATCAGAACTGTCCCAAGCCAACCGATTGAGAGGGCATAGATGTTAACACTCAAGCAATCATACTCGAGACCTCCATTGCCCAAGCCAGGTCCCAAGGCCAAGCAATCCAAGCCGAGCCCAACCACCCTACAGCCCCTGGGGGCTGCTCTCGCAGCAGAAAGGAAAGGGCTTGAGCTGCCTCTTCCTGAAGATCCTGATTCTCCTGCTGGAGGGCTTTCTGCTGGCCCAGGCTTTTGTCGAGCAGCTGTTGCAGTCGCTGCTTCTCCGCCTCACAAAGCACAACAAACATCTTGGACAACAAAAAAACTAGAAAAAAAATGAATGAGGGTGAACCAAAAACTACAAAACAAAGAGTGTTCAACGCGAGGCCATATCACACTCAAAATGGAATCTTGCCGGAAGGAAGTTTATTGCTACGTGGCAGCCGAAGCTGCAGGGACTAACGCCTGATGCCGCTCCTCTCAAGCCGCACCTCACTGTCCACGATCCTGGATTGGACCTCACACACTTTCGAAAGTTCTGGCCTTTGGTTTGAGCATCAAATGCACTGTAATCTTAACCTTATATATGCCTTCAAGGGGACCCGACATGGAGCCCCAAAGGACGCCGCAAGGGATTTCTGGGACCCACTAATGACACCCGGAAAAACAAAACTTGGGAGTTTTCTTGGGCAACCTCAGGAGACCTTCCAAGGTCCTCCTTGAATCTTCAAAGAAGCAGGGACTGGCCCAAAGGAGCCACTTTCGGAGGCAAACAAGCCGCTTTGGGAGTGTTACACTGAAGGTCGCGGGAACCGGCGGGACCACCACCCGGGGATCTGGGAAGATTTCAGGCGCCCTGAACACTTGGCAGAGGGTTTGAGCCGCTCCTGCCGAACTGATGACTGGAGGCGAAGGGCTTCGGATTGGGCTTTGGGTTTGGAATTCGACGAAGGGATCACTGTTTTGCAAAGGCTTGAGTGACGTGAAGGTTCCTGCAGGGGCAGGGGCTTCCTCTTGGGTCGGCGGCCTAAGCCGGAGGCCGTGGAATCCCCGTACAAGGGACGAGACCTGCACCATCTCCTCGTCTCGCTGCTGCTCAAGCTCCTGCGCCTGCTGGCTGGCAGCCTGGCAACTGCAGCTCTGTGCAACCAAGACCCCTCTGCTGAAGAGCACGCCCTATCTCGCTAAGCTTACTCCGCAGCATCCGTCAAGATCGGTATCATTTTTTGCTTTTTGATTTCCGCAAGTGCAAGCATCGGGCAATCTCACGGTGCTGTAGATTCTGTGGAGCCATATGCCCGATGGTCTGAGTCCTTATGGTCCTTATGGTGCGAAGCCAGGTAAGGCCTCGGCTGGCGCGGGCCCGACAAAAACTTCACAATGCAGAGCACATAAAAAGAGAGTTGTAAGAGCGCGGCTGCAGAATGATTCTGGTGTAGTTGGACCTTGCCGCTGCATCAGGGAAAGGTTTGTCAAACTCCCGCCAAGGAGCTCATCAACTTTATCCACTTGCAGACAGGTTGCGACAGAAAGACTATCAGCAATGTCTGTCCCAGCACTAAGAGGCATGTGCCCGTGGCCAGGAGTGTGAAGCCGGTTGAGAGATTTGACCTGCAGGGCGCTCAGGTTGCACAACAGCTGCGTGTCGGGTGCCCAGGCAACATCAAGCAACACCTTCACACTCCCGCAGCCTGCAAATAGAGTCAAACACGTCCAGGGAGATGTGGGTGTGCGTCAGCAGTGACACGGCATCTGCGACAGAAATCATGACCGACCTCAGCCCACATGCCGCATCGACCTGCAATACCAGCGACGATGCGCTGGCTATGCCGAAGAGAAGCACTGTGTCCTGGATCCGGCGGAGTTTTGGGAGGTTTTGGAGATTGAACACAAGATACCGCTCTAAAGAAAGCTCTCGACCGAGCAAAGTGTGCCGGCGCTCTGCCACTGGCCGCAGCACGTCACACGAAAAAAACAAGCCTTGCCCATACCAGCTGTTGCATCGACAAATGCTACCATGCCGCCAGGTCACAACCATCAACATCGCAAGGCTCCCAGCCAGTATGAGGCTCAGCGCGCAGCGCCCCAGCAAGAATTGAAAGCAGGCTGTGCAGCAGTAGTCGGCGCGACTGAAGACCATCTCGCGTGTCTTGCCACTTGCTAGGAAGGCAGCCATCACGGACAGCAAGTTGAAGATCTTGGCACAGGGCACACAGCACGGAGTACAGCGTACAATAGCGTACAGAACCCAGGGTACAGAGTGCAGTGTGTACCGGGTCCACCCTTGTCAAATACCTAAGCGCCGCAACTGCAAGTCTCAGAGCACTGGATGTCCCTGAGGTGTCACTATGTGTCACTGGGCTGCAGACCAAGGCCACGAAAAAGCCGAAGCCCAAGTCGTGCAGCAGAGCTGTGAGAGTGTTGAGTCCCATCTGGTCCAGGGCCACGATGGACTGCGTTCTCCCGGAGACGGCTAGGCTGTAGCCGGTCAAGAAAAGCAGGAAGGAGAAGATGCTCGGGATGGGAATACTTCGGGTCGCATCATAGAGACACTTGCAGCAGCCACCCAGGCAGTCGCAGATGCAGTCACACATGGGGGCGCTCTAAGCCCCGTCCTTCTGGAGAGCGTTCGGTACCGGATGCAAATGAACTAGTTACGGTCAGCCAAAGCTGGCCTTGAGCCAACAGCTTCAACAAAAGAATCCTCCGCGAACCAATTCTATAGCGCTCTCTTCACTTTGCGCACTTCGCTGCCTTCGGGAGAGCAACTTCCTCCAACCCGGCCTGCAGCTTGTTGGCCATGGCAGCGTGATCACCTCAGAGCAGAGGTGGAGAAGGGCGCCCCCCGAAGGCAGGGGGCAATTTGGATCCGGATGGAAAACTGCAATTGATGAGCTGCCCTCGCGAGATGAAGGCCCTGGCCTGCTGACTTCTGGAGCCGATCCAATTCGGAAGCGAGTCTCTTGCCTTCTGCCTGGCACGGTACATCATCCCATCCCCCTCATGTTAAACCCGCAGTAGCCCGCAATGCACTATGAGTACATGCCGGTACATACACTGCAGAGTGTTAGAGACTCCAAAAACAAGTGGAGAGCATCACGCAGCACCAGCGGCCACACACTTTCCTCTGCAAAAAGCTCCACCACTTCTTGGGCAGAAACGGGATGGCGGGTCAAGGAGCTACCCAAGCCCTCCAGCAAAGCCAGGCCAACGTTTGCAAACCGCGCCAAACAGGCTGCCATTCGCATGTCCCCTGGTCCACAGCGAAGCTTCTCGATGCATTCGCGCCACTGTGCCCCGCGCAAGGTGCGAACCAGACCTGCCGAAAAGATCATGCCCAGCCCGCCCACCGGCCAAACCGCCATCGGGAACTCTGCCTCGCCACGGGGTGCTGGTGCAGTGACGGGTTCTTGGAGCAGTGACCCTCTTACCTCCTTTGGACTTGGGTTCTCAGCATGCCCAATGCCTGCACGAAGCAAAGCCTCCCTTGCCTCGGGCAAGAAGCCACCGATGACTCGGTAGCGATACGGCATGGAATCATCTCTCACAACCGTGCACCAGGATCCCACGCCATGCACGCTGGCAACGCTGCAGCTGTGACCAGGCCGTGCCAAGCACCACTTCGAAGCGAGAGGCCAGCGCACGATCCCTTGCTGCATCTTCAGTGGAACCCAGCAGCGATCCGAGTCTTGGGAGTCCTGTGACGTGCAGCTGGCAAACGGGATTCGTGAAGGCTGACCGAAGAAGTGCTTGGCATCCGAGTCAAAACTAGACAAAGCTTCTTTGAGCCGCGTCAAAAACACAAAAGTGTCGTCGTCCACAAGCATGTACCACTGGGCCTGCACTGCCTGCGACAGATAAAGCAGCGCAGGTATGAATCTGGCTTCACCATTGTTGTTGTGCAGCGGATCGTCGGCATGTTGCGAATCATCCGGTACGTACACCGTGCCCAAACGGGGATCGGAGACGTTGCTGAAGAACATGACTTCGGCTGATATGTTGGAAAGCCATGAAAGCCACGTTCTTCGTGCTAGCTCCAGCCTGTCGTGATTCAAAGCGTGCGAAATGACCCCAAGCGCCAGGGTCGCGTCAGTTGCATCAGTTGCGCCGGTTGCATCTTGCGAACGCACCAGGCAGGCCGGCAAGGCCAGCAGAAGCGCCAACATCATGCACGGTTCGAGCCCAGGTTGCTGAGCCTCAGCCCAGTGCGACATCAAGCCTAGGTACTGTATAGATTGTGGTGAGAACTTGTTGGTAGTTTGGTGTGGCCATGGGGTTGCTGGAGAGTTTGGGCGGGAGCCTCTGGGCTTTTGCAACCCCAGAGCCCCAGCAAAACAGCCGAAGCCTCACAAGCCTCCGTGTACTCCGGACTCCGTAGGCAGAGCAGGCCCGCCTGCAGGGAGGCCGTGTGGGAAGCTTTCTCCTGCAGCGCGCGGTCCTTCTCCTGGTTAAGTAAGCGAACAATGCGAATCATGAGAGTTCTGTCGGAGTACAGGGGTCTGCATCTTGGGGGTCTCGCCTGTAAGGAGCCCTCGAGCTGCGCGGCGCGATCTGCCTACAGTCGCTACACGGCTGTGAGGTTCCCAAAGCAGAGAGCACAGCACTGCAAGCTGAGCTCAAAGCATGAAGCTTTGCTCCTGAGAAGAGTTCCCGAAAGGCTGCTGCAACTGTGCAGGAAAGCGAGGCAACGCAATGCACCACTTGATGTCCGCGATTCCTTCGAGTAAAAATGCGCCCTCCAACGCGCTATGGTACACTGTGCTACCGTTCGAGCTGCCTCGGCTGCCCTATGTGCCTGTGCTGGAAGTCCTGCGAAGCATGCGGGCGTCTTTCTCGATAGAGGGCTCCGATGGATCTCCGACGCATTCAAGCTCTGCTCCACTGCGTCCAGGCTACCCCAGCTTCTACTCGGGGGCCCTCGAGAGCGGGCGCCCTGCGCTCAGCGACCATCGGACGATCGGTTCCTCACGTGCTCGCCTTTGCCATTGAGGCGAGAGATCACCTCGGTGCAGAATGTTCCGACAAGCAGGCCTCCTAGAAGCACGAAGCCCGCGATGGCAGCAGTGGATCTCAACGTCTCTGGAGATGTCTTTGTCAAGCGATCAGCCAATGACCGGAATCCTCGTGTGCCGCCGCTGCCCGGAAGCTCAAGTTGACGAAGCAAGATCCAAGGCTTCCTGCGCTCTGGAGCCATGGAGGCCATGTGCAGCAGAGTTGGCATCTTCGGACCGAAGGTCATTTATACGGAGGCTGCTGATGTTTTCCAACAGCCTGCCATGCGCACACGGCAGGCGCAGAGAGCCAAGCCATAAACAGCCAGCGGCTTCAGCCAAATACGGGCAACAAGAACAACTCAATCGGGTCCTTCTTGCACCCGAAAAAAAACAATACAGTAGTAGCAAGGATTCTGGGGGCACTCCCCTTCCAGAAACTTCACGCTGCATTTCGAGCACCCTGTCTCCTGCGTGCGCCTTCTCACAAGCTGCCTGCAGATCGGAGTTCTGCTTCTGTGCCTGCCAGCACTCACAATCACTCGATGCGCCCGACACAATGCCTAACACAGCCCAAAGCGAACACTCTTTATGGGGCTCTTAAGGACGAAAGAACCTTAGAGAACCTTGGGGAACCTTAGGGAGTACTGCGTTACACACCACCCCTCAAGAACCCTAGAAACTCTGTGAAGGTTAGTCATTGAAACCCTAAACCCTAAACCCTGAAAGCAGGCTGAGGGTGACCTCCCGGATCTCCTGCTCCTTCGAGGCAAGGGTCGCTTGCAGCTCTGCGAGCCGTTTCTCCTGCGCCCGAAACCCCCAAACCCTAAACCCTAAACCCCAAAAAAGAACTCAAACATCCAAAACATCCGAAAGCCCTGTTCAGGCAAGTCGGAGAACTAGCTTCCAGCTGCTGTGCCTCCGTTCCATTCTGGCTCCTGGGTAGGCGAGACACATAGAAAAGCTACGTTCAGAAAGCAAAAATCTGAGGCGGCCGACCCCTTTGAGGCGTGGTCAGCTTTTTCCGCATCTTCTTGGAAGCTCACCTCCTGCCAAGGGCGCTAGGGCACTGTGGCCATGCGAAACTCGTTGAAATCTCTGCTGCAGCTCCTTCTTCCCACCCATCAGGGGTTGCTTCCTGAGTGGGTAAGGAATGCTGTCATGGTCTGAGGCGACTTACTTATAGGAGTAGCGGGCGTCATCCTTGCACTTGCTTGGGTTCGTAGGTCATTGGAGTTGCCAAACACGTTCCGGCATCTTAAGCCACGAATAGGACCCCTGCTCAGCATGCACGCTCAGTCTCAAGTCATCCCTGCTCATCTGGGGACCCCGACAAGTCGGTACTGTGCGAGGGAGCCTCCTCCACAGGAAATGGAATCGGCTCACGCAAGAATTTGTTCGAGATCTCAGGGGAGCACCCTGTTTCAGGGTTTGACATTCCTCCAATGGGACTGTAGCTGGCATTTTGGACCTACTGTGGTTTTTCGCTGCAGTTGGCTGAAGATGCCTGGACGCCCGAAAGTCTACATCAGCTGGCTTCTTTCTTATGATTTTCAAGCCGAGTTCATCTGTGGCAGGAACGCCGTGCCGATGACGCAAGGGAACGCAGAATTGAAAACCAAATCAATCTTGATTACATGCTTTGTGCCCTCAATCACCCGCCCCAGCATCTTGGCTGATTACTGAAACAAAGCGAGCACAAGGATGTGTGGGCACGGACCAAATCAAGCAACATCAGGCACAAGAGAACCGCGGCTAACTCCTGCAGTGAGACGGCTTTGGGATTAGCTGTTTAGGGCACATGAGGAAAGAGGGATCATGTCTCTCCGCAGCATGGGGCGCACCGCATCGTGCCCCTCTTGTTCATGGTGGTGGTGATGGGTTTCCTGCCGAGCACAAAACTTGGAAGACGGGCAGCAAAGGTCATCGTGAGGGCAGGCAAGGAGGACTCAAGTGTGGGAATACGAAAGCACAAAGCGAAAGATGCCCCGTCTCGGCATCCCTCTGCCTTTGCTGCTTGTGGGCCACAAGCACTAATAATGCCAGACATAAAGTCCTAAGCACACAGCTCCCCCAGCAAGCCGCCCAAAAAGATCCCAAAAACAAACACCCCAGCAGCCCCAACAAAAAAAGACGGTGCCCCAAGAACGCCTAAAGAAGCCCCTTAGACCACACGCCCCCAAAGGTGACAGCAACCACCCTGCTCGCTTCCAGTCGCTCCTTCTTGTGCTTCAGCACTGTCGGAAGGATGTACCACTTCCAAGCCGGGATCACCTAAGGACATTGCAGGGCTTGGTGAATCAAGCCCTCGTTCTTCAAGTTCCCCTTTGATCCCCTTTGGGTTCCTCCTTGGGTTTCCCCTGTTGATCCCCTTTTGGGCTCCTCCTCGAATTCCCCTTTGTGTACTTCCTCTTGGGATGTTCTCCTTTGTACTAGCAGTCCTTAATAGGGATTACAATAAGGGGGTACTTCTCATTCCTATTATAAGGACTCTGCGTCAACCGGGAACGAACCTCCCAAACTTGCTCCCTGAGGTCCCTGGCCATGCTCGCCAGGATCAGCGCCAGCAGCAGCGTGATCACGGGGGGCGGCAGGCCGAAGGCCCTCTGCTCCGCCAGGCCCCCCACGGCCGCGTCGAAGCTGCGCTCCCAGGAGAAGCCGATCAAGATGCCCAGGGAGGCGATCAAGGCGCGCCTTCTCCCATGTAGAAAAGGAGAAGAACTCTCTTTCTTTTAAGGAGTAGTAATGATAGTGATCGTAAGGGAATCATTCAAAAAATAGCAATAGTAATAATACTAATATTGGTAATAAAGTAAACCTGATGATAATGCAAATAAAAATAATCAGCATCATCATAATACCCCTTTGTGGGAGAAACTGGGGCTCAGGAGAAGTTCTGAGGCTGTGACAAGGCGTTGTCAACCTGCAGATATATTCAACGGCCAGCCAAAAGCCACGCTCCCCAGCCCATTTTTCAACAGTTTGCAGTGCACAGGGCTCCTCGTCATCGGTGAAGTCCATGTCCGCAAGGATATCCAGCACCTGTTCAATCATTTCACAGCGTAGGCTCGTGGAGTCAAGTGTCTCAGAGGCTGCTTCTGAACTCCTGGGGTCCCAACGAATATCAGTCCCAGAGCCAAGCATGTGACAGCCTGGTGCGGTTGCGCATGCTTTGGGGATCCAGCAGGGATTGCTTTGTTGCACGCCATCCCCGAGGAAACTGGGGATGTTGCGAGAGCACAAACCACAGCGGACATAGCTCCTTCCTGCGAATGGAGATGAAGCACTGTCACTGCATCCGTCAGAAGCCGCATTTCTTGCCTGGTTGTTCAACACTTCACGCTCCAGACTGCACCTCACCCTCAAAACCCCGTGTCCACCACGAGGTTCGATGTCAAGTACCAGTCCACGCTGAAGTGTATGCACCATGCCTGGCACGAAGCATCGGCGCTTCAGCTTCAGGAGGTCTGTCAGACTCAAGGGCACCCAACATGTCAGACCAGCCGTTGCCATGGCAGTGATGTCCCGAATCCAGACTGATGTGCGCTCTTCCTGACAAGCATGCCCTTTCATGCTGAGACATCATCCGACCTGAAGCCTGCAGCTAGGAATCATAGAACAAGAAGAACAACTCGAAGACTTCGGACTTCACAAACTTCACAGGTGAAAACACCTACTGAACCTCTGACAAACATTGTGGAAGCCACGAAAAACACAGTCAGGTCTGCAAGGAATCTTGAATCTTCATTCAAGGCATGAAAATACCCCAACATCCCAGTCCTCTTCACCATCTTCGGTACAGCGAGAGCCGTACCCAAGTGCCTGTCCTCAGCTAGATGTAAGGCCCAAGAGGTGAAGGACATCGCCAAAACATGCCAACACGCTTCAAGGTGCAGGAAACATGCCAACACGCTTCAAGGTGCAGGGTTTTCTTCGCGTCGCGTATGGGCCTGTACAGGCCCTGCAAGGCAAGCTATGGAGGGTGTTACTGCGCTGCGGCCCCAACCCTGTCAGGCTCCGACAGCCCTAAGTGTCTAACTTGCACAATGCACTATGTATATGCCTGGTTGAGAACGTGCGCTGCATCGTGCAGTGCAAACAGTGCTTTTCAGCAGCCCTGGGACGGCCAAGCAAGGGTGACCATGCACTGGTGCTTTGGTTGAGGCAAGGTAGGGAGGGTCTTGTCCTGTTGCCAAACCCTCATTGTGGGGTCTGGAGTGCCACGCAGGGAGCGCGCCCACGCCCCGGCAGAAGTCCCGCCTGTTTTTGGAGAGGCCAGCCCAAACAACCTGTGTTTTGGGTTGGGGTTCTCCCAATCTTGGAGCGCTGGGACACACGAGACAGCTGCGAGAGCCGAAGGGGGTGGGAGCGTAGTGAGGAGGAGGAGGAGGAGGAGGAGGAGGAGGAGGGGGGGGATGAGCTTGGCCACAGAGCATACATATTAAAAAGGGTTCAGCTAAATATATATATATATATATATGTATATATGTATATATGTGTATATATATATATATGTATGTATTTATTTACTTATTTTCTGTGAACATCTGCACCGTTCATGCTTGCAACTCCGACAGAGAAGCGGGGGGTAGGACGGCCCTCGAAATTGCTCAAACAGACTTTTGCTTTCGATAAGCTTTCAGATGAGCGCCCTACGTCTTGCGATGCGTCGGCGTCGATGATCGAATTTGTGGCACTGCCCGCGAGGAGGCGTCTTAGGCCTGCTTCCGGGCAGGCATAGGTGCCGTTCGCGGCACCCGTAAACACCAAATGAAACTCAAGGCTTTGGGGGTACCACGGTTTAGGTTGTCGGTACACGTGTAAGCTAAGCATCGCTGTGACAACGTGCGTTCCTCTCGCGCATGCTTGCTTCAGAACCTTAAACCAATAATTTTGCAGGGACAGAGGTTTCGACAATGCTGGGAGAAACCATGGTTCCTGTATGCATACGGAGAAGCCGCAACTACCGCAACTTGGCTAAGCGAATTTCAGCGAGTATGCGCAGCGCGCTGGGCACCCAATCACCGTATACAGACGCATGACATGACGCCAAGCTGGAACTCAATTCGTGTTGGCAGCCATGTGAGGTAAAGGCATTAGGCTTGGAGAGGATTCTTCTGCTCCCCAGGCCTTCCCCAAGGACTCTCCCTTGCTCGATTCCAGGAATTAGACGCCGAGGCGCGGAGAGTGATCTTGATAATCTCAAAGCATCCAAAGGCAAAGGCAGCCAAGAGCAACAGGCCCTTAG